CCATGCTCATGACCGCCTTGTCTTCTTATTCGCCAGCTTCATTGTAAGCCCAATCGCAACACCATACTGTCAATTAATTCTAACCTGCTACCTAGGGCCTACACACCACTATTACCACCAAGTCCGGAGAGAAGTTTACTGGTATCTTCTCTTCCTCGACCATGGAACCCAACGAGCTTTCGTTCCTGCTCAAGATGGTCCAGCGAACCGCGCAAGAGGGCCAGCCCCAGGCAAACGGCGTCAGTGATGTCGCAACCCCATACATAGGCCCCGGGCCCGAGCACATCATGTCCTTTGATATTAAGGATATCGTCGACATTTCCGTGCCAAATGTTACTACAGCCGAAGTTTCAGCCAAGGAACCAAACGGTACGGGTTGCTTTGTTTAGTCAGATTCGTTTGTGTATCTACTAATCTTGACCACAGGTGCTTCCCAAGGTTTCAGAACCGATAGTGATATCTCTGGAAACCTAGCTATGCGCGAGCGCACCTTGCAGCGCTGGGAACCTGCTGAGACTGACATTGATATGTCCCTTGACACAGGCAACACTTCTGCTGGATGGGACCAGTTTGAGGTAAACGAGCGTCTCTTCGGCGCCAGGACCAACTATGATGAGAATATCTACACCACTCGCCTTGACCGGTCGGATCCCAACTATAAACAGAAGCAGGCGGAGGCAGCTCGGATCGCTCGTGAGATTGAGGGACAAGATGTGGAAAACTCCCACATGCGCGAGGAGCGTGGCCTTGTTGCACCCGATACTGGCGACCAAGACGAAGAAGACAAGTACAGCGGTGTTCGCCGCGAAGACAACGCCTTCCCTCCCCTGCTTTCCGGTCAACCAAACAAGTACATGCCTCCCGGACGCCGCCAGGCAGCTCCCCAGCCTGCTGCGACTCCCAGTGTACCCGCCAAGCAGCCTGTGGCTTCTCCGGTCCCCACGGCTCCTATCCCCATACCCTCCCAGGCCGCGGCAAAGGAAGCTGCATCCTCGGACAAGCAAGCTGAGCCGGTCGCATCGCTGCAAACCCCAGCAGACATCGAACACAAGAGTGCATTCGGCAAGAGTGTCACACCCACAGGACCTACTTCATCCGCTGTACCAGCTGCAAAACGGGCTACACCTGAAAATGCAACTGCAAACGTGGAGGTAGAGGTGCTGGATCATTTCCGTCAGTTCGCAAATAGTGAGAAAATCAAGATGCAGGAGCGCCGTCGCAACCAAGCCTCATATGACCGAACCATGAAACTCAACGAGCTGATGAAGTTTTCCAAGAGCTTCAAACTCTCCACTCCTGTGCCAAAAGACCTCGTTCCTATCCTCGCCAAGGACCGACTCAAGCAGGAAGCAATCATGCAACGAGCGCTGCAACAGGGCGACGACAAGGCCACGCCGAAGGTTACCACACCTCCCACAGAACAACAGCTTCCTACTCGTGGTACCGGACCTACTGGTGCTGTGCCCCCTTCTGCACCTGCTGATCGTCAAAACTATAATCGCACTCGTCAGGGCTATCCTCCCACCGGGCCCCTCGCTGGCGCCGGTGGAAGGTTCCCTCAGCAAGGTGTTCAGCCAGGACGTCCTGGTGTTGGAATGCTCAGTCATCGATTAGCGGACAATCTGCAACAGCGAAAAGGCGCGGGAATCGGATCTGTTCCCACTCCTCTGCCCATTCAAGATGCACGTGCACCCCCGACTGGTCCTGCCAGCGACCAGCAGAGAATCACCAGCCCCGTCAAGTCGCAGGCTGGGTCTTCTGCGGCAACCAAGTTCAATGTCAAAGCTATGGAGTTCAAGCCAAACCCCGCAGCCAGCACTTTTACGCCGGGTACCTCGGCAGCTGCTGCAAGCCCTCGGCCTTTCTCTCGTAACCGCTCCGTGTCACGCGCCACAACGCCGACTGCATTCTTTGGGCCAAGAAAGCCACTGCCTATCTCTGAACGACCCTCGATCAGTGACCAATTCAATCCCATTAAGCGTATGAAGAAGGAGAACGCAGAGAGTGCTGAGAGGTTGGTTATGTTGAATGGAGGTATCCCACCACCCTACAAGACTTCGCCAACTTGGAACGACGCCGATGGCGTGGAAGAGAAGACGTACGATCAGATGTTCAAACAGCCTGTTGGCGTGACTGTATCACCCCAGGGCCGATCCGCCTCCAACAACACCAATATTCCCCAGCAACACCAGGTGCCATTTCACTTCCAGCAAGGTACCCCAGCCATGCCGCCAGCCTCTGGTCCTGCGAATGGACCCCATGGCCTTCACTCTCAGGGCCCTCATGGCCCCTCCCATGTGGATGATCATCACCGCATGCAGCTCTCTGCGTCGACCTCCCAGGTTTTCCCATCCCCGCGGATGCAGCACGGATACCCGTCCCCTATGGCCCCCAATGCTCAGCTTTCCTTCGCACAACCGATGCCTCAGTTTTACGGTGGCCCCCAACCCAGCCACATGAGACCTTTCCAGGGTGGTGGTCCTCAGTTTGTAAATGGCGCACCTATGATGGTGCAGCAGGCCTCGAATGGACCCTACATGGGAGTCCCGCAAGGAATGACTCCGTATAACCCACAAATGCCCATGTACTCCCCGAACCCGGGCCACGCCTATCCCCAGCATACACCTCAGCCACATAGTGGGTACCCAAGCCCGAGCCGTGGTGCACCAATGATGATGCACCAGAACTCGCAATCCGGGCAACCTCCCCAATCAGTAATGTTCATGCCCGGCCAACCCGGATATCCTCAGCAGTCGGGACATAGTGAGTGTGACTCCAGTCCCCGATCCAGTGACTTCAGTTTTTAACCAACCCAGTGCCTCCCAATCGTGGCAACTACCCACAGCAGCCCCACTTTTCCTCAAGCCCTCATCAAACGCATCATTTCCCGCCTAACCCGCATCGGACGCCCAGCAACGGCTTCAACCAAATGCCTCAAATGCCACCCCAGATGTCTGCCAATACCCCAGCACCTACCTCTGGAGCCTCCCACCCGGCCGAGGCAACGGATGAAGGAAAATGAACTACTCGAATCATGAAGCCGTGAGCGGTTCCCTTGCATGATGCTACATCTTATCGCTTAGCTGTGACGTCTCCGCGCTCTGCATTATTGGCAACCGCCAACTCAAATACCCCGGTTACTCTTCCATGACCGCGTCTTCATCTGTTTCCCCGTCGTCGACACGGCCTTCGAAACATTTGAATTCCGCAGTGGACTTTCATGTCGTCTCAAGACTTACTCGGTAAGTGCACACTTACGTGATATCGAACGCATCCATTAACCCTGTGATCAGACATGACAGCTCAATCTACCAGTTGTGCCTATTTATTTCCCAGATCTCGATCTGGAGGTGTACATGGAAGCTGATCTTTCTAGGCGATGAGCCCATTGAAATCGAGCACTTGATATCCAACCTAGCTCATTGTTGTATACCTACCTAGTGCACAACACCTCCACGTACGTCATCATCGAGTTGAAGTCTTGAGGATTTCTCTTTACCTGAGATGGTTTCTTCCTTCTGCTTTTCTCTTACCTTGTTTTTTTTTTTTCGTTTATCTCTTCTCTTGCTTTCTTCTCAGTTGTTGGTCGGAGGTCTGTGTCTCCCCTTGGTGGGATCACTGGCCTCTGAGCCTTGCATGGGTGGAAGTGAGGTCTGCGATGGGTTGGGTCTCGGCATGGAGACGATGGTTGTCGGATGGTGATGTGAATGAAGGTGATCGGTCTCGGGAGGAAGTGGAGCAGTGAGGTGTGGTTGAAGATGCGTGAACGTGACAGTGCAAATAGCTCCATGGATCCCTGGCCACATGACAATGAAATGGTTATATCATAAAACTTTCCTGTCATTTGCGTAGATATATAACAATAGTTAGCCGCTTATGCTGCCTTGTAAGTGTTTTCTGTTCGTCCCTTTTGGTAGTCTTCTCAGGTATTTTCTTAGATGCAATTTTCTTCTTGGATATTTCTTCCGTTCATTAGTGCTATAGCTAGAATAGAGCGATAATAAGAATGACCACAAAATAGCGAACATAGGTTATAAAAATGCCGAAAACAACTTTTCCGTGTGTAGCATTTCATATAGAAACACCCCAAAGCGACGATTCGTACCGCCTTAACATCTAGGTCCTATAATGAATCCAATCCAAATATTGTCAATACTAGATAACTGTGGCAGATGTCAGCAGCTGTAAATCACACCATCTCAAACGAATAACGAGTCAAGTGCAAGGGAATCTCCTCAGGTATAATTTCAAGTGTCACCATCCAAACCACAGACACCAGACATCAACCTACCGCGGTGCTTCATCCCATTGCAAACACCTCTGCCCACACTCCAGACATAAACAAGCACCAAAACAAACCCCCCAAACACCAGCAAGTATCACAAAAACCTACCACCTCCAGCCCACACCCCAACCAACACACCACTCCGACTCCCAACTCCCAACCCCCCACAATAACACGCCCACGCCACTCTTCACAGCAGATAAAAAAGAGAAAAGGAAGAAGAGAGGAAGAGCAGTCAGAAATGTCACTCCCAAGCAGTCAAAGAGAAGACGATAGAGAAGTCCGTATTCCGCCGAGTCGACAGAACGCCGGCAGCAGGAATCCGTCTAACTCATAGCCCCCCTTAAAAACCACCATAAGAATACCATCCAACCACCCAAAACCCCTCTTCACCTAGTCCCAAACCTTCGTACCCTATGCGCCACAGCCATTGGTCGCCCTCCCGTCCTCATGGAAGCGAAGCGGACACGGCAACCCCAGATAGCGGCGCCACCTCCCCGTTTCCTGCACTTTCACGCTCCATAAAACCCAGCACCGTACGCGCTACCACCCAAACGCCCCAAGATACAAGATCCCGAAGCGGACCTCAAGCCATGCGACACCGCGATATCACTGATATCACAGTAATCGCAAAGCGAGATCTCAGCGACAGCACGCAGACACTAAGCACAGTCGCGGTACTAGTTCAGGACGGACAGAGGTGTACATGTACACAATGTCTCCCACGATCCAAGACCAACGCCGCTTTGTCTCAGTGTGGCCGCGAGCCATGGGGGTGTTGGCTAGGATCTGGGTTTCGCTGCAGCCTGCCAGCATTCCGATGGGAGACGTATGTGTTCTGCTGGAAGAATGGGGACTATGTTGTTATGTGAAGCTGGTTGTTGGGAGTGTGATCGAGGAGGCGTGTGATCGTGATCTGGGCACAGCTCCATGATGGTGTGGCACTATCATGGCTGGCCCAATAGATGGGAGTCTATTGGACAGAGATGATTGGTTCGTATGCGCTAGACAGTAGTTCTTGAAGTTCGCTCCGGGCCCTGTTTGTGTGGTGTTTTGCGTGGGGTTTGGTGTTTGCGGGAGTACCATCGGCTTTGCTGGGTGAGTCTTCTTTGGTGGTGTTATGGTCTTGGTCTGACCTTTTACCAGAGTTCGCATCATTGGAGAGAACGACGCAAGTCGCTGGTGGATTGTGTATTATGTGTACACGCGTGGAAGGAGATAGGGGACTTGAGACTTACTGTTTAATTAATAGGGGTGTGGACTGTCGATTGGGGTATGGGTGAGTGTGTGCTGTATGAAGATAACTGCAGTAGCATAAGTATCGTAAGTTCCAGTGGTATTTGACGACAAATTAGACGCGTGGGACGGTGGCATGGAGGTGAAGAAAAGGAAGATAAAGCTCCGCTTTATTTATCTGACCATATTGTGGCCTCAGGCCGCAATGTTTATCACGATAAGGCGGGGTGAAAGGAGTTCGGCGTTCAATGTTTCTGGCTATTGCAACTTACAAGAACACTGTATCTGGTCTCTAATCATTTTCAGTCACTGTCTCAACCTATTCATCTAATCTAGACAACCGGCCGCATATTCACCCGTTGGCCATTGGCCGCCCCGACTCGCGCACCCCGAATACCCCAAACAATCTCCGACCTGCCACATCGGACCGCGGCCATGGATTTCCTGAAATCAGCCATCGGATCCGCCATCGCGAAGGGCGGAGGACTCCCATTCTCCCTCGGCGACAGAGTCGACATAGGTGATTTGGTCTGGACACTGCACAACGGTACGAAACGGGTACGGTGGCTTTTTGGTTCCCTCTTCCATGCGGGACGAGCCTCAATGGCTGACGATGCCGTGGCACATATAGGATGACGGTTCCGCTTGCAGTGTTTTTGCATTCGACGTCAATGCGAATAAGTCGCGCCTCCCTCTTGCGAAAAATGCAGTGCGCAAGTTTAGAACGTTGCGGCATCCTGGTGTTATCAAGGTTTTGGACACGATTGAGGTATACTTGGCTCCCGGACCTTAGGGCTAAATATGAGAGCATGGTGCAGAAGCTTACAACTTGGCAGACGGAGCACAATCTTTATATTGTTACGGAACGGGTCGTCCCACTCAGCTGGCCGGTCAAGCGAAAGAGCTTGAGCGAGGAGACGGCTAAGTGGGGATTGTATACTGTGGCGGTATGCTATTCTTGGGAGTCCAGTATTACGGCTTTGCTGACTAGATTACTCTGGACAGTCTACTCTCAAATTCATCAACGACGATGCTTCCTCAGTTCACGGTGCAGTGCGCGCATCCTCGGTGTTCATAAGCGAGAGCGGCGAATGGAAGCTAGGAGGATTCGAAATTCTGAGCTCCATGAAGGAAGACGATGCCATTATATATGTGCGTTATCCTGGCTCGTGTTCATCCAGGCATTACCCGAATGATGCCATATACTGACTCCATGCATAGACGTACGGGAGCAGCGTGCCCGACGCCGCTCGATACACGCCCCCGGAGGTTGTAAAAACTGGCTGGGATACCATCAAACGCAATCCTCTGGCGGCAGTTGATGCTTACGGACTTGGTATTTTGATCTTCGAGGTTTTCAATGGTGGTTTCTCAGGCGGCGACCAAGCTGGCAAGACGACGAACATTCCTACCAGCATGCAGCAAAGCTATAAACGCCTTTGCACCGCCAACCCGAAGCTACGACTGAGCCCGGGACATTTCGTGGAGCAGGGAAAGAAGGAAGGTGGATTCTTCCAGACACCACTCATTCGAATGACTGAAGACATCGACAGCTTGGGGCTCAAGAGTGACGACGAGCGTGAAGAATTTATTAAGTGCGTATATTCCCAGCATGCTACAGTGTGCTTTTTTCGACTAACATATCATGACTTGCAGTGAGCTTGATAATCTTTCTGATGATTTCCCAGAGGAGTTCTTCAAGATGAAGGTGCTCCCCGAGCTACTGAAGTCCGTTGAGTTTGGCGGCGGTGGGCCAAAAGTTCTTAGTGCTACCATAAAGATTGGAGCAAAACTGCCGGCAGACGAATTCAACGCGAAGCTGACTCCTGTCATTATCCGCTTGTTTGGCAACCCTGATCGAGCATTGCGGGTCTGCCTCTTGGATAACCTTCCATTAATGATCGATAACCTTCCCCAGAGGGTGGTCAACGACAAAATCTTCCCTCAGATGACCTCTGGTTTCACCGATGTCGCTCCGGTGGTTCGAGAACAGACAGTGAAGTCTGTTCTGACTATCATCAACAAACTCAGTGATAGGATTGTTAATGGAGAACTCCTGAAGTTCCTCGCCCGCACTGCTAACGATGAGCAGCCTGGCATCCGGACAAATACCACTATTTGCCTTGGCCGGATTGCTAAGAACCTAAGTCAAAGTGTAGGTCAATTCGTCTTCAATGCTGGATCATGCCGCTGACATTACGTGCAGACTCGCTCGAAGGTGCTTATTGCGGCATTCACAAGAGCTCTCAGAGACCCCTTTGTCCACGCTCGAGTCGCAGGATTTTTGGCTCTGGCCGCGACTATCGATGTATTTACCGAGGAAGATTGTGCTTTCAGGATTCTACCCGCCCTTTGCCCTGGGCTTTTGGACAAGGAAACGTGAGTAATGCGCTCAGTCCCTATATCTGGCCTAATCCTTACCGTTGAATAGATTGATTCGCGACCAAGCAAACAAGACATTTGATGCGTATGTCCATCGGATACGGAAACATGCCAGCACGATACCAGATACCGTCAAACCCGTCGCCACACCTGCAGAAGCCAACAAACCCGATGCTCGTGTGGGAACCCCTAATGACAACTCCTGGGCCGGCTGGGCCATTTCATCATTCACGAACAAAATGGCGACGGCCAACGGCGAGATTGAACCCACCGCCAACACTGCTAAGACGGTTGATCCCGATATTGCCCGCTCAGCGTCGGTTCCTCGTCCCGCCAAACCATCGCCCTCAACCCCACTCGAACTACCGAAACAGGTTCTTCGTCCCACCACCCAGCCGCCCTTGAACCGCTCAATGTCAGATCGCCCTGCCCCGGTAGTCCACAACGAACCCGAAGAAGAAGAAGGCGATGACGTCTTCGATGCCTGGGGAGCTATGGACGACGACGAACAAGACGACGATCCATTCACTACCGCTGTAACCTCTCCCAAACCCACATCTCCTGCTCCCTCATCGAACAAAGCTCCCGCAGTGCCCTACGATGATGGTGGCGAGCCCGATTTCGCCGGCTGGCTGGCCGCAAAGTCGCAGACCAAGGCCAAAAATCCCCTCCCGAAGGGTCTGACCAAGGCCGCTTCTACCAATAGCGTTACCACACGGTCGACGCCAAGTGTAGCTAAGCCTCGTGTGGTGGTTGCGCCTAAGAAGATTGATACTAAACCCAAAGACGAGGAGACCGATGATTGGGGAGATGCATGGGATTAACTTGGACGCCTTTGCTCTCCGTGTTTTTGGTTCATGTCCATATTTCGTTCAATGCAAGTCTAGCGTGTCAATATCTGAAAATATTGGCATCGAGGGGAGTTTTGGAGTCTGTACTGCCCTGGTGTATTGATCTCCCCTGTGCTCCTTCCTAATAGATCCATACTACCCGATTCTTTTCTTCTTTACCTCCTAATTGCTATTGTAATATTGTTTCTCGTCATTCTTCCGCCCATTTGCTAGCACCTCGAGCCCTTTCCCTGTTTCTTTCCCTTGGCCTTCACTTTTTCATTTAGATCTCGACCCCAAGATCTTCCATGTATCTCTTCTGAGACTCCGATAACGACTTTTGCAGCATTTCCCTCGCCTTTTCCCTCTTCTTCTCCCTCCGTCGCTCCAATTCATCCCTCCTTTGAATCTCCTGCTGCTTCTGCCTCTTCTGCTCCTCTTCCTTTCGCTTCTGTGCCTCCCTCTCCTCCTGTATCCTTTGCTCTTCCATTCTTTTTCTTTCCCTTTCCATTTTCTTTTTATCCCCCTCCTGCTTTTTCCTTTCCTTTTTTTCCGCCTCTTCTTCTTTCTCCCTCATCATCTTTTCCCTGTACTCCACCTCAACCCTCTCCTTTATCAATCCACCTCTCACATATTCTTTCATCCATGAACCACCCCAATGCTTAGGATGATCTTTCTTATCTCTCTTGATCGCCTCTTCGATCCGCTTGTTAAGTTGCCGGACCCGCCCAATCGATAACTCATCCCGGATGGAAGGAGGCGTGCGCGGTTGTTCGCTCTCGGCATCAGATGATCTTTCAAGCTCGGGCAATTCATTGGACCCTGATGATGTCACAAGGTCTAGCAATGGTGCAAGGTCTAGCTCCGACTCTGGAAATGACCCAACCTCTGGCGATTGCTCAGACTCTGACGATTGCAAGCGCTCTGACCCATGTGCGGATGCTGCCAATTGCCCAAGACCTGATGACCTTGCCTCTGGTGACTCCTCTCGCTCTGTCAAGTTTTCAGACAACCCTAATCTCGGTCGTTTGGCCGTTGGAAGCTCAAGATTACCATCCTCTTGAGGCTCAAACTCGCGATCGTCATCTGAGGCATCTGGGAACATCCACTCGGGATTATTGTGAGCAGCAGGCGGAAATTCGGCGAAAAGATGTGGATATTTATTGCCGTCCACCATAAGAGGAGCTCCGCCGCCTTTGATGTAGCATTTAGCCCGAAGACGCGATGCCCAGATGGTTGGTCTTGATGACGATTTCTGGCCTTTCCATTGGAGTCTCAGTAACCAGCGTTGAGGTGGGGGTGACGGAGTAATATCTCGAGGTACAATTTGTGGGACAGAGGGAGGTACAGGCGGAGACGATGCTGGTGTCATTGATAGAGTTGGAGACGGATCTCGATATTCAAATTCGGAGTCCTGTGGTAGGAATTCGGATGCGGGTATTGATTTTGATGGAGACTCGGGTCCTATCACTAAATCCAACTGTGACGAGGAAGGTGATGGCTGTCGTTTCAGCTCGCAGGCGCCTCGCCAATGCAGAATTCTGAAGTTTGGTATTGTTGGCTCTGGATATGTGGGCCTATCCAACGGTGACAAGGTAGACCAGGTAGGTTCCGTTGGCAACATAGGTTCAGTGTCATCCTCGTGTAGACTCTCCGGTGATGGGGGTGCTGGAAGTGGTACTGCCTTGTGCCGGGAGGAATTGTGGATGTTTGACCTTTTTCGTTTTAAGGCTTTCAACCTGCATTTTAACAGGGAAGGGGATGGCAAGGACGACGGTGAAGACGGTTCTGGCCCTGAATCTGGTCCTGCTTCGGATGGAGGTTCAGAATCAGTGTCAATATCCGATGTCAATAGTTGACGTGTCTTTTGCCCATAGTCGGGGTGAGAAGCTGGTGTAGCTTGTTTGCGGCCCCTGACTCTTTCCGACGATGCTGGCGATGGCAAGACCAATCCCAGTCCCGATTGTGATATGGAGACAGATTGTGACTGTGCTATTGAATTCGATAGCGATGTCCCACGAGATTTGTGCTGGTTGTCGTGGCCAGAAAGTGGCAGGGGCCTTTCAAGATTCACGATCTTTTGCCGTGGTGAGCCTGGTGAGTCTGGGTCATGTTCCCTTTCGGATTCAGATTCTTCATCCGATAATGCTGTCTCATCAGTCGCTTCCCCGTTTTCACGGTCAGAGTCTGGCGTGACATCTTTGAGGCCCACGACCATTTGCAGTAATGAGCGAGATGGTCCCGATGGTGACGCTGGTTCACATCCCATTTCATAACCCAAGTCCAGATTTGGTGACTCACGGTTCTTACGCCCGTGATGTTCAGATACTTGTGTGGTCCTTTGGGGGCCCACTGTTGTCGGTGGTGATAGTGGAGGTGACCAGAAACTCGATTGTGACTGCAATGGAGCCCGAGCCTGAGTCGGATTTTTATATTCGAACTCAAACTCGGACTCAGACACATATTCATATGGCTTCTTCACTTTCGGTGTGTATGCACGCTGCAGTGGCGGCGGTTTTGATTCGGCTGGCTCTTGAACCTCGACTTGGGGTTTTTTAAAAGGCGGCTTGGCTTGTTTATCATTTGCGAGAGGACGGTTGGATGGCCCCGCGTATGGTGATTCTGAGTTCAATCCATGTTTCTTGAACACCTCCGAAGGCTGTGGTTTTCTGGCGTTGTTGTTGTTGTTGTTGCTGTTATTTCTGTTCTTGTTGCTTTTGTTATTGTTGTGTCGGTGGTTGTTGCTGTTGCTATTCTTGTTTTTGTTATTATTGGTTTGGCCTGACTTTGTGACTCGAGATGATGGCGACGAAGAGGCTGGTGGTGACTGGGTTTGCTTGACCTGATTTGCATTGCGGTTGCGATGTTTCGATTTTGATTTCGACATGACTTTTGGTAAACAAGCTCAGGGGTAGGGATGTAATTCTAGTGGGGATCGTCGATTTTATATAGCTCTACTTATTCCGTCCTGAAACGGTTAGGGTGATGGCCAGTTATATATCTCCGGTTCACCCGGCAATCAGACTGAAAAAATTAGACATTAGGGCTGTTCTTATAGCAGTCAAAAGACTTGGAAACAAATTTTATCTGTGCATTTCATGCCTCTTTCCTGCCTACGTGTGTCGTCTAACCGTACAACTGAGCAGGGGGAGAGATTATCGGAAAGAAACGCATGTAAAAAGACCACCCGAGAAGATTACCAAAAGAACACAAGGCCGCTCATGCGGCCCACTATTCTCATAGATTAGCTTAGTATGAAAAGAATAACATACTTCCAGATACGGTGATGGAATTGAATCCCCAGTGGAGCAGTGTGTGCATAATACTGGAGTAGATCCCGAGGTTTAGACACATTTGACAGCAACTTTATGTTCAATGTTTAAAATTTGATCTAGCTGAATACAACTGCACTGAGCCTCTTACTCCTTTCTCCTAGAGCGCCGAGCTTGAGCTACTGCATGACATTGACGGCCCGGGCTTGAAGAATAATCGGGTTTTTACTGTCTCGGCGAAGGTGAAAGTGGGGATGCCAAACTCTGCCTCCACGGGGCTTCAGACGAGCACAAAAATATGCCCGAAAGATGACCAAAAGATGACATTGATCACCTAAAATGAACGTAGCAATGCACTAACACTAGAATAAACCTACCCGTGTCTCAAAACAGGCATGGAAGTCCAGGGATTCGGATATAAAATCCCATTTTTCAGGCAATTTTACACAAACCTCAAGATCTCCACTAGAAAAAGCCCCTTAATCAAGTCCTCCCATTCACCAATCCATCAATATCTCCCTAGCAACCCGTTCTCCCGAACTAATAGCCCCATCCATATACCCAATCCACCTTAGCGAAGTCTCCGTCCCAGCAAAATGGATCCTCCCAACCGGAGCCCGCAAACAAACCCCATACTGCGTCAAAACACCCGGCGGCATGAAAGCACTAGGACCACCACGCGAGAACTCCTCAAGATCCCACCTCTGAACAAGAACATCTGTAGCAGTATTCACACGATCACCAAAAAGATTAGCAAAACTCCGCTTGACCTGGTTTTTGACCTCGTCTTCACTTGCAGAATCAAGCTTGCGCATCTCGTCCGCTTCGATGAATCCCATCATCGCCCCGAAAGAGCCATCGGCAGGCGAGTTGTCGTATGTCACTCGGATCGAACCGGTGTCACTCACACCTGCGCCGTTGAGTCCCTCGGCCCGCCACCAGGCGTCCGGGAAGATCGCAATGGCCTTGCCAAGTGCGCCCATTGGCATGCGCTGGTTTAATTGGTCTCGGCCGGCAGGGAGGAGGGGATCGAATGTTATGCGGCTTATCAGAGGTGGGGACATGGCGAGGACGACATGTCGGGCGGAGATGGTGAGGTCGTCTGACGAGACTAGATAGTTGGATTCAGATTGGAGCTGGACTTTGCGGACGGGTGTGTTGAGGTAGATGTTTTGAGAGTTGAGTCTCTCGGCGAGTAATGTTGCGAGTAACTGTGTTCCACCGCTCACTCGACTATCCTGTGCGCCGCCGTCGACTCCGATGAGTCGGTTGATGGTCCCAGGTCCCGTTTCGTTTCCGGCGGCGGCTATACACCATAACGAATATAGTAGAGACGGTTCTTTCAATTCGGTTGATAGGATGGCTGGGATGGCGACGTCGAGGAGAGCGCGCGAGTCGGATGTGGATAGTCGGGAATTGACGTATGTTTCTAGAGTCATTGAATCTAGCGCTGTGGCATTCGGGGTGTTCCACGGGGCTTCTAGGTCCACTTCGCTTGCTAGGGTATTGATGTCGTTCATGAACGATGCAAGTTCGACGAGGGAGCTTATTCCCACCGGAGGAATACCGCCCAGGTTATCTTGGTAATGACGCGCCGTGCCGTTTCGATAGAAGGTTGAGTTTCCCACCGTGTACGTCTTGTAGATTGGGAGACCGAGTTCGGCTGCGAGAGCCAGCACGCGGTCTTGGGTTGGTGCAACAAATTCGGCGCCTAGTTCTTGGGCGTAATGTCCTGTGGGACTGGAATTGAGGACGCGGCCACCGACTCGGTCTCGTGCTTCTACTATGACGAAGGATTTATTGGCTGCTGCGAGCTGTTTGGCGGTGGATAGTCCGGATAGGCCACCGCCAATGATGGCGATGTCGACTTCGCGGGAGGGTGCTGCAACCAGTGCATGGCAATAGGGGAGTGCTAGCAGGAATCGGTGCATTGCACTGGTGGATGATTTGGAGTGAAATAGCCGCATAATTATTCTCGTATTTAATCGATGAATGGTTCAATGTATATGAGACAATTTGCGATTGCCTTTTTTACTTGTAGGGGTTTCCAAGGACGGCTTCTATTTATCACCTCACTTTACTGCCGACTACTTCCCAATGCCAAAAAGTACCGAATACTACAATCAACCCAGTTGAATGGGCCTAGAAGCAGCATATTGTCATTAGTGTAGTACAAGCGAGAATAGGACAGGGCAGAGAATATCGCTCTGTAGATGTAGCTAATCAAAGTAAACGCTAGCGGATCAAAATATCTCTGGATTAGAATTATTATTGCTGGCATGGAGCCTGGCATCTTTGTTTCATGTTCAGAAATCACCTAACCTGATAGCGACGCACAATATGAGAAGTTGATGTCTCTACGTCTCCATCTCCGAGTACTCGTCTTCCGATGAAGACGATGCTTCACTGTTCTCTTGTGGCCGAATCCCTGCTTTCGCGTAATATGTCACTGCCACCACAGTCCGCTGGAATCTCTGATGGCTTGCCATAATGGAACGTTAGTAGAGAGAAGCCTTCTCCCCACAAATAAGCAATATCTACCCTGAAAAGTCAGGCACCATACCCCGTAATATGATCACGATGCCATCATATATAGAAGAGTAATCCCAAAGTCAGTATCCCCCAGGTGGCCGTGGCCTTGCGGCGACCGCCCCATCGCTTTCCACACCTGTAAGGGACAAAAAGGGCATCAAAAAGGTGCCCCCGAAAGAAATTAGCCATGGTTGTCGGTCGACCCTGCGACTCACCAAACCCTTTTACAAAAAGAGATGCTAAAGTGTCTCTCTTTCCCCCTATACTTCAATTTTCCCTACACTTCAATTTTTTTTCTCTTATCCTATAAGATCCCATAAGAACATCTACAAAGCCATCCCCAAGGCTATTTGCTATTCCCCTTGGAATTCATAGATGTGACTTCCAAGTTCTGTTGAAATCCGATCAACAAAGGTACATCTCAAATAAACTCCCACAAGATGTTTTTGTATTTGATAATAGTTTAAAAAGGAGTAAAAGATGGATATTTCTTGGCTTACTAGAGGCGTATAAGTACGGTACCTTATGAGAAGCCCTATGGTGTTTAGGGCGGCGTGTTCGAGTGTATTGTTTAGCCTCTTGGGTTCATCTTATTCGACCTTCCTTTTTTTTTTTAATCAAACATTGTGATATATCTCACTTCTCACTTCTCATCTCTCCATCTCTGCTAACCTGCTCACTCTTCTCTTTCTTTTGTCTTTCATCTTACATCTCTGTGTCACGGCGCAGATACCATCCCACGAGGTCATACGTTTTACATTGTCCAAACTAACTAGCTGCCGTAAATCACCATTCATACATGGATGAAAATAATCTCTTAAACGTCTAGAAATATCTCGTAAAAAAGGCGATGGACCCAAAAGTCTGCCGGAGCCGACCAAAAAGATTCCGTCAGATATATCCCCCAATCTATAAAATTTAGGTCAATATTCTCGAAACGATATCTGGCATATGGACGCAAGGAGCCTGGGACTTTCTAATTGCACAGACAATGGATGCCACTGCCCAAGTTCTGATGCTAAGAAGATGCGAGGACCGTTTATTCACTGCTCGTCTCCCCGCGAACTTGCAGCAGACGGACTTACTCGTCGTTAGCGAATGCATGCCCCTCCTCGATGCCCCCAGAGCCTTGAAGGCCTTCCAAGGCCTGGTGCGACCCGGTAGAGCTGCAACCATCTACTTCTACAGACACCATATCCTCTCAGACCCGGTATGCAATTGTATGGTGACACGCATCTGCCGATTCCTGCTTCCTGAGACACCCCCGGTAAGCCCTTCCATCAACGCGGAGCTGAAGGTCTCGTTAGCTTCCTAGATAACATTGCCCTCCCCGCGGGCGACTGGGAGAATGTGGAGCGCCACATGTGAAACTGAGATTACCCGCTGCTGTTCGACAGTCCCGAGGGGTTCGACTTTGAATTTCACACCATCAATCACCGCGCAGAGGGCGAAATCGCCCACGACGTCGTGGATTGGGAATTCTGGGCACACATGTGGCACGCTGACGACGTCAAGGCCTACGGTGTACCCGCACTACCGGGACCAAGCCGGCGAAAGCTATGCGGAGATTGAGCCGATGCGCGGGAAGCAGAAGGTCACATTTTACATGGTACTCGTTCTGGGGACCAGGAAATAATACATCGATACGCTGTGGGATTGCCCATGGTCATCTTTCGGGTCTGCGTTTTCTTCAATCTGCGGTATCTCTGTACTAAGCTACCTAACTAGACTCAGCCAATTCATCATAATGCTTGTCATAGATTTAATCAAGAAAATTTCACTCAACTAGTTTAGTTGGTTTATAAGCACTTGAAACAAGGCTTGGTCACCTTGATAGGGGTTGCAAAAGCCGACTTTCATGTACCATTGGACCCTGGTTGATGAATTTCAAGCACAGAAGAGAGAAAATGGACGGACTTAAGTAAAATCAAATACCGTGGCCCTTGATATTAATGAGCTTTTTAGTTGGATTGCTAAGCACTAGACACAGGATTGCGCTGTTAACCCCAAACCCGACAAGGGTGACTGGGGTTGCGATGATGCTAAAGGCTAAAGCCGACAAAAGCCGACCCCATTCATGTACCATCGGACCCTGATGAATTTCGACTAGACGGAGTTAAGCGCTTATAGCCGTACACCAAAACAGATCTCAGAGGGACTGACCATGCGATGGCTTCGTTTGGCTTCAAGTTATTAAGACGATGCCTCTCCCCCTCTGCGGCATTCGAATCAAATCTCGAAGACCTAGATTGAGTGAACTGAAACTTTAGAGCTCTACAACTATTATCGCAAAATCCACATCCAAACCAATCCAATCCAAGAAGATGCCTCCTCCACCTCCTCCTCCCAAGAGTGTCCTAGGCCGCCACCGTCTGCTGGCCCCTTCAGCATCGGTGCGTGTCAGCCCGCTGTCGCTGGGCGGCATGAGTAAGAATCCCCTTTTTGCTTTCTCTACCAAAAAGTATACTGACAAATTGTTATCCAGGTCTGGGCGATAACTGGAAGGGCATGATGGGCGAATGTACAAAGGAGCAGGCATTCGAGCTCCTGGACGCCTACTACGACCTGGGAGGCAATTTCATCGACACCGCCAACATGTACCACTTTGGACAGAGCGAAGAGTGGATCGGCGAGTGGCTGCAGAAGACAGGCCGACGATCAGAGATTGTGCTCTCAACCAAGTACACGCTGAGCCCGATCTTCGGCAAGCCCGTACAGCAGAGCAACTTCTGTGGCACGGGCACCAAGAGCATGCGCGTGGCTGTCGATGACAGCCTGAAGCGTCTTCAGGTCGATTATATTGACTTGTATTATGTTCATGCGTGGGACTTTGCCACCTCCATCCCTGAGCTGATGCAATCACTCAATACCCTCGTGCAGCAGGGCAAGGTCCTGTATCTGGGGATCAGCGATACGCCCGCTTGGGTCGTTACCAAGGCTAATGCTTATGCGCGCGAACATGGTCTCCGTCCGTTCTCGGTCTATCAGGGCCGGTATTCGGCTATGGTACGTGATCTCGAGCGTGATATCATCCCCATGGCTCGGGATGAGGGTATGGCTATTCACCCGTGGGGTGTGCTCGGCAGTGGTAAGTCTTTCTCCACTATGAACATATCTTCTCTGTATATTAATGATTATAGGGTACTTCCGCTCACCCGATGCCGCCCCCAAGGAAGGCGGCCGCCATACGCCTCATATAAAGATTGGTCGCGAAGAACAGGTGTCAGCCGCCTTGGATGCTATCGCGAAGCGCCATCAAGTTCCTCTTACGTCTGTTGCGCTTGCCTATACACTACAGAAGGTAAAAGCACATTGATCTTATAAAATTTTATCTCACTAACCGGTTCAGGCTCCGTATATTTTCCCCGTAGTTGGCGGACGCAAAATCTCTCATCTCAAGGCCAATGTTGAGGCCTTGAGTCTGGAGCTCACTCCCGAGGATGTGGCAGAGGTTGACAAGGCCTACGACTTTGATCTCGGCTTCCCGCACAACTTCCTCAACTTGGCTGGCTTTATGCCCCAGGGTCCACAGCACGTATCCTTCCTCGAGGGCTTCGGTCATTTCGATTATGTCGAGCCTACGACTGCAATCAAACCTCAGAAGTAGTCGAAGCAGTCACCCACATCAATGGTAATAGCTCAAGATATACAGACCCATCTATATAGTCAAATTGAGGATTCAGGGTCACATCTATAATCATGACCATATTAGCTTCTCGCCGCAAGTAGGATATCACAGTACTTTAGATTGTCAGTAGATACTTTCACATTCATCACCTCTCTCTCCTTTGTAGTGACAAGAGATGTCTTGACTCTACCTATGTTGGAACCCTCCCAAATAGTAAAGCCAAGTGCAAAACCAACTTCGCCGTTCTACACTATTCTTTCAAGTCTCACCCCAACGCCAAGGCACTAGCTCGAGCACTGAATAGGTTTATTTTTTACACACGTGACTATAGATCAACCTGCATGTGGCCCCTCATCACCGGCCCCTGATGTTGATCGCGCTGAAATAAACCCCGTTGAGACCACAAGCTCTCCCTGGCCGGTTTCCAAGCAATGCGTTGGTTCTCGGTCTCCTGCTTCTCACACACCTCACACGCCGGTCCATGGCCGCTTCCAACTCAACAGCTCTGGTCAGCTGGCAGTTAGAGGACAGCAATCGTTCTACATGGGCTCTGGTGTGGTCCTGTTTGGTAACGATATTCGCCTGTACCTGGACAGTCCTACACCCAGATTTACCTCGACGAAACTCACCCACTGTGAGAATAATTATTGCAAACTTCTTATATTGGCTCCTCGCTGTTTTTTTCCCAGAGTATGTGTTTGTGCACGCTTCATATGGGCTTTACCGCGCAATCTTATTGAAGCAGGTGTGCAACCAAGCACAGAGAGCCCGGTATCTTGAATCAGTGGACCGGGAGTCTTGGTTGTCTAAACGGGCTAGGCCATTGGAGCAAGTGAAAAACCAAGACTCTACCAATCCCCATCTATTTCTCACCGAGTGGACGCTTCGAAAATGTTTCTGTATTCTTGCTGGTGGGCTTGCCTTGCAGACCCAGGATGGGTGGATCTACATCCTCCGACAAAGCGACATGCAACCGTTCATTCAGGCTGGCATAATCGAAGACGTGGACTTTCACGATCGCGATGTTGAAGACCGTGCTAAATCTGATTCTTTGGGGAAAGCATTCACTGTCATTCAAGCTGCCTGGTTCCTGGTGGACATAATCGCACGATGGGCAAATTCTCTGCAGGTTGCACCAATCGAACTGGCGACAGTCGCTTATATTGCCTGTGGCTTACTGCTGTATGCCATGTGGTGGTACAAACCAAAGGACATGACCACACCTATCACGATTTATGTCAGATCTAATCGTGAGGATATACCGACCGATCTTCTCAATCACACGGCGACAAACCCTCGTGGTTGGGTTCACATCCGTGCGCAAATAAAGAAAGAGAACGTGTTCTCTATTTTTGCGCAGGGTATTCGATTCTTTCTTAGCGCAACCTGGGAAATTGACGCTATCGCAGACGAGGCCCCATATACCAGTCACTATAAGCCATCTCACGGATGCATTGTGACTGCTGTCAATACCTTTGTTGCTTTCCTTTACTGTGGTATTCACCTCGCCGGGTAAATACTAGTCTACTCTTGAGTATATAGACTGCTGCTATGGGTTTACTAACACAGACCGTTCTTTATAGATGGAATTTCCCGTTCCCCACCGAAACTGAACGAGTTATGTGGCTTGTCTCATCATTTGCTTGCATTGCCATGATTGGTATTTACAGCCTAGCAAGTACCATACCTACGTATGTGTTTTGGTTTGAGTCAAGAAACCTGTTTTCCTTCTATACGAAGGCATTCAATGCTCGCAAACTCTTGATGTATCGGATGCTCATGTTGACTATGTTTTTTTGCCTTTTTGTATACGTTTTTTTACGTCTGATCATCATGGCTCTAGCTTTTACGTCATTGAGAGCCCTTCCGGTCAGTTGTTATACGACTGTCGAATGGTCGATGAGCATTCCGCATGTTTAAAAAAAGCTAGGTAATTTGGAGCCAGGATCTTGGGGGTGAATGATTGAACCCTCCATTATATCCATCCATATGCTCACAGCTGTCTGGCCGTTTTCTGCTAGTCCACCGTATTTCTCAAGTCCTTTCGGTACTTCTGTGGTCCTTTTAGATGTCCTTTTGTTGTCATTTTTGATATATCCCCCATTATTGATGTTATGGGTAGAAGCAGAATTGGCCGCATAACATAGAACATCACTGGCAAGAGTGTAGATTTTATTCTTCCACATATGATATGTGGGACACCATCGTATTGAGACGGCAAAAGAAAAGACAAACAGCTTGTCTCTCACAGTCTATGGATGTCTCACAAAGCCAAACAAACGTGCTATACCACACTTTCTCTTATTGGCCGTTCCTCTTTCTTGTGCCTTTATTCTTCAAGTTTCTGCTCGGTTCCTCCACACACACACGTCTCTCTCTTTCCCTTAATTATTAAGTATATTCCTGCCGTGGACCTTCTTCTGTCGTCAACTTCAGGTCCCAGGCTTTAATCCACCCAGTCTCACGCTCCGCAAAACAGTCACACGTATCAGACGATCATCATGGGTCGATGGGGATGGCGTCAGTATCACTGTTTCTGGTCCCCTTTACTCTATCCCCGGCCTAACCAACATCTATGTTAGGTCTGTTTGAAGGCGATCAAGACCTTGACGCTGTTCTCACCTTGGCCAGAGACCTAGATATTGACACCGATTCCTGGGAGCACAGTCTGAGTGCGATGGTGCATCAAACCGACATGTTTGCACCCGAAGACGCTCTTGCCAACTACAGCACCGCCAAATATGCCGATTTGCTAGCTAACATCACCGTCCCGTACATCCGCCAGAAGCTCGACACCGATGACCTCGGAGAACAGCTTTTCGCTACCTCTCGCGCCAAGGAAAACGACCCAGACGACTTCTTGCAAGAATTCAAATACCGCACTATCATCCTGGGTGCTCTCATGATGCGCGCTGGTGCTCGCATCAACGCAGCAGATCTGCAACATCTACGTGATCTGGTGCCTCAAATAAACTGTACCCCACGCCGAACGCTGTTCGTTGACCATGGATTCAGAACTCCAGGAAAGGCTCAGTTCCTTGCGGCGTTGGATCAATACGAGCCGGGTGTTGCGCGTAGCTTCCAGGAGCCTAGGTTGGTTACCTCGGCAGACGAATACATGCACTTTATGCTAACGACCTTGATAGCTGCTTCAAGTGTGGAAGGATTGAGGCTGATATCGGTCATAAGCCTCTGCAATGCAAGAGGTGCAAGGTCGCGACATACTGCAGCAAGGTAAGCAAAATATAACCTTGTTTTCTAGGTTATGTTCGTGAATATTGATTCCTCATAGGACTGCCAGCATGTCCAATGGCCTGAGCACCGAGTGAGCTGCATTCCCCCTAGCCAGCGCTTTATCCTGAACGTCTGATCGCACCATTTGAAGGATTCCAATAGCACTGTGGCCAGTATTTCGATATTTCTAGCTGCCCTGTGCCTAATTGTTCATCTCTATGTTTGCGATATTTAAGACTAAGCATTGCTTGACATATTGATCGACTTTATTCCTTATGTGAGGACTGGTATCTGCTCTTCTCCAGATTTATTCCATGAGTTAATTTCCAAATACAATTTGCCTACTTCTGTTGTCGTACTAGGACGGGAATAAATAGAAAATATGTGTTACTGCACCCCAAATGTAGTCTCTGTATACCATAAAAAGGAAATGCAATCCATATTGTAGACCCAAAGAAAGCTTTAGTACTCTCATATTGCAACCTTGACCGATGCAATTATCTCAACAATTGTAATTTATGCAGTTCAACCGCGATCAAGCGCAGCTCTTGCAAGCTTTAAATAGCTACAAGATTACACCACCTATGGATAATAAATTCAAAGATCGCGAAGGAGAAATCTACTAGAGCATCGCTAAAGCTTCACAAACCCCTCCGGCAACTCCTTCCCTTCAAACCACGCCTCAGCAGTTTCCGCAAATACTTGTGGTTCCTGTCGATTCCACGGATGTCGCATACTCAAATGTGTATACGCGACAGTCTCTGCATTCAATTCTCTCCCAATCTCCATCAGCTTCACAGCATCATGCGGATGATCATTAGTGGGAATCAACCCGCCTTTCCCTGCAGCAACAATGAGGGTGCGCGCATACCATGGCAACGGCCACTGTGTCGGGGTCTCTGGCAATACGAGTTGCCTACATAAATCGAGTGTGCAGGTACTTGTATCGATGCGAGGGATATCGGCACCATCCATTGCCCAGCGGATCAAAGAACGAGGAAGACAATTTTCAATTCTGGGCATGGCCCATGCCGCGTATGGTATATACGGGGTGAATGATGTTTGGGGGAATATCTCAAAGCCCGAGATGAAGATAGAATTTACCACGTCGGGATCGCTTGAGGCTAGACGGATGGCGACCTGCGCGCCTAGACTGTGGCCAATGATGTGAGCCGAGCCGTTGATAGCGTGTGTGCGGATCATGTCGGCGATTAGGCGGACTGAGAGATCCACTGCGAATGGTGCAGGGGATTTCCCATGTCCTGGGAGATCTGGGACCAGGAGGTGGTAAGAATTGGGGAGGTGGGGGATGACCAGATCCCAGTAGAGGCCGGACACCAGGGCGCCATGGATCAGGACAACGGTAGTTTGGCCTATCGGGTTATACACCGTATGGTGTAGCTTGTCAGTGGTAGACATGGCCGTTGGAGAAAAGACTCCGTATAGATACGCCAAGGAAGAAATGCGATTTCGGCCCCCGCATAACGTGTTCCGCTACTTCAATATCCAAACGCCAATCATATGGCCCAAGGTCCATCCACTTAGCCAAGCTTGATCGATAAGCTCCCGTGTTTAAATATCTTGGTTTTGTAGGAAAATAGCATTGAATAGGTTTTCTTTACCACGCGACCCTGCACGCCGATCAAAAGGCTAGATGGCGACTATGACACTTCATAAGCCAATCTAGTAGACAATCGCGTACTCTCCCATCAGACGAGGAAGACCTCGATCGGCGCTCGTGGTATGGAAGCAGTGAAATCAAGCAGGAGCAAAGTAAAGGTAAAAGTTAGACCACTGGTCAGCTAGTCTATCTATGAAACATTTTATGAAGAGGTTTAAAGAATTCTCCGCATCTCACGCATAAGCGAGAACCCACCTGGGCAGCGTTGTCGGGGTCATCATCCTTTACACCAGTGAGCGCTCATCCCTTGATAAATGGGCTATTGAGGAATCAGGTAGAGGGGTAAATATCCCCCTCATTGGCTAAACTCCACCATGTGTAGTATGTGCAGATTGACATTGCTTCGTTTAATCCCTGTGGCCCAGCCCCCACAAGAGAAGGCAAATTCCCAGGAGCAGGTACCAGCCCGATCCGATGTAATCTCACATCATCCCAAATTGGGATTCCAATCCGTCTATAGGCCCCGAAATCCACATGCAAAAGAGGATTTTTCGTAAACCGATGGGTACGGCAAAGGATGCCATGAGAACCTATGGCTCCATTTCTCCGGGCCGCGGACCAAACACACAACCTCCCTGAATTAATAGTTGTGAGGGATGGAGGCTCCGGTATAGACAAACGCGCCGGTCTGGCTGAGTTGTCCGCAGAAGGAATGGACACCAGGAAGGGGTAAAGTAGGTCGAGGATAACTGTCTCTTCGGGATAAACAACTTTCAGGCACTCCGAGGCGGTTTGCAATTCTTCGAGTTTCCATCTACCCTGGCAGTAGTCGACGTATTGTTCCGTAAATTGACTCCGGTCTTCTGAGGACCAGGGCCACCGAATGGTTGCCGCGCGGTGAACGCACTGAAATGTCGCAAGAGTCCATAGCACGCGATGCATTCTATAAATCTCACACCAGGACAGAGGACGAGACTTCACTCGGAATGTTTCGTTTGGGGGCTCGGGCCATCTTCCCTCAACCCATTCAACAGCAGCGCTGACAGGGCCGACCACGCGCCGTGGCTCTGCTGCTGCTAGGCGATCCAAAAGAAGACTCAAGCAAGCAGAGGCGGCAAAATAGATGCTCGCTGCAGTACTCACGGCTTCTCGTACAGCATCGAAAGAGTGGATGGAAGGTAGAGAAAGTGGCATGACGGTTATCGTCCGAGCGCCACCGATAAGCTCCGGCAGGCTTGAGGGAATGAATTTTCCTGCTTCGAGGAGTATGAAATTGCGAAATTCATATTGTAGTCCCTGGGAGATAATAGGACAATTTTTCATGATTTTTTCAGTAATCGTCTTGTAATATTGGCGGAATACCTGGTCCGCTCGGGCAGATGTTTTCAGTAATCCATCCAAGGAAGCGAAGTCGGAGCACGATTCGAGGATCAACGCAACCACCTCCGGAGAGAAAGTGGCAAAGGGATCCATGACAGGTCAGATAGCACAAGTCCGTGGAAACAAAAAGAGAGACGGGGCCTGATCTGAGTGCCCAGATCTGTATAACACCGCTAGAAGACCCTACCACTTTCGACACCCCTTCACTGTTGTATTCGATCCCTTTAATGGAATAATGGGATTTCTTTGAAACCGGATACTGGAGTCGGATCAAACGGGCAAAATCTCACATGTGAGTTTATATTTACACCCCTCATATCAAAAGCACCATACCTTTGCACTCGCTTGTAAGTCTTCCTTTGATATACTGTTAATGCCAGTATTCTATATGATCAAGGTCATAAGTGAAGATCATAATGCACGATCAACTACTATAGGATACCGCAAATCCATCATCAATATCGTCATTGAGGGAAAGGCAGTTCGCCTCAGGGGAAACGAAGCCGACATTGAAAAGCAAAATCAAGGATCCAAAGTGAGACCGAAAGTGCTGCTGCAAAGTTTTTAGCTTATCTTGTTTTGGTAGGCGAGAAGTGTCTGTTTCTACCAGTCCGACGCAATAGCTCCTGTAGAAATATAGACTGTAGAAATGCCGCCAAGTAGATAGCTGCATAAATATTATGCATGTCCACTTCTGCCGGATTATGCATAACCCGCACCTCGCAACTGCCGATCCCGTCGTTCCACGACATCGCGTCAAACCCAATGTCTTCCAAGGAGAAAAAGCGCCTCCGAGATCGTCGCTCACAGCAGACTCTCCGCGAAAAGAAGTTGCGACATGCAGCTCAGCTCGAAGAACGGGTGGCGTACTGCGAGCAGCATCACAGCGACCAAGGCGTACAACGGCTTCTCCAAGTAATCAATGGGCTCCGCCAGCAAAATGAAACTCTTCTCACGCGTCAAAAGAGCTTAAAGTCTCTCGTAAACTCCTGGGAGACAGAACTGGATGAGCCAGGCTCCGTCAATGGCCCCAGTCATGGCTTGTCATCGCTGTATGAGGAGATAAACGACCGAGAAGCCCAACTCGCCCTCCAGACAAACTTCAATGAATCAATACCCCCCCAGCACGGGATAAACAGCCACCTCAACACCCCCATATCCGCTGCATCAACTCCACCAAATATGCAATCCCCATCTCTGGAACCCCTTTCCGCTGAAATCACACCTCTGTGGAAACAAATCCCGCCACACACTGACGACTTCAACACACGAACCATGATCTCGTGTCCGTGGCTCGTCGACCCAGAACTGATACTCCCCTGTCCAGACACCCCAAATTCCCCTTTAGACCTCCTGTATGGCACGAAAACAAACGCGCTAGCAGACATGATCCACACGGCCCTGCAACGCCGCCCAATCCGCGATCCAGAGAGATTGGGTACTGGCTGGCTGACTTACCACTTCTCGCGATGGGTCATCGCGCCCAGTCCGGAGACTTATGCGCGACTACCTGTCTTCCTCCAGCCTGTACAGGGCCAGATGGCGATCCCGCATCCTCTTGTGTTGGATTTCATGCCGTGGCCAAGGATGAGGCTCAACCTGATTCGACGATGGCATTTATATGCCAAGGACAGGGATTACCTGTTTGGGCTCCTTGCTTGTTGTGTTAAGCTTCGATGGCCTTGGAATGAGAAAATTCTTGAGCGGGATGAGCGGAATGAATTGTGTATTAAAAAGGCGTTTTATGAGTTGTTCACGAGTGAAAGTGGGTGGGGGCTTACGCCGGACTTTATTAGACGGTATCCTGATCTTGTGGAGGGGATGGATATCAATCAAATTGTGATTGAGCTTTTGTAAGTGATGACAACGTTCAAGTGCAGGAATTTATTTTTCATTATGCTCTATTATATTCTATTATAATTATGCCTATGCAGCTTCTATATGTGGGTCGTTAAACACCATCCCGATCATGGAGACCGACAAGGTTGATGAGGAGCGAGTGGGATGCCGTTCAAGATAGGAGCAGCTCAAGCCTAGTTACCGTCGAGATTCACGGGCCACTTCTCGCGAATCACCTTGCCGTACTTGATGAAGATGATAGGAATCGGGATGAATGCCAAAGCCAAGAACCCGAGCAATGAGTTGCCCCATCCGAGACCTAGAGCAGCAAACATCTGAGGTCCAGCAAGGGGAAGCAAAGCTCCAACCAGGGAGCGAGTGGCTGTCAAAGTGGCATTGGCGGACGCGGCATATTTGGGATAGCAATCGATGACATATGTCTGGATGGGCATATACACGCCCATCATGCCGACTCCGAAGGGGAACATTCCAATGATGGGTACAATCCAGAACACGTGCTTTTCGGCTGACCAACCGTACCAGAAGAAGCTGATTGGCAGAACGCAGGCGAAGATGATCATCGTTGGGAGACGCATCTCGGGTTCGAACTTGCCACCGTTCTTTGCTGTCGCGGCCATGACCATGCGGTCGTTTGTGAAGGCGATCATTGCGAGACCGCCGATAAAGCCGAAGCCAATACCAAGGTATGCAAGTCCTGAGAGACCGACGGAGAAGCCGTATCGCTGGGTGAAAACGCCTGGAATGGTGGTGAAGAAGAGGTAGAGCAGACCGTAGATGAAAGACTGGAAATAGAATGTCAGTAAGCCGAATTTTGGAAAGCATAGCTTTGTGTATCACGGTCGAAGTTAGACTCACCATATAGACACATAGAAGGAACACAATCGGCGACTTGAACAACAACAAGATTGGCCTCTTGAAACTCTGCACCAGTGTCTGTTTCAAACCAAGAGCTTCTTGGTTTGTGTCATACGCACTGCGCAAATCCGTCCTCCCTGTCTCCTTGGCAAGCTTCTCGGTCTTCCAGCGAATAAGAACATCGGCATAGGTCTCTTTGTTCAGAATCTCAACACCAAACGACACAACACCGCCAACAATAAGCAACAGCCAAAACACCCAGCGCCAGCCAGCTTTCTGTCCAAGGAATCCACCCGCGATAGGCCCGGCCACAGGTCCAATGAGTGGTCCCATAGCCCAGACGGCGGTTGCCATGCCACGCTGTTCGCGGGGGAACAGATCTGCGATCACACCCGCGCCGAGAGTTAAACATCCTGAACCGCCGATGCCAGCGAAGAGACGGCAGATAATGAGGGTTTCGATGTTGGGTGCAAGCGCACAGCCAATTTGCCAGACGACGAAGAACCAGTTAGCGCCGCTGAGCACGACACGGCGGCCGTAGACTTCGCTCAAAGGGGCAAGTAGAAGGGGGCCGAACTAGATCCGTCATGTCAGATTGGGCTGCATATATGATGGGGGCTGGGTGGGGCTTACTGCATAGCCAAGAATATAGATGCTGACACTGAACGACAAGATCGTCTGATCCATTACTTGGAACTCCCTTGCCACGTATGAGATGGCGGGTGAGAACATGCTCGAGGCCAGCGGGGAGATCAGAGTCATGATACTGATCAGGGAGAGCAAGGCCCATTTTTTGTTGGCGGGGAAATTCTGGGGATTGTGGGGGTCATCTTGTCCATCCCAACCTACTATTCCGCGGCTGAGGTCTGTTTCTGGGAATAGTTCTTTAGTTGGTGCTGATGTGTCGGTAGGTTGATTTGTTGACTGTTTTTCGAGGTCTGGGGTTTGGTTCCTGATGCTTTCCCTTTCATTGAGAGTTGCATTGGCTGAAATGGGCTCTTTTTGGAGAGTATCCATGATGGGCGACAAGCTTCAAAGTGTTTGTAAATATAGATAGGGATAGACGCTTGGCGCGTCGGAGTAGTATAGAGGGGAAGGAAATAGATAAGCGTGCCAAGAAGAGGCAAGGGTAAACAGTATTAAACGAGTGGAAGAAAAGGAAGAATCGATGAGATATAAAGGTAAGATGCTTGAGAAAAAAAATAGAACAGGTTACGATCAGCGGAGATATCCGTTTGTATAAATTCCACCTGGGACGTTCGTCTCCTGTGTACGGAATAATGCACCGAAATTGGCGTTGTTATTGGTGTTATACTAACGCATAATTGCTATTATACTCATAAAAAGGGCTCATAAATTGGCAGGATTCAGGTAAGCCGACGAAGTATTTAATTTCGAGCCTTCCTTCGGCGCAAGCGATGATTCGGTGCTCCACTTATATATGTTTGCCAGCCAATCACATCTATTCAATACGGCCAATCCCCAGGCGCTGAATCATTGCTGGAGACAAGTCTCGTGGTCCCTGTGGTGGGGCCTCTCTGTTGTCGCGTGGAACCTTATGCTTATTCTAATGCGCATAACTCAACGGTTTGATAGTAAGGAGAGGTTTCATTTGATGTAAGCTACACAATTAATGGCATATTCCCTTACAGAGTTCCTCCCATAGGCAACGGTGCAAAACAACCTCTGGAAAACAGCCTTGTCACTTTCATTCCCTTCTCAACGTCTTCGAATACACTTCATATTTGAACGACTGAGTGAAGCGCCCTTTTGTAGGGCCTGAATCACCTCATGACAAAGACCATGTCATTGGCATGCTCTTGTCTCTTGTTGCACTCTCAGTTCTCTTCAATCAAACGGCTTGACTGATCCATCGAATCGAGGTACTCCAACACATCGAAGTAAACGTTCTCAAAGTACCCTTTGGTAACGTCCTCGGCAATGTTGTTCAAGTCCTCCAATCGTTCGTATCTCAGATTAACAAAGGCTGCTCCCACATCACCCTCAATCTGCGCCAACAAAATCAACAGGGGGACGAATGGCGGAATTCTCAATTTCATATTCAAGGTGTGTGTGTAATACTCCACAAGACGGTGAACAAACCACCGGGCACTGGAAAAATGTCCTCGCTGGCACCCGATGAACTTGAGTAGAACATCGGAGACATCCTCGGGGGCTTCGAGACTGCGAGTGAACTGCCGAAGAACCACATCCGCACCCGTCATGAACTCGTCTGCAAGCTGAGCCCGAGGTTGTTCCTTCATAATCATACGCACAAGGATTGGATCCATGTTCCATGCTATCCAGTTGCGGACCTCTATCGACATATTCTGCCATTTCCTAGCATTGGGCGAGTCCTTGTAAGGGCGCATAATGCTAGAGTCAATGAGCCGATGGAGGTTGTGGATCTTGAGCGTGTAATAGATCTCATTGCGCCAGGTAACATATCCGGATGGATGACTTAGAACACAGGGAAACCGGTACAGCGTGAAGCACTCAATGTCTGGGAGCTGGAATGCCTGGTCAATTGGTCCATTCGGTTTCTCAGCTGGGAGCAGAGTCGACCAATCGCGAGTGTGCTCAATAGACATCTTGGCGTGGAGCGAATGGCTTTTGTCGACTGGGTGCCCGTCGTTGTAAAGTGAGAGGGTATTCGGGAAAGACTATACACAAACCCACCACATTAGCTCATAGATTTTTTTTCAAATTGCTCACAGTCAAAACTCGGCAACTTACTGTGTCGATGAACTGAATCAAATATTTCACTGTGTCACGGCGGCGTGTGTTGGTACTCTGCACGCCTCTTGTCGTCTTTCAGTCGACAGCCAGAGAATCAGACGATAACAGGTCTCTCGCCGCAGTGGGGACGACTGTGTAGCCTTGTAAACCAAGAATGATCTTTCACGCTGATAGCAACTGCATTCAACTGCAGATTGATGAAAAAGAATGAAGGCCCAGGGAGGAGAGGAGAACTAAAGAAAGAGGAAGACGAAAGTCGAAAGGTCCACGTGGATGGGTATGGCACTCAAACTATGAACCTCACTGATAATTCACCGCTTCGATATATAGTTTACGCGAATATATTCAAAGGTGCTGTGTATACCGCTCAAATAATGATTCTGCTGACACTAGTAGTGTGCCCACCGTCACTGAGATAAAGGCACCAGCCCATGGACTGGGGATGAAACAATATAGACCTATACATACTACATTAGTGTTCATTACATGCTTTCATACTGCAATGTTGAAAGCTACTCATCCTTGAAGGTATGTATATACTTGTTTACCAATGGTCTTCTCTCCGGGGCCGCTTTCTGACAACAATGCTGGTGACAACCTGACGTAAAGTCAAAGTTGTGTGCCCTAAACAAGCATCACTTGGGCCAGTTATGGTGAGCATGTCAATATCGATAATCTTAGTTTAACTGCATGTGCAGATATTAAAAAAGTGGGCTGTGGGGTTGTATGTATAGTAATGCTCATAAATTATATAGTACGTTAGCCTAAACCACGTTTATAACTTCAGCGAACCACCAAACACCTTACTCTTTGGTGTAAAAATGGTCATTTTAATCACCAGTAACGAATCTTTTATATTTCATCCTTCAAATATAAATTTGTTCAATATTAGAAACATATTCCAAGTCCAGTCCAGTCCTTGGCAATCGATAGGGCTTATCTTATCGTCTACCAATCTCCTGACCGCGGGATGTCACTTTCTTCACTCCGCCTGCTTCGTCTGTCCCCATTCATCAGGTCTCAGTATACCTTTGTCATTGTTGGTACCACTCGTCCAATCTCAAGGTAGGACATAACGTCTCTCCAAAATGATGCGCCAAGACTTTACGCTGACAGTCCGCCGTTTACAGCAATTCTGCTGCCTGCCATCACCCCTCAGGCCCTTGTTATCTTATCACAGCATGTGGATTCGGGTCTGACAGAAGATCTGTAGCCCTTCCTAGGTTACTACATTCTTGCCGTCTTTTGATATACCCTGGCCGACCATAACCGCCCTCTCAAAATGGACCAAGAGGAGGCTCCACCACCCCCATACTCGCCCGTCGACCCATTACTCGCACCGGCAAACAGCCGAAACAACAATCCTTCTCAAGCCCCGATTCCTCCTGGGGCGAGTGCGTCTCCAACGCAGGATGCCAGTAGCTCTCGTGTCCCGACACAACCGACAGTCGTGCCGACGCATTTCAGATCCGCCGCTGCGTACTTTGAGGAACGGCTTCCCTCGGTCTTAGACGAGAGCCGGGGTCTTCTGCATCATCATATGACCATCTACCCTCGGAGCCAAGCCAAAGATTTCCCCCGACGGCCGCGGTGCTGGGCCTCGCGATTAGATGAAATTACCCAGCAGGACTGGGATACCTTCTTAAAGTATCTATTTCCGCCGCAATTAGGACTAGCTGCATCCTCTCAACATCTCCCGCGCCAATTACGAGCAGAAATTAGACGAGACCGCAAGGATCGCCCACAGGAGACTGATGAGCAACGGAGGGCTCGAATCGCTGCCGTTGTTGCTGAATGGAACGAATGTTTTTTCGGGTACCGCGCTACACATATTGTCTTTATATATGTAGGCGAACCTGATTCGGCGCCGTCGTCCGCTTTATGTCCTCGATGCTACCCAGCGGCAACGGGGTCAATAGAGGGCCAGCCAATTCGAAATCCAAATGGTCCGTCGCCAGTGCCTGGGCAGCACGTTCCTGCACCTACCCCTTGGTCGATGCCTCCTATGTTCCACAATCCCCGAGTACATGTGCCTCCATCTCCGTATGGTGTATATGGTGTTCCTCCATACCCTCCCCCCATATCTCCTAACCAACCACCTCAATATTACCCCCATCCACCACAAGCCGCATGGCAATGGAACAATTGGAACCATCCACAACAGCAACCGCAATATTCCAACAACGGCATCTCCAAGGGTGGGTCCCTCGGGTGGATTTCACAGATCGCATCACAAGCGCAGAAATATGGAGAGCGGTTCTCCGAACAGGCGCAACAATATGGAGACCACATCAGTGCACAGGCACAACATTATGGACGGCAAGTCGAGGAGCAGGCTCTTGCACATGGGCGCTGGATTGAAGAACAGGCAAGGCTTCATAGTCGAAAAGCACCAATGGTTGGACCTCCATACGGTAGTGGTCACCATCCTCAGCAAGCCTGGGATAACTCGCCTCGTCCCATAGCCAACATCCCAATGACACCCATTCAAAGCCCCGGCCCGGTGACAAGTCCTAACCCGACGGGTTGGCCTGAGACAAGTAGTCAGATCGATAGCAACAAACCTAAGCCATCAACAGAACAGCTTCTGATCGAGCCTCCTACGCCTGAACGCACCAGGCGAGTATCGGTGAGCTCCGTCTCATCCGAGTCCTCCTTCAGCTCAATTGACTCCATCTCGACAACATCGGACCTGGGCGTTTCAGACCTTGCCACGGTGCGCACTCAGCTAGAACTTCTAGATGATCGTCACGATCGGGTATTATATGACGCCGCCGTCGATCTCCGCCGGCAACTCTCAGTCCTACAAGAGTCCCGCCGAGAAGCCAAGTTCTCCGGTAAAACCAACTGGCGAGCCGGTTTCAGCCAAAGCCAGCAAAACAACCAACAATCCGGCGACGCCGACTGGGGTCGCTGGGACTCACCCGAGCAGCAACAACGTAACTCGGTCGATAGACGCGCAATCAAAGAAGAAATGCGCGCTACCAAGAAAGCGTTCAAGGACACGCTGCGCCGAGCACGAGACGAGCAACGTGAACGCCGACGTGCTCGACGCCGCCAGATCCGACAAGCTCGCGCTAATGACGGCGATAAGGCGAAAAATATGTATGATCAGCCGCTGAATCAGCAGCTTGGGGCGTTGCAGCTGGAGGATTCTCGGCCTAACCCACCCTTGCCTGCACGTCCGGTCAACACACGAACGCAGCCTAGTCCGGTCTCTACGCCGACTAGCTCCATTGTCGGCTTTGGATTTGCTTCCAATCCCCCATCCCCCGCTGGCTCCCGGCCGAGTACGCTAGAATCGATACCTTCTGGGGACTCTGCCGCTGGGAAGAAAGGGAAGCCGGCTGATACGCCGAGTCGGTTAAAGGATATGTTGTTGCCGCGCAAGGCGAAGAAGGATGATGCGGGAAGTAAATGATCTGGCAAAGTTGAATTATTGATCTTTTTTTTTTAGTTCTGTTTTTAGCCTGGAGTTCAATATTCCCTTGGGAAATTTTGCTTCTTCTCGATGTGTACAAACCTCGACCAAGTCGACGAAGTTACGATTCACATTGATACATAGTATCGCGAACTACAACTTGCATCTCTACATATTCCATATGTAAAATGAAACTTTTTTCAAACAGATCTCTACACATACAAAGAGCATTTATATGCACATCCATGTCCCCTAAGCCTTGGCCTCATTCTTCTCAACCAAGTCACCAACACCCAGTCCCCTCCCAACCTTAACCCGAATCATCTTTTCCGCATCCTTCTTCCCAAGATCTCCAACCTCCTCTCCCTCATCCTCATGTCCATCATCATCCCCATTCTTCTCTTTATTACTCTCCGCATCCCGCTTCTCAATCGCCTTCCAATCCAGCCACATGTTCTGAAGATTCAAGCGCATAGCATACGCATCCTCACCGTCGGCGTAGTACCCATCCTCAACCTTCTCGACCTCAAAGCCAAGAGTATCGCGGTACAATCGCAGCGCAGCAACGTTCGACATGCGCACGTGTAGCGAGACAAAATGCGCGCGGTGAGATTCGGCCATTGCCCGTTCTGGAATCATAGCATTAGAACCGGTCCATAACGATGCAGATGCAAGCTCAAACACAGATACAAAGCAAACGTAACACAAAAGCATCCACGTAAAGCAAAAGCAAGAGCAAATTCAAATTCAAATCAATTCAAACGAATTAAACTCACGACTCATGCGCATCAATTTTTCCGCAATTCCCAACCGTCTATGCGTCCGCATAACACTCAGACTGGTAATATGACCATGCGGGTTTCCATCCGTCGGCTCCTCCTCCATCTTCGCGAGAACATATCCAACGACCTTTGGATACTCGCCTGCGACATTGCCCGCCATTCCGGCGCCGGTGGAGCTTTGTTTGTATCCTCCGCGCGGACGCATGACCGCGACGAAGCTTAGCTGCGGCCAGGTCAGGGCATGGTAGAGGTAGTATTTTAGGAAGTAGTTTTCGGGGAGGTTTGTTATGTTGCAGGTTTGAATTGAGGGGAGGAGGTCGATGTAGGACGGGTAGCTGCTTAGGGGGACGATGTCGACCATTTTGGCGGTTTGGGGGGTGTTGATGGTGAGGGGGGGGTGCGTTTTGGAGTTGGCGGTGCGGTGGGGAGGTCATGTGATGTCGGGGATGGATGGGATTTCGATATTGGGTTGGATACACGTTTTGTTGGATTGCATAAGATTTGAAGATTTGGCTTGGAACTATTTTATTCTTCGAGTTCTAGTGAACTGTATCCGCCTACTGGCTGACAGTTCTATTTATGTATAATGTATAGATCGAATAACTACAAGATTGTACAGAAGTACTATATCACATATCCAGTACAATGCGATATATACGGTAGAAAAGAAAGAAAAACCTAGCGCCAACGACCGGATCGGTCATGCACCCAAAATACAGTCATGGATATCGTGGAAATCAAAACGCAGACATCATCATCTGCACTCCTACTGCCACCAGAATCACAGTCGACATACCAGCGACAGAAATCTCGCGCAGCGCGCCAGACGTCTTGCCACAGCATTTACCATTGTAAGTGACATTGTTCATCTCGGCCGCGACCTCGAAGACCGAGCCGTTGAAATTGCCATAGTTGTAGTAATCCACCAGAAGGAAGTTGGGTGGACGACCCCAGGTTTCTGTTCCGAGTTAGCAACGCAAAAATACAATGAGATATATGTAAACCTTACTGTTACATTCCCTGGCCATTTCGCCGAGACTACCACTGCCGTTCACAGCATTGGTCCCACTAACCTCAGCAGTATTGGGAATCAACATGCTCAGAGACCCGAGATTCAACTGCAGGTTCAGATTGTGATTGGCCATGTACATGCGGTTCTTAGCAGCTTCCTTGGACAGACCCGGTGGGCGTTGCTCCGTGCAGGGGAATTTGGGGTCGGTGGGGGAGAAGGGCGTCTCCCACACCTGTGAGAACTCATCCATCAGCCACGGGTACGCGGTCTGATTGGCTTCGTAGTCCATGAAGAAGACTGCGCGCTTCCGAGCGAGGATCATTTCCGAGAGCGTGGGCCAGTCATTCAGAGCCATTGGGACCTTGCTTGGGGTGTAGATGAGGTCCTTTAGGCCGGAGTTGTAGATCGGGCCGGTAAAGTTACCGGGCTTGACAAAGTCGAAGTTGCCGATGATGAAGGTCACCACGTCGTAGGGGTTCGCTCGCATCCAGGTATTGACTTCTGTCAGGTATGCTTCGAGGGTGCCGACGCCGAGCAATTGGCAGCTTGTGTGGCATAGGTACATTGTGCCGTTCTCGTAGTGAGTTTGGAATTGCACTACTCCATAGGTTAGTTGCTTCTTTTTAATAGTTTAATGCAGTGCTCCACTGACGCGTGCGAATTCCATCATTCAGTTGCGATGTCACATCCAGCACCTGGTTGGCGGCGACGCTGTTCTTGCGCACGAACGGGCTGTTGTGCGCTGCAACCATGGTAATGTTGGAATACTTCCTAACACAGAACTCGGGGTAGCTGTTGCATGGCCGTGTATTGACGACAGGGGTCCTTGTAGCTGTCCCAGTCGTAGTCGCAGTCGCGTTCATGCTCATATTCCCGACCACCGTCGTTCCTCCACCGCCCACCAGCAAAGTCAAGGAGTCGGAAGTTGTGGTCATTACGGTCTGGTTGGAGGCAGTCATCGTACCATTGCTGTGGGTCGATGCAACGACCGACTTTCCGCCATCACTCAATGTGATTGTGGTGCTGGGGTCTAGGTAGCTACCCGAGGGGAGTGCCACGGGCGTTGTGACGGACACAACCGTAGGTCCATCAGTAGTCTTGCCGGACTCGGAGGATTCGGTCGACTCGGCCACGGCAATGGCCAGTAAGGCGAACAGAATTGTAGGCCTCATCGTGTGTATGGTATGAGCGCAAGATAGGAGGAATTGGGAATCCAATACTTGAACTTACCTAAGCGAGATTTTCAGTGACGTCGACCAGGCCAATGACATTTTTAGATCATTTTAGGGGGCGAAGTGGGCTGAGATCTGCGCCGATTGCTCTTCCGATTGCTGCCTGATCGTTTGTCTCATATGACTTTTATTTTACCTGATATACCTTGAATATACCAATTTGAGACTCCATTTTCTTGCATTTGAATCACTAATGCCCTCGCCTACACGCCGTGTTTGTAGGATAGGATCGGCCATGCAGACCAGGGGCCACGCTAGTATTCAGCCACTGACGATCTCACGGGAGACGCGACGATCTGATAGAAATTTCTTAATTTTGAATCCAATACGGAGTAAAGCTAGTGAATCCACTGAAAACAAGGTAAAACACGCCCAGAAGGGATATTACAAACGTCATCCCACTGAACCCTAAATCTGCTCTTTTCTTCTAGACTTTGGAACTTCTCCTTTTCCTTTATTAGCATATTTCTATCATGCATGGGAGTAATGGCAAGCGAAAGCTTCCCTTTTTCAAGTCCACTGCGCCAATTGACCGTCAGCGCAAGTCTAATGTCCACTGGCATCGTCTGGTACGGTCGCTGTTGTACTTGATCGCTTGGATCTTTTTATTGCTGGTAGTCATTGGCAACACCTCTAATAAACCAGTCCTACGCAATACCTATTTTCTTTACCTTGATCTTGCCAATATTATCCCGATCTCCATTCCAAATGCCGTCCTGATCAACTCCATCGCCCAAACAATCGGTCTACACGATTTCTACCAGGTCGGACTATGGAACTTTTGCGAAGGATATAATGGACAAGGCATCACCTACTGCTCCAAGCCGAAGACTCTCTATGCCTTCAACCCAGTTGAGATCATCCTGGACGAGCTGCTGTCCGGTGCGACAAGTACGTGATACCAATCTCCCCCGACCTCAAGGAAACCCCCTGGACTAATAACCCCACAGTCGCACTCCCAGCCGATATCGAAAGCCCATTGAACCTAGCACGTGTTGCCTCCCACTGGATGTTCGGACTTCTCCTCTCCGCAGCAGTCATCAACTTCGTCATGATCTTCGTTGCCCCGCTCGCCGTCTCCTCGCGACACCCACGAAGTATCAAGGCCTGGGCTGCGGGCTACAATGGCGCTCACCCACCCGCGGGGAAGCCACCCCACCGTCGACGGACCTTCTTCTGGCTGCGCGCCCTACCGATGTTTATCTTGACCCTGTTCGCCGCCCTGACGGCAATTATCGGGTCGGCCGTCGCGACGGTCATGTTCGTGATCTTTGCCAATGTCTTTGAAAACGCAGACCCCAATATCAATATCCAGGCGCACGTCGGGGTACAGATGCTGGTGTTCATGTGGATTGCTTCGGCATCCAGTCTACTCGCATTCATCATTCAGATAGGCTCTTGCTGCGCGGCTTGCTGTCGTGGCCGCAAGGCTCGCAAGCACCTCAAGTTAGAGGGTATTAATTGGCATGAGAAGGGAGCGGTTGGCCCCGATTCGACCGAGCATTGCGGTGTCTCGTCCTGCAGAGATTCTACCGTTCCTACCGAGGAGCATCGTCTCACCTCCAATGGTCAGGCGTTCTCGGATGAGCAGAAGCAAAAGGTGGGTAATGGACATGCTTCCAACCAGCATTACTCGTACTCTTCGAGTGAACCCCATGCAATCTCACAATGATCTCGCGATTTCCCTTTTGGTCATATCTGCCACGGATTCATTTTCCTTTCTAGCATTCACATATTTTCATATTTGTGGGGTTTCAAGTCTCAATAACCCCTTTGGTGTTTCCACTTCTAGACATTCACCCTATTTTATCTACATTATCTACGGTATAATTTCACGATTTGACTGTAAAGAAATAGAGGCTCGGATATATCCCACAAAACTTGTGAATCTTGATTGAATACATATATGCTCCACATCTTCCCCCCGCGTTAGTTACGTCAGGAGAGTCGTAAGCTCCAAAATCCTTTCCCACAATCCCGCTGTCCCTTTGGACTGTGATTCGTCAATCCTCATCCCCTACAAAGTACCCAGTATCCCGCCCCCAGTGAAAAGGGCCCATAGCTCTCCACTTCACCTGTTCCTCGATATCACATCTCACGAAGATCAGCCTTAAGGCGTACAACGAACGACGTGCTTCGTATCGACTCCACCCATGGCAACCAAGGATCCCCCCAAAAAAGAAGGGTCGGGGATCGACAAAGATTGATTGTAGAACCGCCTGGGGGAATTAGTAAAAAAGGGAGACCTTCACGGTTCTTGTTGATCTATGAATATCAATATTATGTACAATATATACCCCGGATAGCCCAAATCCCCCCATATGGATTGTGCGCAACTACAACTCAGTACTCCGTACCCCCATAACCACTATATCACCCACCCTAAATGCCAAAAACTACCCGGAAAAAAAAAACACTCTCTCTTGTGTTATCTCCCTCCGGTTCTACTGTTCACGCGACCAAACACAGACCATCTAGAATCTATAAAAAAATATATATATATATATAACAGGAATCTCTGCCCACCGGTTCCGTGGTTGAGCTCCCATCGGACTGCGGTCTGATATCATACACTTCTTGCATCCCTCATTAGCCCAACTACCGTCTGCGACATATACCTAAATACCAACTGGGTCTGCGACATATACCTAATACCAACTGAGCCCGAGATCCACACCGCTCCCCAACCCTTCCCTCTAGGCCAAACCACCCGAATGTCCGACTTCAGCCTAACCGACAAGGTAGCGCTAGTCACCGGAGCCGGTCGAGGCCTAGGCCTAACCCTAGCAGAGGCTCTGTTAGAAGCGGGGGCCAAAGTGTACGCTTTGGACTACCTAAAGGAGCCGGTATGTGTGTCACACCTGTGATACAATCTCAATCTCCTAGGAAGGAATAACCCCCGAATAACCCATTACAAAAGACACTCGAGTTCGTAGACATCCAGCAGCGCGCCAAGATATTGGGCACCGAGCTGCAGTATCGCTGTGTCGACGTGCGTGACGCAGAACGTCTCAATGCCGTCATCGAAGATATCGCCAATCACGAGGGTCGCTTAGATGGCCTCCTTGCTGCTGCTGCCATCCAGCAGGAGACGTCCGCTCTAGCGTACTCTGCTAGCGACAGTAACGCCTTGCTCGAAGTTAATGTGACTGGCGTGTTCATGACGGCGCAGGCTGTCGCGAAACAGATGATTCGGTTCGGGAATGGGGGTAGTATCGCATTGGTTGCTAGTATGAGCGGTACTGTCGTTAATAGGGTATGTTCCTTTCCACCTTTGTTTGGTTTTCTGATCAGGCTTTCATGTTGTGTGGCTTTTTTCCATGCCTTTGCACTCGGTTCGGTACTATATTATCAACAACCCCGTGATTCATCCGTAGATCCATACACACTAACAACATCCAAACAGGGCTTGATCTGCCCAGTCTACAACGCAAGCAAAGCCGCTGTCATCCAACTAGCCCGCAACCTCGCTGCGGAATGGGGCCAGTATAACATTCGTGTCAACACCCTCTCGCCCGGCTACACTCTTACTCCTATGTTGGAGATGCTCTTCGTCGAGTACCCAGAGCGCCGCGAGCAGTTTGCTAAAGAGAATATGTTAGGCCGTCTATCCCATCCAAAGGAGTACCGCGGTGCGACTGTCTTCCTGCTTTCAAATGCTAGTAGTTTCATGACTGGTAGTGATCTCCGCATAGATGGTGGTCACGCTGCGTGGTGAATACTTTCTGTGGGAACAAGTCGCTGGTTGTCTGAACCTTTTGGTATAGGAGTTTCTCTTTGGCACTGAAGTTTTCGTTGGTCACTCGATTTGGTAGTCCTTCCCTCTCGGCCGTTCTTGATTCACATGAAGCTAGTATATATGCAACTATACTGGAATTTCCCTAGCGAGTGGCGTCTTTGTATCCACGCGTTCGGTGAAAATGTGGTCTCGCAAACTTTGAAAAATGCCGGAGAACTAAGATTCACCATAGCACAAGTCGTGGGAGCATAACTTTCATTCCGAACTTGGGTTCAAACTTGAATGAAATACCTTATGAAGACTTGATAAGCGCACACACTCAGTCTACGCTTTCGTCCCACTGATTCTATGCCCCGAACTCCTCCCTCGCATGGGCACCGAGAATGCAAGCTCGAATTCCTAGCCGCAGGGATATATCGTGAATGTCTCATCCAGAGAAGGAATTCCCGAAGGCGTGCCTGATTCGCAGGGTAAGGCTAGTCACCATGTCCACACTAATATGTCCAAGGCCGCTATCAACATGATTACGGACACAGAGGCACAGTCTGCATGGAAGAAGCGGGGGGGTTGCTATGATGGATCTGGGGTATATGAGTGCTACGCCGGAGTGTCAGCTTGAGGATGGGTGTCCTATTGGGTTTGAAGATGGTGCAGCGATGGTACTTTGGCCTATTGCTGTTGGGGAGATTGAAGGGTGATAAGTGGCAGATTTATGAAACACGTTCAAGGTGTTTCACTTACGCGTCGGGGATGAGTAGGGGGGTTAGAGTTGAGAGATACAAAAAAAAGGCAAAGACCGTTTTAAATGTATATATTTTGCGTCTGTAGCGCTTGCCTTCCTCTTCGCTCTCGTATATGGTTCTATGCGGTTCGGATTCCAGCCTCGAGTCCAGGACCTTTTGTGTTTCCTCTGGTTTTAGTCCCTCTGGGAAAGTTTCATATATTATGAGAGTTGTCCAAGATGTTCATCACCCTAGTGGATAATATTGACGTTGGTCATGGCGGGATGCACTTCAATTGGCGAGCTCTGGGATATTTTCCATTGTGTGGGGGAAGTCTACCGAGATATATATACTACTGTTGTGGTATGACAACCTTATATTGGATTGGAGAATCATTCTAACATTGCCTTTCTACAACAGTTACTATTTATCTATGCCTCTTAATATGCATGCTATGGATTATAGAGCACATAGATTGATTGATGGATAGTCGGCATCAGAAGCGATCGGGGTATTAAGGAAGAGCAATCACGTTTATTGTGCAACAAATATCAAAGCACGCAGAATCAGAGTCAAATAATCGAATGATGGATTGGAGAGAGAAAAAAAAAAATCAAATTTCAAAGCTCAAGTGTGGGTTCCGAAGTAGATAAACAAGACATGCATAGACCTGATCAAGACCATGCCCGCTATCCGAAGATGTGGTAGTTGGTATAGCTCAAGCCGAAAAGAAAGATGAAGAAAATCAAAGAAACAGGGTATCGATATGGAATAAGAATAAAAGCAAAGTAAACCGAAATAAGAACAAAGCTCCAGAGAAAATCAAAATAAGGCGAGCAAAGAAGAGAAGATAACTAATCATACCGACATGAATGCATGCACTAACGACAACGCAATAAAAATCAAAGAGAAATCAAAGAGAGATTAAAGAAGAAAAAAAGAAACCATAAGCCCGTTGTCTTTCACTCCTGGTACGCCGACTAGTCGGTCCCCGTATTAAGACGCCATGTATGCAAAGGTCAACTCAAAGGACCAAATTAGAAAGGCAGAAACAGGCCATTAGCCCATCTCCATGCCGTACTCGTCCTCCTCCTTGAAGCTCATAGCAGCATGGCCAGCACTGTTCCAGTACTGCGGTTGACCAGCGCCGTTGGCACTGCTGGTGCCGCTGTGGAACGAAGGACTCAGGCTGGGAGGGGTTAGGCCGGACATGTCACCGCCCTGCACGGCATCGCCGGCGATGTTAGTGTGCTTAGGGACGCACAGACCGCTACCCGGTCCGCGGGTGTAGCTGAAGGAAGTTGGGTCATTCTTCTCCAAGGCATCGAGGATCTCGCTGCGCATGCGCTTTTCCTCTTCGGTTTGCTCAAAAGGCCAGGTTCCACCGAGACTGCCAATCAGCTCAGCGAGTTCCGCTTCTTGCTGGTATTTAACGTGAAGGGCCCACATCAGATCGCGAGTCCAACTGACGGCACCGTTGAGGATGTCGCCCTTGTTAGGACCCTTCTCCTTTTCTTCGATTGGGAGACCCATTGTGATGTTACCTGGTGTCGCACGGCGGCCGTTGCCTCCGGCGAGAAGAGATGTAGCAGCACTTCCCCCTGCACCGGCCATGGAAAGAGCGCTGCTGTTCACAAGTTGCTTCCGGACCTTGTCGTCTTCCAGTCGGTGTTGAGGAACCAGGTGGGAGAGATCCTGAATGCGTTCATTGATGTTGTCGCGTCGGCGGCGTTCGACTAGGTTGTGCGAGGCACGGCGACGGCGGCGCTTGGCTTCCTGGGATTCCAGATCTCCACCGCCGCCAGGAAGATGGGCGTCAACCTTGGCGGGCAGTGAGGCGTGCTTCCCAGACTTGAGAATCTCGGAGATTCCGGCGTGATGTGATTGGTGAGGAGGAGATGAGATGGGAGAGGACTCGACGTAGGACTGGGCACTGCCGGGAGTTCCATCCCACTGATTGGACAGTGTCTTCTGGTGACGAGCCTGTAGTCCGGTCCGGATAGGTTGAGACGGGAAGCTGCCAGACTCCGGGGTACCCAATGTCAAGGAACCCAGTGCCGGGGTCTTTGGAGTCATGGGGCTGCGGCTGTCAGAGGAAGTACGGTCCATGCCGTGCAAGCTCTGGCGCTTGGTGCCGAGATAGTTCTGGTCGAAAGAGCTGGCATTGTGCACGTGCGGATTTTGCTGATTCATGCGGTATTGTTCATAGTTGAAGCTGTTCTGAACGAACGGGCTGGCCATGGGAGCGTTATCCGGGGTGTTGGAGTACATGTGCGACATTTGACTTTGGTGACTCATCGCGATCCCCCCAGCAGACTGGTCCTGGAGATAGTTCACATTGTCGCGCTGATGACCGTTCTGACCGCTGATCTCGAGATCCAGCAACTCGTCTGTGTCGATGCCGGAATTTCCGAAGTTGAAGCTGGATGACATGTTCTGTTGCGAACCGTAGGAGTAGGGCATGAAGCCATTCTGTTGCTGCATGGTCAAGTCGGATGGGTCGATCCCATCAGCAGGGAATTGGTTGCCCATCGAGTAACCGGAGTGTGACATAATGAAAGGGGTGTGGTCGTCGGATTCGTGTTTGATGAATAGACTCGCTTCCGCCATAGGTGAAATAATATTCGGGGTTGAAGATGGGGCGCAGATCGGCGAGGGGTTAAGGGAGTAGTGCCGATCCCACTGACTCTCCGTGACAGATGTCAAAAGTTAAGTTCGAGACGATGAAGGGTAAGAGGTGTTGTGAGAATGTCACGATCTGTGGGAAAAAGATGTTAGTCAAAGACTCGACCCCGCCCGGCGATTTGAAGATGTCGTGGCCTCCGTGCGCAAGGCAAAACCAGGCAACCCAATAAAATGGCAAAATAGACGGGGAAGGGAGAAAGGAATGCAAATAATTACCCTTGAAACACTGAGGAGAGGAATGAAGTCCGGGGAGATTGTGAGACGTGCCAATAAAGCCGGGGAAAATTGCTCGGTCTTTAACCCGGGATTAGTCGATGGGAGAACTGTGCAGATCGCGACCACAAATGTGTAAGCCAATCGAGAGGCACAAGCGCAAAGTGACCGAAAAGTTCTAGAGGACTGTGTGAGCGATGAAAGACAGATAAAGAAAAAAAAAAAGTGGCCGAGGTAATGCGAAAGAAGATCAAGATAAGCCAGTGAAAAACCAGAGACGAGCAGGAAAAAAACCAAGCCCGAATCAGGCACTCAATCCCAGTTCCCAGTTGATCTTGTACCTTGGTATTTGGTCTCAAGTCCTTGTCGCAGTTATCCTCAGATGCAAAACCACAAAGTCCGGAGAAGAGTGGGGGAACAAGCGGTGGGAGGGCGGTGAGAAGTGGCGATCTGGGGGGTTTCTCCCCATAGAGTGTTCACCGGTTTCCATCTTCATTGAAGTCTTGTCTCTTGCGCCTTGACCTCTGCTTGCTGGGGGATTGCTCGGGATTTGATCACGCTCGGATTGCAATCGGAATACGAGTTGACGCAAGTGCTTACAAAAACAACATGGGCTTGGGCTTGGGCTTGGACTTGGACTTGGTTCTGAAGATGAAATATTGGAACTTACCAAGTGAAGTGTATATGAAGTTGGTGTAAGAAGTTGGTGCAAGTATATCTTATATGAATCATAAGTATACCTCGGAAGTAGACCTATAGATCTATGTTGACGTTAGCAAAAGATCAATAAGCATGCAGGTCAAGACATATACATGTCATCAGCAGAGCCCCATTCACACGTGGGGGACCTTGCAATAGATCACAGATGCAGGCACAAATGGAATATGCGATGAATGTTGCAGACTTGACACGTACCTTGATCTGTATAGTACAAAGTCTGAGATTGAATGTCTTTACAAATCAAGAGTTCAACAAAAGGTATGCAAGAGGAGAAGAAAGCACTTGCATGTTTTGCAGACACCGAGGGAATGGAGACTTTATGAACTCAAGCGGCGTTCTCCTGCATCTCTCATTTGATATATTACAACACCGGTCATGCAGCCCGTCGATCGGTGGAAATCGATGAGATTCACCTACGCCATCGGACAGATATTTATTTTTATTTTATTAAGTTGACTACTACCATCTGGATCAGAAGGGGAAAAGGGTGTGTAAATGTGAGTGGGTTTTTGGGTGGAGAGGTGGCAATGGTAAACCCCCGAGCCTTTTTTTTTTTTTTTAATCTTTTAACAGTACATGAATAAACCAAAAAAAAAAAAAAGAAAATACTAGAAATACTAGACAAAAACAAAAGATAATCATATTCACTTGAAAAAAAAACATACTTGGACAAAGGGGGGAAGGGTGATACAGCCGGATCGAGTAAAACGGCCATCCCATGATACCCGTTGGGAGATTTGTCACCTGTTACGATCATGACTCATGGGTGTCTTGAAAAGATCAAGCAAGAATGTATCAGATGAGGCCTTGGGGTTACAAGCATACCAAAACCTATCTGGAAACCCTATATTTGTGAGTGGAAGTCTGCAGGACATATTCAAGATCCCCGAATGAGACCACCTGGGCATAGATAGTTGATCTCCAACCAGTGTACTAGTACTCACACCGGAGATGGTAGAGATCGACTAGCATGCGAAAATGACTTTGAGTCGCAAATATCATCCGGAGAACATAACATGCATAACCCCATTATCTTGGCAATACCAAAGATAGAGAAGATGGGATAAGATCCCAGTTTGTATGTGATGGAAGTAAAAACAGATAATAGAAAAGAAAAAGAAAAAAAGAAAGTAACCCACAGACCACATTCATAAGCACTATCGACTCTGCAAGAGGATCAGTGCGCTCTGTTCTTCATGTGGGATGTCGTGCAGAGGAGACTAGAGTGACGATCATATCTTGCTGTGATCGTCAACGGAGCTTGGACCTTCATATTAGTCGGCTCCAACTGCACACTCTGGAGTCTGTTTGGTCTTTCGGTACGTAGGGGGCGGACTTGCGATTATTGAGCTGGGTTATAGCGGCAAAGGAAATAATGTTATACTTCGATGTTTGGAATCCTCTAGAATGTTGAGGGTAGTGACTTGGGATTTCAGACCTGACCATCCATTCGGCTTTCCAGACCACAAGTATGGTAGAATGTGGCGGAGAGAGACAATTGGAGGGGTTGGAATGTGTCTTGACATCCCTCCAATAGTGAATCAGCGCCATACACCTCACTTTGGTCCTATACTAAGCCACATCGCCAAAGTTTCCTCCGCTCTCTTATGAGCCACTCCGGTTTAGGGAATGGTATTCCAGGATCGACGGATGAGGATTGATCTCCGGGATTCGTGAGGGGAAATATGGATCTGACGTCCCGTCCCGTCAAGGTTTGGGCGATACACACAATTGATGCAAGGGAGAAGTTCTTCTATCTTGATATCCAATACGGAGTACACGTTGAGACTATCTATCTTTTGAGGTAACTGCGCACAGGACCCTGAGATGACGACATTGTACGTGGTTAAGGTCGCACTCCATTCCGGGGGGGGTCACGGATAAACCGACTGGTGTACGCCGGACATTCTATAGAGTAACAATACAAAGTCAAGCCAAAAAGCAAGAAAAACAGGGAACCGCAAAAAGCAAAAAGCAAAAAGCAAAAGCAGAAACCAAAGAGAAACCATGAGGTTGCCGATGTTACCCACCAGAGTCCGGAGTGCATACTAGCGTCCTTATGGTCGGATAATTCCCCTAGGTGGTACACGGGTAGCTACATAAATACAGTCAACAGGGCAAAAGGTTATATAATGGGTATGCAACATAATCTGGAGTTCTTCCGATACGACTACCGGCAACCATAGCCGTTATCGCCGTTGTAGATGCTTCTGCAGGATTCAATACAAGTACACTATCACTCTACTGTTACAGTTACGGCCGATCGCCACAGGGTGCGCACCAGCCATGAAAGATCGACAGTGGAACGGCAACTAATTAAAAGTTGCAGAAAGAGAGGGCCATCCATAATGGTCATGAGTCCAGATCGAGTTATTATATAAAATAGACTATATTGTAAATTAATATTATAGAGACGAAAGTCATACGCTCCACTTGAAGTATGTCGATTTGATTTAATAATAGAATAGTCTAAAACTGCATGTCTTCAAGGGTTTGACAAATTCCAGCGGGTATAGCGCAAAGGGGAAAAAAAAATAGAAAATATGAATGTATCTATAATGCCATAGCATAATAATAACAGAGAACAAAAATAGAAAATAACTAAAATGATATATTGAAGTTGCTTATAGGTGGGTTCTATACTTGCTATTGGCGCTATACCACATTAGGCACTAGCCCCCTTTCCCCAACTTCAATGTTCATTGCACCGCTGAGAACTGCCATACTATACCTCTCTACACACCACCTAGGCAACATTTCACCCACTTGGTAAGCAACATGTATTCCATTAATCCCAGCTATCTTTCTATGGGGGGATAATCCTGGTCAATAACCCCACAGGGGTCGGTCCGAGAGCTTTGTACCCCAACACTGGGAAACCATCATCTGACAGCTTCAGCACTGAACGCCGATCGGGTTGGTCGCATCGGTAGCTCCACGCCATCTCGTCATTTTCCTTGGTTCCCCTCGTCTTCCTACCCTCCTTTATCGATAGCGCAGCGCTTCCGTATCCAATCAGCACCCCGTCGACTCCCCACGCCGTGCTCACATCCCCATCCCCTTCTTGGATCGTGCAAGGTTCAACGCTTCCCACCTATCTTCCGCTTGGTTGGTATATCTCGCCGCGTTATTGCAAGACGTGCCTCGATTACGATCCACCTGCGCCACGCCGGACGACATCTAAGCCACCCCCCTGGTAGTCATCGCCGACTCCGCAGAGCTGCAGATCCCGTTGGGTGTAGCCTTATCGCAGTGTAATAGGCAGCCCTTTTCTTGGGAAGGTTGCCCATAAGCTTTTGTACCAGCCTACCGTATTCGAACCTTTTGATCTTTTCGATCTTGACCTCATATCTTCGAGTCGGAGAACTTTCCTCGACAGTGGTCCCCCGTTCCAAAGTCACGGCGTGCCCTAGCTCATCAGAAGCCGAATCCACGTTCGACACAGTCGTCATCTGCTCCTTTGTTGGTTTGGCCTAGTCTCCGTCTCTAGCCAATCCTCGAAGATCATCCACCACTCGGCGCAGATCATCTGCACCCCATCTCGCATAGTCCCTGCAGGCTGTCCTCTTTGACTTGACTTCCTAAACCACGGACCTTCTCTGCAGACGCAGGAGTGCACGTACCTCTATTCGTTTCATTTGACATCTAAAACTTGACTAAAGCTAGTCTCAAACATGGCGAATAACTCGTTCCGAGACTCTGTCAACTCACTAGGATGGTCGCGTAGAGATCCGGATCTCCCCGTGCGAACTGGCACATCATCAAACACTCCATTCTTATCTCGTCTACAGTCTTACAATCCGTTCGGAGATGGCGGCTATGTTCAACTGCCCACTCACAATGACGGTCCTGGGGCCCCATTACCGGCAGCCAGTCGCCGGGAAGAAGAAGAGGGCTTCTTTGCTTGTGAGTTTTTTTTTTTCTGTCGTGTGACCCTCCGATCCCCAGATCCTCCCGTACACCGTTGCGTAAAATCCAGGTGATGAGACTACAGTTCCTGCGCCGGGAGGATTCATCATCACCATGCTTGTTTTATGTGGTTGTGACCCGATAGAAGAAAAGAAAGAAAAAACACACTAACACAGACTTCGTATAGTGAGTCGGTGGGACCGCATGCTGATCTTTGGCGCATGTAACTTGGGTGCCGCCGTCTGTTTCATGCTCTGCTTCTTCTTGTTCCCTGTACTGACACTGAAGCCCCGCAAATTCGCCGTCTTGTAAGTTGCCTCCGCGATGGTCCGCATTAATGTGACTATCGTCCCCAGCTTTCTGCGGCCTTCCCAATCTCTTTCCCGTTCCCCTAGTTATCTCATGCACCTGGACGGCCAAGCAAATCCCGAACTGGGATAGACCAGGTCATCGGTCAATCTTGGTTAGGGCCATGTGCGCCTTTGTACTTTACACTGCAACCTGATTCGTCCTGAACTCGACTTATACCTGTGCCTCATGCCAAGAACCTTGGTCTTTAGTCTTGGATATCTCTTGCTAACAGGTTTCTTTAGATGGTCCGTCGGCTCAATGTTGTTTCTGATCTCATGGGCAGTTCTCATGGGACCGTGGACTTACGCTAAGCATTTGACCTCGGGGTCACGGTTGCCATTCACAGCGGCCTATTTCGGATCGATCGCCCTGACGCTCTACTTTGCTATCGGGGTAAGTAAAATCCATTTCTTTATCTTTCTGATTTTCGTTTTCGTTTTCGTTTTGGATTTTATCTTCGGTATTTGCGGTTTACCTCGTTGCACGCCGACGATCCCTCCCCTTCTCATGATACTCCCCTCTACATTTCCTTGTTTGTTGCACACTCGGTTTCCCTCCCTCTAGCCGAGTCTGTATGGTCACACTGCACAACCGGGAAAAGGGGAATCTTACAGCCTTCACATCCATCGCGCAGTACAACCTGAAACCACAGCTTGTCATGTCTGCCGTTGGCCGCTGCCATTTTAACTCCTTCCAACTCATCCCACCCTGTACTCAGTCGGCCTCACTGCTCTCCATCTTGCGTCTGTACTACGTCCCACCACGGCGCGGGACTTGGATGTTCTTTCCCTTCACTCTTGTCCGACACATCCCGGTGTCACAGAGCGCGGAGTCCAGAGCCATCGAGATCAACCTATGTCTCACCGTCCCTGACTCCTCGGTCATCTTGTTCTACCTGCATATCACAACTACACACCATCCACTTGCCACATTCGGCAACACAACCTCTCCTAGAAACCTTTGCTAACCTCTCTTTTTCGCTGCGCTCTAGCTTCAAAGTCTCCTCCTCACTCTCATCTCTTCTATCTTCCAAATCGCTGCCCTCGTCTGGTACCTCGTCAGTTATTTCCCCATGGGCAGTACCGGCTTGCAGTACGTGGGTCGTTTCGGAGCATCGCGTGTTACCTCTTGGATTAGTGGTTGATTTTTTCACTTCCTTGTGCCGTATGGTCTGCGCTTTATCGAATCTCGCGTACATCGCACGGTGGGTATGTGGTTACTTGGATATCGGGCGTGGGTTGGTTTCTTCGTTGTGTATATCTAGCCAGAAATACAGTATCTGGCGCTTTGAATTCTCTTTCTTTCCTTCAAATACTTATATTTTCATGCGGACTAGGTGTCCTGGTAGTGCAATACTCAATATTGATATTGGACAAAAAGGGAACTTGTAGATTACCACATGTGTAGCTATGCTTATGATAGGGTACAGAAATGTCTACACAGCCCCAAAGCGCATGAGCATTACTGCATCCCAAGTATTGATAGTATGAATCCATTCAGTCGTTGTCAAAGCCAGCAAAAGAATAAGAAATAAGCCGACCCGAAGTCTACAATGTAGGGCAAAAAGGCACTATAAAATCCAATCCAGCAAAGTCATACCCCATAGCAAAAGTCATCACAAAAGAATTCAAGAATCACTCCATTCCATCTCAATCATTCATCAATAAAGTATCCTAATACTTTCCCCGACTCATAACCAACCCAACAACACCATCAACAACCCTAACACCCTCAACCTCCTTCTCAAAAATGCCCGTATTCCGACCAGATCCAACCTCAACCCACCGCTGCAGCAAATCATTACTCTCTTTCGGCTTAACATCCTGCGATGCTGTGCCGACCGTGATATGCGCAATTGGATTCGCACATGGCCACTCAGCCACGCTCTCCGCCTCGCCACCCTCGGCGGGCAAGATGCGCGCAACAAATGCCATGATGCGGTTATCCCAGACGAGACGCTCGATGCGTACACGTGCGGAGCCCAGGGTCGGTGGGTGCTGGATTGGCTTTGGGACTGGGTTTTTGGTCTGGGTCTCGATGTAGCGGGTTGCTAGGTGGTCCCAGGTTTCTGGGTGGTCTTTCTTTGAAGCGCGGTGGATGAGGGTTACGTGGAAGCTTGGTTGGAGGCGGCGGGAGTTTATGAGTTGGTTGTAGAGACGGGCTGTTTCGGGGCTTGTGTGTGGTGGGAAGAGGGATTGGAGGATTGAGGTAATTTCGTTTGTTGGGAGGGAGATGTTGAAGTATTCGATCTTTTTGGAGAGGGCTTCTGGGGAGAAGGGGGAGTCTGTTGGTTCAAGAAGGAGGCGACCGGTTTCTTGGGTTTTGTTTTTGTTCTTTTGCTTCGGTGTGGAAGAATAGCTGTAGCTGAGATCTGTTGTCACGGTGTAGTCGTCTAGGGAGGCGGCGATGGCTTCGTCGAGTTCCGCTGCCGTGGGCATGGTTGGCACTAGGCGCGGGTAGGCGGCGTGTAGGGCTTTGACGACTGTTTCGAGGTTCTCACGAGACGAAGCACACACGTCGAGGTCGATGACGTGGTCGAAGTTCGTGTCTGGCGAGCGGGTGCTGTCAATGCCTTCGAAACGGCCGAGGAATCCCTCCATGATTCCGACGATTTCTTCCCGGGCGTTGCTGCCAGCCCGGATGGTTTGGTGGTTGTCGCCACGCTCTAGCACACGCTTTCGAGTGACCTCTCGAATGGCAGGGAGCAATTCTGCCTTGGGCTCGTGGACGTAATGCAGAGCGACGAACTGCGCATCTGGGAGCACAGGGTAGATATCCTCCATGAGCTGCGTGCGTTCGCGCCGTAAATGGTTGTTACGATCGGCGATGACAACACTGTGTTCTGCTAGAGCATGGCTGACCTCAAAAGCGAACTTCTTCGGCTTGTTCTTCTGTTTGGGGATGTTGTCGTTCTGAATATGTCCCCATCCGAAGAGCTTAACTAGAGCCAAGGCAAGTGTCGTCTTTCCACAACCCAGAGAGGCAATAGGCTCGAGAATGACATTTTTGTTGACTTCGTGCATTTCGGTCTGCATTTTAGCCTCCAGAGCGATAAGCTCGGATCCATTCAATCCTCGTTCCTTGAGGAACTCCTCTCGCAAAGCAATGATACCGTGATTATTCATATAATCAGTTGCCATCTTGGGGTTCCTCATCAGAATCCGTCGAGCAAACTGCAAGTATTCCTCGGTGATCTTCTCATGCTTCCTGATCTTGGGGTGCTTCCCCGCGATGACGGCTTTGGTGCATTCACGCCACTGGCGGTACATCAAGTACGGCTCTTCGAACTTGTACTTGAAGAACCAATGACGGTAGGGTTCAGCCCCCTTGTCGCTGAGCTGGCATCGGATGACGAAACCCTCGGTTTCACGTCCATCCCATGTTCCTGTCTCCGCGCATCCTTCTAGGAAGCTCTGCACTCTGTAGATGTCATCAAAGACCTCGAACTTGGCCTTCTTGAAGCCCCAGTCGTCAGCAAACTTGTGCACCTCGTCACAAGGCATTGTCTGGAAGTCGGGCTGGTTATAGTTGAGACCGTGGATGTAAATTCCTGAAGAAGCCTCGTCATAGGCCAGCACATGCTCCTCAAAAGTGTCGTCGCAGAGCTCTCCAACGGCTGTTACATTCATCTTGCGCAGAGTCCGGGCCAGGTCCTTGACAGATCGATTCACGGATGAGACATGGCGTTCTGTCCAGCGTTCTCCTGCCTGCGCGTGGCTCAACTTTGTATCCCCACGGGCTCCAGTTGAGTGTTTGCTGCAAACTAGCAATTTGTCGTCCTCCAAAGCAGAAATGAAGATAATACATCCATTCTCTTTAACACTCAGCTCGTAAGGACCCCTTGTGTTTTTCTCGATGTTGCGCCAGTCTGTGGTCTTTACTTCGCCTACATTGAAAAACTTATCATATCCGCGCGTCGCGATTTCGGGACTGCCGTCTTTCCGTTTGGTGGTAAAGAGACCTCGGGCATATGTCGGCAAACCGGGGTGCTTGTAGTCCCAGTCCTGGAACTTCCATGAGTCGACGGTCACATTTTTGGTACCGGCTACCTCAAAGGTATTCTTTTTGCATGTGAACTTTGTCGCGCCCTTTTTAGCCTTGCGAGCAGTCTCCAATTCTTTCACCAGCTGGGAGATAACTTGTGGATCTTGAGTTGCCATATTTTGTGTATTTCAGGGAGATTTGCGGCAGAGGACGGAGAGGAGGGGCAGAGAGGAAGGAGAGATGGGAGAGTTTTTCCTTCTTGTCCGAGGTATTCTAGACGTATATGTAGAAGATGTAGACAACTGAAGCGAAAGAAATAAAATAAAATAGCCAAAGGCACCAAAGACCGAAAGACCGAAAGACCAGAAGAGTCAGAGAATGTGTCAGAGTGCGGGGAGCCGAAAGGGAAAGGCGGATATTTTTTTCTCTGCTTGGCTTGACTTTCTTTCCTCTTGACTTCTTGACTCGACTGATTTTACTTTCACTTCAATAATTACTTCTGACTCATAATGACTCAAAATCCTTACCTCTTGGCTTGCGATAACCCAACGGCCCTTCTGGACCTGTTGCGATCCAACCCCTCGATCGCGTCAAGCCAAGATGAGTCTGGCTACTCATTGCTGCACGCCGCAGCCTCCTACGGCCATATCGATCTCCTACGCGCTCTAGTGAAAGAGTTCAAGGTTGATGTCAACCTCCTTGACGAAGATAGCGAGACATGTCTATTTGTGGTTGAAGACAGTGGTATCGCGCGCTGTTTAGTCGAGGAACTGGGTGTGGACGCCAATAAGAAGAACGCCGAAGATTTTACAGCTGTGGAGAAGTTTGAGGCCGAGAATGAATTCCCTCAGGTCGCTGCTTATCTCCGCGAGGTCGCCGGTGGTGCTCCTACTCCAACACACGCCCAAGCCGCCCAAGTTTTGAATTCTCCCGGGCCCATCCCCGGAAGCGATATGAGGATTAAAGTTGGTACAATGACGGAGGAGGAGGCCACTGCTGGTGGTGAGCCTGATCCAGAATTCAAGAGGCGCATTGAGGAGCTTGCGACCCGTGAGGATTATTACAGCGAGGAGGTGCAGAATGAGGTTCGCGAGTTGGTCAAGGATGCCATGGCTGGCTCGAATATTGAAGCTATGGAGCGGGAAATTCGGAGGAGAACCGAGTAAGGAGGAGCGTTACGACCGTTAAACTCATTCCACTGTCATGTCGGACTGCTGTCTGTACAAGAGACCACCATCGCGTTTGAAGATGCGAATCACCGAAAGAAATCCAAGCATTTCAGACGGAGTCCCAAAGTCGCTGCTGATGGTATCGAGCGCGGGCGGGTACTCTACCTCAATCTCGGGAATCCTTTGTCTCTCGCTGTGAAGGCTCGCTGTTAGATTCCTGTTGGGGTTGTCCGAGTGGCTCGGAGGCCCAAATAGAAGCTTCCATACTCTTGTAACTAGGATTAAATCACGAAATATCACGATACCTCCAAGCAATTTATCAGTAGTACAACATGCCTATTAACTACCTGGATTAATCTAACTCTACTTCTTTACTGCACCCTCAAAACCCCTCTGTCCTCACAAGCAAACCAGTCCATGCCCGCCTCGTCCCGTCCTCATCAACTACCACGGCGGCGGTTTCTCAATCGGCCACGCTCGCGATGATTCCCGCTGGGCGGGTACCATGCTAAAAGCCTACCCCGATGCGGTAGTCGTAAGCGTCAATTACCGTCTCGCCCCGGAGCAACCCTTCCCCGTCGCTCTGGAGGACGGCGTCGATGCTATCCTATGGTTATGGTAAGGATCACAGAAGTATAATGTTAACAAGACCCGCTTCGCACTCAGCGGATCTAGGGCAGGCGGGAACATCGCCCTAGCAGTGCCGTTCCGGCCACACGAGGAACTACAGAAAAAGCGCTGGGCCTCGATGGGCGAGGAGAGAGCGTTGGCTGGCTTGGAGTCTCACCATGCTCAGACCCCTCTGCGTATCCCCGTTGTTTAAAAGCAAATGAAAGTTTGGGAGACCGTGACAGAAGATAAGAAGGAGAAGGGGGGCTGACGTTCTCTTGGCCAGCTCGGAAGCCCTTCTCGCTTCTATCAGAAATTGGTCAATCATTCTCGCCGGGCTAACCACAGTCACAGGCGAGAGTTCATCGCTGTCCAAGAGCTCTTGGCTCAGGCATATCTTTCGTTCCTCATAGGGGTTTCCATGTAGGAACGACCCGTACTCCTTGACGAGCTTGGCGGGTTCCACAGCGGTCAACCAAGTTTGCTGCATCCCGAGTCCTTCGAACAAATAGTTGAAAGCGTAGAAATCCGAAATGAACCAACCATCGTCTTTCGGGTTGGCGGTGGAGAGGGTAGGGTGTGTGGCCCCGAGGATGATAGTGTTCTCATGGACCACGGGCACCGTTGAAGACATGAACATTGAAGGCAGCTTATCGGGTTGGTCGGTATGGCCACCCCGGACAAAAGGCTGGTAAGGGGATGGTGATGATGATGTGGAAGACATGATGACGGAGTATATGAGTGAGATCTTTTGACAGATAGAACCAGTCCGTCAGTAGTGGTATGTTTCCTGCTGACGAGCAACGATGGTAGACTCCAGTCCACGAGACGGGGTGGGGCTCATACTGCGATGACTGGTGGGATGGATTACATCCGATAGAAGAAGACGAGTTCTGATGGAAGAAGATGAAATAGAAAGTTTGAGGTATTCTAAAGAACTAGAAAACCTGTCTCTAATTTAAATTCTTCAGAAAACGGAATCCCTTCCGGTCCGCCTAACATAATCCAGCAGAAATCCTGAATATCAATCGGATGCATATACTTCTCGGGTTATTTAGGTTAGACGGGCCGAAACGCCACAAGGTTCCCACAATTTTTACTACATCTAGTTGTAGTAAATCGCAACGGCTTATAGATATCAATAATTAAATTCTCTATCTTGGACATGGATCTAGTAGTAGTCTCAAACTCTGGGGCCTTCGGTCAGACTGTCTGGAGTTAGGATGTCTTCCACTTTTACGTCATTGCGCTCGAGTGCGTTATTTTTAAAGGGGGAAACGATGCTAGAAGATAATACACCTCCAGAAATAGGAGAACAGTGAAAATTGAGGGCCATCGAAAAGTGATCGCAAGATAAACAGTATTGTGCAAAGTACTGCTTTAGGTACGGTCTGAGCGTAGAGTGCTCAGTAGATGCCTCTGATCTCTGAGTAATCAATGAGCGCTCAGTGAGCGTTCATTGGACCTCACTGAGTCACGTGAATGGTCTGAGCAGCTGAGTCTGAGCCCGGACTGAGATCTACTTAGCCTGACTCTGAGCGTCCTCATAAAAGCGGCTAAGAGAGGAAAGCCCGGCCGAGGAAAAATGGTACGTGTAGCTACAGATGTATGTTGTAGAAATGATACTATGTTGCCGTAGATCACCGGTCTAGTCCCCGCCAAGCTCGGCCCCATCTCCGGCGTAACAACATAGCTTCCATCTACAATCAACCTCATATCATGTCTCAACCACCGTCTCCATTCCCCCCGCAGTCGCCGTTCTACTCATCCCAAATCATGAACACCGCCCACTCTGACACACCTCCTCCACCACCCCCCAAACCCAACAGCCATGAAGCCAGTCGACGTGGCACCCCACAAAACACCTCCGCTACACACTGGCAGCCAGACACCCAGACAGGCACACATCAGGGTGGATACCCCAGCAATCCTCAACAGCCATATCTCCCCGAACCCCCAACAGTCGAGGAAGGCTGGCTCCCAGACCTAGTATCCGACAAATCGTGGGTACCCCCAACCCCGCAAAACTAAGGATACAAACACTAACCCACAACCCAGAACAACCGATCTCCAAACAATCCTCAAGGACCCAGCTTTAATATCCGCTCTCTCAAGCCAGCACCCCTCCTACACAGCCCGCCAACAATACCTCGAAAGCCTAATCCAAACGAATAAAGACCTCGCAACCCGCGTCCTAGAAATGCAGAACCACCTCGCCGAAGTCCGCGCCTCCACTGAAACAATGCTGATCACACACCAGTCGCTTGAGGTCTCCTGGCGCAAAAAGCAAGCCGAGATGGACGCCGCTCTAGCGCCGTGGTCGCCGAAGGCGCTCTACCAGCGCTTCAGCGCGGCAATCACGGAGCAGGAGGCTGTGTGCCGTGCTGTTGAGGAGAGTTTCCTCGACGAAGACCATCACGGCCTGGCGACGGAGAAGGAGATTGCAGATTGGGTCCGACGCGTACGGGGCGAGGCATCTAAATTGGCGGCTCGGAAAGAGGCCAAGGCACGGTGGGATGAGGGACGTGTTGGTGGTTGGCGATGAGGTGTAAAAACAACCTCGAAATACAACTAGTCACTATCTGACTACCCATAACGATGCCATGCTGCCTCCGATTGATGATCTGCTATGCACTATACAATACAATCTACACTGTACTTTCAAGCTCGCGCTCAAAAAAATCCCAAATCCACCACTCACCCCTCAAGCCTAACAGCCATACCCTCACCAGTCTCTGGCTTGACATGTCCCTGCGCGTGTCCCTGACCCTGACCCCTAGACACCATCTCCCTCACCGCAGCCGCACCTTCAACATCAACATCCAATCCCCTCTCGCCAGCCCACCCATCAGTTCCCAGGGAACTAGGAACCCCAACCCCACGCATAAAAGCGCGTCCTCGACTGCGCGCACCCCAAGCCCATCCCGCACCGCGGCGAATTGGAAGATGGTACATTTTAAAGCCGATATAAGCGAAGAAAATGCCGACAGCCGCGCCGAAGAGAATATCAAAGCCGTGGTGTCTGTAATTGAACCAGCGCGACGCGGCAATAAAGCACGCCGTGGCGGTTGGAAAGAACGCAAGTAGCATCAGGTAGACGGGCGGCGCGGCGCCTCGTTTCCGCACGGATGTACTCTCGTCGGAATGGCTCTGATCTTCGACCGGGTAGGGCGGGAGATAGGGGAATGCGACGGAGAATTTCGAGCAGACCCAAAGGGTTAGATAGCCTAGACCGGCGAAGGAGACTATGGCGCTAGTGTTAGCCATTCGAATTCATGTGTGTACATACTGTGACTGTTTATATCCATCCGAAGACAAGATACAATCAACACATTTGAATGAGATATGAAATGAACTTACAAGAAGAATGCCCACTCGGAAAACTAGCAAACCCATCAATGCGCAACGAATTACTCTTATTCCGACAAATCTCCCATGACACAAGCGTCACAGCACCCCTGACCGACTCTCCAAGCCCACCTACCGTAAACTCCGCAACGCGATCTACGTCTGGATCGCAGCGCGCCAGCATATCAGGTCTCGGTTTTCCTATGAGGGCCTTTAAACCCTGTGTGGCTGTCCAAGCACTTGCGAGGGCCAGCGCGAGACCCATCCAGCCGACGTTCCATTCCCAGAATTTGCGGCGGATGTATTGTGCTGCGGGGGGGTTGGGGGCGGTGGAGCTGGAAGTGGAGGGGGTGGAGGTGGCTTTTGGTGGGACGACCAGCCATGAGATTAGGAGGATTATGATTGCTGGTGCGAACAGACAGACTAGGATTAGGGTCTTTGTTGTTACTGTTTCTTTCGTGAGTGGGTAGCTGATTGCTTGGTCGGTTAGGCTGAAGGGGTGGTGATTTGGGGGTTGTTCGTAGAATCCGTAGCCGATTAGGGCGATGCCGCTGGTTAGGAATTTGTTAGTGTTTTTTTTAGATGGGTAGGGTGGTTGGGATGGTTGGATGTACATGATGAATATCCAGTCGATTACGTAGGATAGTAGTAGTAGTTTGGAGATGGCAGCCAAGCGCGTTGCCGTCTCCTTGACGGGGATGGGCATGTTGTGCTATGCAAATAATGTTGAAATCAAATAAGAACAATAAGGAGAAGACTAATGTGCGAGGTGAGGTTTGAGGCTGACTTGAAGGATGACGAATGGGTGTGGCTGAGCACCTGAGGAGCTTATTATTCACAGACCTCGCATACTTCCTACAAATGTATAAAGATCTTCTTTTCACCTCCGAATGGTTTCCCCATATTTCACGTCATTGATTATACTAGCTCCACTTTTCTAATATTGTACACTCATACCCAATGACCTCCTTTAAGCAGTTCAATTGAATTGCCTGGTAAAACCCTTGTAGTCTTTTGCTTTTGAACATAGAATAAATGATACGCGAAGAAAGTATCTGATCTATCTTTTTGAGATTGTATAAATATCACGCCTTTCATACAACTTCCCGAGGTCGAACAATTCCCTTCAATAGAAAAATTGACTCGATACCATTCATAATCGAAACCTGTCGAGTAGTTGATTCTCCTTCCACCAAAGCCAAGCTAAGCCGAGTTAAGCTCAGCGGGTGTCACTCTGCAGCTTGCCTTTACCCCGCATACTATATATGCATGAAGCCGATGGGCTTGACCATCTCACCGTTAAGCCATATCACATTCTAATCCAGGCTTCATTGGGGCGAACAGATGACTGATGTCACAAACGGAATTGAACCAGTTGGTTCTATGTACTTCCATGGATTCATTGGTGTCCGGTTCCTGGTGGATGAGCCCCTATATACTATATATTATACTCACTTTCTATCTCTATCAGCAGCCACTTATTCTCTGACTCAATTCTATTGGTAATGGGGGCGCTATCTGCGATGGGATCGAGGCTAAGAACCAGTTGTATTGAAATGCATCCTCTGAACCGGTGTGTTATGTGCATATGTAGTTTGTATAAAATCAGACTGTATAGGAAGCGCCAAGTTCGTGGGTAGCTTCAATCGGCTACGACGGAATTTGCGATTTAACAGGATGGTGTGGCTTTTGATAATAATCATTGGAATTTTCATTTGATCTTCAAAGAGATAGAAAGAAAAGTATGTAAAGCCAAGAATTCCGAGGTTGTAAAACCAGCCATCTGCTGATTAGTAGAGCCCTCAATCATGACCAAAGAATTCGATAATTCCGAGTGAACAACTGCAAGGTTGCAAGGGCAAAAGCCAAAGAAAGAACTAGAGTCCAGTGATCATCCGGCGACCGATGATGGCATCGTTCAGTCGCTGGTGAACCTGTCGAACCCCGTCGAACCGAATGAATCCGCAAGACTCACTCTCAAGGTGGTTGAACAGACTAGCCAGAGAGTGGAACTCCTTTGGGCAGCCACGCTGGAGGCAGTGGTAAACCTTCTCCTTGTGCACAGGCGAGTTGACATGCGACTCCAACGCTCTGCGCGAGTTGAACCCCCGCTTGCAAATGTAACACACCCAAAACTGACCATTCCACGCATTGTCAGTGACCGAGTAGGACATATTCTCTTCGCCGTGCCACGCGATCCGCTTCTTGCAGACAATGCCATTTGGATCAAGCTGCTGGATAATGCGGTGAATCTTGTCGCGGTTCAAGCCTTGAGCCCGAGGGCAGGATCCACTCTCGAGATGGTGAGAGACACCGCTGGCAGTGACAAAACCGGTGTGGCAGAACGGACAGGGAACGTTGTTACCGCGATGAATCTTGGAATTCAGATGCTATAAGATAGAGGGATGAGTCGAACGGGCTCAAAGTTTTTCTCGGAGGATGTCCGCTCGCCTACCTGGCGTAAACAGTTCGCGTTCATAAAGGTACGATCGCAGTCGGAGCAGTACTTCTCATAATGTCTCTTGGCTCTCATGTGGTTGTTGGCAGCCGCTTGAGTACGGAAGGTGCTGGTGCATGTTTCACATTCGAAGGTTGGCGCCCAGTGGTCCAAAGCATTCATATGCTGGTTGCAAGCGGCCTGGGAGCGAAACAAGCGAGTGCATGTTTCGCACTCAATCCAGTGATCATAGTCATTCATATGCTCATCGCAGTCATCCCGATACCAGAATTCCTCACCGCAGGTGGCGCATTCGAACATGGTGGATGAATGTCGAGTAGTCTGAGAGTGGGAAGGAATGAAGGGGGAAAGAAGGGGGAAAGAAGAAGAATTGATTCTCCACAAACAAACAGGAGCTGAATAGCTAGTTGAGACCTAGCAAACAGGGCACTATCAAATCTTATCAATCATGTCACGGGGGTCATCGGTCTCTTACAACGACAGGTCAGATACGGAAAAGTTACCACCCGACCCGACTTCAGACTATCGTTGGACCTCAAATCTAATAAATCCTCTTTATCTTTCATTTGTGGACTAGATATTTGTCTATTTAATGTTGCGCGTGTTATTTTGTTTTATTCCTAGTCAGAGAGTTCCATCATACTAAACTCCATGCATTTTGATACTATCTGGTTTCTATCATCTTATCTAGCAAACACTCGATCTCCCTGGTCTAGTGATACACGGGCACTTACTCGATGTATGTGATGCACGTCATGCTACGCGTCTAAAGAGGAAGGAATCAACAAAATGAAATGAGTATCTACCTACTGTCATGAAGCTCTCGAGATAGCGCCGTAGGAACAATAGAAGTCTGACTGTATAAAATGTATGAAATGTATGGTATGAATTGAGTGTATGAAACTCTCTGTATTTCTGTATACACGGTCCTTAAAACATCGACACTTGAGCGACACCTCTATATAAAGTGGTTGCTTTTATCATGGCCGAAATGCCGTCTACTGAATCATTTATTCGTCACCAAAAGCAAATCAATTTGATATTATACCTTCAACTCCTTTGATTGAGCTCTCGTACGACATCCTGGAGATTCTGCAGGATTTCCTCCGTCCTGCCAAATCTGGATCTGAGAGCATCCGCCAATGCGGGTGCCTGTTCCGCCTCCGAGACTTGACCTTCGACTGTAACAACCGCGTCGAAGTCTCTCATAATACTATCTATCTGCATCCTTACTCTTTCTAGCAGAGGATTGAAGCATGCAGTTACAACCTGTGTGTATTCGCTGCGGGCCAGGTTAGAAAACTTGGAAAACAGCCTCGAATGCGTCAGATGGTCATTCATGATTCTTTTCCGGCGGACGAAACTGCCATTTCCTAGAAGATATGGTTAATATAAACAGGCACAAAGGCAATTCTATTCGGATTGTTTAACGAACCCCCCTCTCGGTTGGTGGCAGCATAAGCGGGCTGCATCAGACCTGATATAAAGGAGCTGGGATGGCCATGAAGCATGTCATTTTTTGTGATTCTAGCGAGCCAGTTAGAATCAAGTTTTGAGATTGCCCATCTCCCGAATATCATACTCGAGGTTTTTAATCAACTTCTGGATGGAGTTCTGTATATCTTCCTCGATCCATTCTTGCCAGGATTTCATGCTTTGTTGGAGGTTTTGGAGGGCCTGGGGTGCAAGCTCAGTATGCGCTACAGAAAGCAGTTAGAAGGCCATTCGTCTGTACGAAGGCATGGAATAAACAAGCGTTTCTCAAAGCCGACTTACTCTCAATCTCTTCTCGTACTCCTTCAAAGGTAGTGCGAGTTTCTCCCACCAATATCCCAGTTTGATCTTGCAGCCAATCCAGTATATCCTCCCATTTGATATCTAACCCTTCACGTGCTGGATGGACTAACTCATCATTCCAGCAGCGACGAGGCTGAGCTTTGGTCTCGTAGTCTCCAGATTTGCGACAGAATGCAGCATACGTGCTAGGCGCCCACTGTGGATATAATCAGAATTATATTGCTTAGCTAGGGGCTCCTTCTTTAGTGAAACTCACTTCTTCCCATTGCAGGCTGATTCCAATACACTGAGTCGTCCAGCGGGTTCGAGAATTCCCTAGGGGAGTCCATTAGGGCCAAGACCAAACCAATTGCACAAACTACTCACGGATAACCCCAATAATGCGTTCGGCAAATAGCTCATCCAAGCTCTGACGCGTAAGATGAATACACGATCGAGAGGAAATAAATTCCTATTGACTATCAGGAAATCTTTGGTCTTTTAGAAGCTTGGTTAGGGACCTAAGGTACCCTCCTGGGTCAAACATACCCGGCGAAGAGCCGCTCTTGCATTTTCCAAAACCCGTCGGAGGATAGCAGATCTTTCCGCCGTAACTGAATCCGCTCCAGATAGTGCCCACTGACGTATAGATCCCAGCAAAGCTGGCACTTGGTGTTCCAGGAATGCGGATGTCGCACGCATTTGACTCTCGGCAGGGACCAATTGGCAATGGTGGCGCAGCTCGCGAATTCCCGAAAGATCAACGTATGCCTCCGCCTGGCTGTTCGCACTACAGCGGTATTCGGAATAGAGAGTATTGCTGATGCAGAAGACCCTGATTCCTGCGTGTCTTCTGGTAAGTTCCTGTGCTACCTGTGAGTTTCGCCGATTGATGAGAAAGCTTTGTATCCTGGTTGGTTGTTAGTACACAAAGATATCCCGTAGTCTCTCGAGGTTACTTACTCGAAATTCAACTCGTTCTCCTTGTCGCTGCCATATATTCAGCGAATGGGGTCATTGTACTTCAATATCAAGAACCTACCGTAGTTCATACCCCTTGACTGCCAATTCTGCTTGTTTTGCTCCACGCACTTTCCGTAAGCGAAACTCAGTCAATTCACTTTGCTTCCGGATAGCCTGGATATCCTTATTCATTTGCCTTATTTTAAGAGCATCTGGAGTAGTTCCACGTCCAGACTCTTCCGGCGATATAACCTAAGAAGATAGGTCAGTAAGCACCTTTTGACTTGACAGACATCTTCAATACCTCCGACTTTGACAAAATCACATGTCGCGGCTGGTCATCTCTACATCTGCGTATCACATCTGGTATGGACGGATTCGTACGAGCGCGACCAATGTCCGCGACAACAAATATCTCATCGCAGTTATGAACAAGGTACCGTTCGGTGGCTCGAATCCTCGCAAAGTTAAGATCGCTGAGGCCTAACGTTGGTGAGTTCAAGTTTAGCTCCAGGGTTGGAATGGAACCCTTAGCACATACCTGGTAGATCAGCCAATACCAACCCGGTTTTCAAAATGGGCGAACTGAGATATACCCTGCAACATCTTTAGAGGGCATTCCTTCTTGTGGAGATTACACAAACCTGATCAATTTGATAAATGGCCACAGCGCAGGTTTACCATCATCCATATTGTTGGCAGTCAGCAGGTCGAGGGAGTCTTTGCATTCAGCGAGATCACCAGCAATCATAGAGTACTCATGCGCATCAGGTCCACCCGGTCGCAGTGTTAAACCAGCATACGCCCATCGCTCTAACTGCTCAAGAAGTTTCGATTGAGCGTCGTCAAAGTCAGCAGAAAGAAACTCCATCGTTAATCTTGGTTGGTTGCTGAACAAAGATCGAAACGTTTCCCAGGCTCTATCAGCGGCATCCCGACACTGCTCCTGTTCTTCGTGCGATTTGAGCTGCTGGAAGAAAGAAGTAACATGGAATTGGCGGAAGCTAGAGAGGAGCTCCTCCAGCAGCTCTTTCATTTCTTGTGCAGTCATAAACTGCGCTTCAATGGTGAAAGGCCCGGTGTGATTGCTATCCACATGTCGGAATTCAGTTACGACACAGGTGCAAGCTGCGCCCTCACTACTCTGCAGTTGGATGTTAATAGGCATACACTACCAAAGGGAACAACAAGAAAGGTGAGACGTACTGAACGTGACAGGCTCTTTTGATCAAGTAAAGAGTTTATCAAAGAGCTTTTGCCTGCCGGAAAGTTAGGAACCGTAGTCAAAGATTCAAGACTAGTGTGAAATCATACCAACTCCAGAGTCTCCGATGAACCCCACAGTGCGCGTTTCTGGATACTGAAACATGCTCATTTTCTTGGTCCGCTCGAATAAAGAATGCAAATCAGTAGACCGATCTTGGTTTAGCTCAGAGAGTCCCATCATGTCGGCGAGACTGGCTAGTTCCCCTTTCACTTCCTTCAGACCAGTCTGAAGCCGACGATTATAGACCGGCGCGGTGGGAAGTGGCTCTTCGCGAATATCACTAGGTATGTTTTCAGTATCCTCCGCAATGTCGCTATATTGATCGCTTTCTGATCCGTCCTCACTCTCTGTGGCATCACCTGAGCAGTGACTTTCGTCACGGCTACTTTGGGCGGGAAATGCCCCAGGGATATGTACTCTATCTGTGCCATTATCCAAAAACATGGACTCGGCTCCCATCTCCCTAGCGTCAACATATAAACTGGCTTGGGTTGTGCTGGAAAATATTGACCCGCTTCCTTCGGGATCTCGACCGCGGGCGCTGGGCACGAGTTTCTGCATAGAACGGGGAGTAGCATTATGCTGCTGTGCATATGTGGAAGGTGATCTATCTGGGTCAAACCACCCAATCGGCGACCTAGCTCGAGGAGTAGTCATTGAGCCTCCAGAATCGTTGAGGCTCAAATTCTGAAAGAGCGGAAGTGTCTGTCTCGGGGATTGTGGGGTTGACGCAGAACTCCCTTCGTTACTGCTTTCTCGGGATGACGATGGAGGGGTAAAGATCACCGTCGACGGTGCGCTTGCTGAAAAGGTGAATTCAGAAGATGGCACGCTCATCATGGCATGTTACTTGTGGGGTGTGGAAGGAAAAGTTTTGGGTCCCACGATTTACAAAGAAGCGTAAGACTGAGCATAAAGCAACTTAAGGTCGTCCATTGTGGGAGATCGTCATTTATCTTGGAACGATAGCGCGAGGCGCCGTCGCTTTTTTTGCTGCAAGTTGCTGCGCCGCATCGCAGCGCTATATTTAACCCTACACTCGTCGTGCCAAACTGTTTCCTCAACTTGCGACCTAATTATTGTGTTAACTCGCAAAATTTGCATGGAGCTAGGGATTTCCCATAGAATGTGTTATTCTGACTGGTTTGGAGAGTGCTAATTCTATTGCGAGTTTGGAGTGCTGTTGGGCCCCCATCAGTTGGCGCCTGCGTGGATTTTGATCCCTGTTGCAAAAAGGCGCGATGTCACGCGAGACATTGATTAGCCAATGAAGGAGCCCCTACCCAAATGGATTATCCTTTTGCCATCGCAAACATGCGGAATTCGGAGGATAGCGGGTATTCCAGAGAAATTCTGAGGGGGTGTATGTACCTAGATAGGAACTGGAGTGTGTTCGGCTCAAGACGTGGAACTAGTTGGATCTCTTTTTAACCAAAGCATGGAATATAAGAAAGCTAAATACATTTATCTAGATTGTAACATAGGTCGAAATGATCTGCCGCAGTTTGTTGTCTCCAATGTAATGGAAAAAAGTGTTTAGGTTCCTTTGTGAAGTCTGCAACTGCCCCATGAACATTCCGTGGCAGATCTTCATGCGTCCCAGCTCCTTTAAAATAGTGGCCAAGCTCATCTTCCGCACGACGAATGGCGCTTGATCTCTGCTCTTGAATGCACCGTCAGATCTTGCTGTAAACGGTAGGCTCGGGACATGTTTCCAACAAGGCATCTGAAGCCCTGAATTTCTAGGATGCCGCATAAAAGTAAGCGTGAGCAAAAGTATCCCATGACTTTATCTGGACCTTCCAAAGCATCTCCTCGAAATCAATGGGTGGTTTATACCATAATCCGTCACCACGGTTGTTGTTCCACATCCGTAGAATCCAAGCAAAGATGTCATTTGTCGCCAACATATTGGCTTCCCATTCATTTGGAGCCACGGCATAATTGAACCCTAGGAGCCTTGCCTCGGCTTCAGCACTGTGCATGTATTTATTTGTATACCATGCCATTTTCTTCGACTTGATTTTGGAAATCTTCCAACTTATTCAAGTACACTCGTAGCCTTGAGGGGTCATTTGAAGAGCAATCCTCGCGAGACGTACCCACCAGCCACTTTCTGGCCAAGTCGTCATATTGTGTTTGTATATCATCCGGGTAGTAAGTCTGCAACCTCCATGTATCTCTTGCGGGTCCTAACGCATTCCACTCCCGCTTGGAAGCCTCGAGCCTTTGAGAGAGAACTTTCTGCGTGGAAGGAAAGCTCTCCTGAACGAGCCGGTAAATCGTATCAGAGAAGCATTCCTTCAATTCCAACACTCCCACAGCGTCCCCATTTAGAGATGACCAAGGATTTTGACTGAATGGTTCTCTTTCTGGTCATCGCGTTCACGGTAGGAAAGCCCTGTTTAGATTTCATTGTTGGTTCTGTTGCGAACAGCAAACCATCCAAGGTCAAGTCTATATCCAGCTATTCTGTTCTTAAGAAGCTCAAACGTCTTACCTAGTCAGATAACGCGTACCTCAGATCAACAGACTAATAGACTAACCTTGCGTTCATCCTGTGCTTGCAACATCTCACGTTTTGTAATTACTCCGATTGTTCTTGCATCACACTCTCTTCCCGTACAAGACGGAGCGCAAGTTGGTTATGGATATCAACCACTGCGGGCATCACTGCTCTGAAAGAACTAGCACCCAGTTGCTCCCTAGCCGTGGAAAGCCCACATACAAATAGAATAGCGCGCCGGTTGCGTATGAATTTCCTAGCAAGCCTTTCGGAGATCTTTTAGTCTGCCCCGGAACCACCTATCAAAACGCAATGGTCAACATCTTTTAATAAAAGAGCAAGTCTGCTATTTGCTTATCCATACCCCTGACTAGCCCCGGTATATCGATTACACTAAAATGGGCTCGGTCATGCTTGTAAACATTGAGCTTCATCACCTCTTCGCGCAAACATTAAATCCGTTACTACCGCTGCCTTTCTTTGTGGCTGTCGGGGTGTGTATTTCGGCGAAAGCCTCATCTAAATCCTTTCTTAGGTGTTGAGAAACTTCTGACCATGTCTTACTGGAATATTCTCGTGATAGCAACGCATCCGAATGTCCTTTTTTTCTTGACTGTGATTGAGTAGTAATACACAGATGGATCACATCGATGAATCATGGTTCCCGTGGGAACGGGGGTGCATATACCATTCTCCACTGGAAACGGCAAATTGGTAAGGGCCTGTAAGGATGAGGAGTTCCCACAACTAGTGTTTCCCACGATGACAAGCTATATCGGTCAGCAAGGGGAGTGGGCACATTTTAGCACACCCGTTGATCGTTAATCGGCCGAGGAAAATCAAGGCTACCCGTATCCAACTGGTATGCGTTCCTGACATGGTCCAAGAAAGACTGCAACTTTTCACCTTCCAAGATGCCGAGGATGCTTCCTCGTTGCTTTCTTGGGCAGAGTCTGCATTATATGTAAAGTCAAGTCACGCACCTTCCAACCTTAGAAGAAAACTAAGTACGTTGACTCCAACACCTTTATCCAACTCTACTATTCTTCATCTAGGTATATGCGATGGACTCCCTAGCTATCAACGAGAGAGTATATCCGATCCAAGATCATTTGCTTTCAAGGCCGAGTCTAAAGAAAATATCGATATTTCCGACATCGAGTCTGTCTCTGCATCAACAGGAACACATGACACAGAGTACTGATATCATGTCTCCACTCAGTGTCACTATTACTTTGATTTATTTTGACAGGTAGATGTATTTCGTATAGGGGTGAGCTTACTTGAATTAAACACATTGCTTTTTGGGGGAGGGGGGGGGATATGTTGGAGACCGGCGTGTCATGGGTATGTTATTGTTCTTTATTCCACTTGCTAGCACAAGCTCTTTGCGCTCTATATTCCGTTCCCACAAACAACCTCATACATACGACCATAGGGTGTGGAAAACAGGGCTTCCCGTCCGCTCAGCCGTACTTAAGCCACACGCCGGTGAGTTAGTAGTTGGGTGGGTGACCACCAGCGAATCCTCACTGTTGTATGTTTTTTGTTTGTATTTATTGTTTTTATTGTTTTTCGCTCTCCCCTACCTACTTCAGCCCCTGCGGCCAATTCACCTGAATGCCCTGAATCACTATTCTTTACCTTACACGCGCTGGACCATTGACGTGTCTTTCCCTTCTCGTACTAATTTATTTCTCACAGACATGTCGTTTTGATCACAATAGGCTGCTTGTCGAAACGCATACGTCACAAATATGCAAATGCGCCAAAGAGAATCTCTTCTTGACCAGCTACCATCCTATCATCTGTCTTCTAAGAGAGTCAACAATTTTATAAGGCTTTTATTACCTGTTAGATTATTCAAATAAAAAAGTACATTTCATACAAAATACTAATTAAAGAGGGGGAGGAGAAAGGAAGAACGGGGATTGGTTAGGATATGGATATATTTAAGTCCCGAGCCCTGCAAACATTGCAAAGATCTCCTCGCCGAGTTGAGGAGGAAACCCAATTTATCATGCGGTGTAAAGCAGCATAATGCAGATTAGAGAAATCGTCGCCAACTAGAAAGATTCAGCCTCGTGATGGACACGAAGCGCAGCAGCCAGCGGCAAAGAAACAAAATGCCATTAGCGTGAGCCGCCTGCACTTTGCCTCCACCCAACAAAGAAAGAACATACTTAACTATCTCTAGTTTAATTTATTGCTCGTAGATAAAGGAGCTCGGTACAGTCATCGATTGTGGTGTAATTAATATTTCGCGGTAGGTCGCATATTTTTCTGGCAATTGATCTCTTCTGATCTAACTATATCCAGTTGGCGATGTGGTGTATATAATCCGGGGTATAGCGACTTTGCAAGGCACTATGTACCAGCCACGAGTCTTCATTAAATTACCACAGAACATACATTACTTCAATACTGCGTTCGGTCTGTCCTCGCAGGAACGTACATTATAGATGTTGTGCCAAATATGAGCCTTACTACACCAGATACGCAATAATATAGCGATTACTCTGTGTGTCAGGGTATGTTTCAGTCCATGATATGCGTCAGCGTAGTAAAATTGAATTGCCAGCCCCAAGCAGCCTTAATCGTAGGCCGTAATGAGATGAGAGTAAGGCATGCAGCTCTCAGTATTCTCAATGGTCCCCCATATCCTAGATTTTCTTCCTTGCAAATCATATTTAAAAGGAGGTCAATACCATAACCATACGCATCGTCATAGGCTGATTCTGGATCCAGGGTATGATCGGGAGGAATGAGTCTAGTGCCACGAAATGTTTGTCGAGCGGACGGGCCTTACCGTTGTTGATTTGCTAGCTGACCGCTGGACCCACTGTGATGACCCTCCTTGCTGGACGACGAGCCTTTCACCTCGTCACATCACACAAGAGATGGGCGCTTACAATCTAGACCCGATTGGATCAGGGATCACTTCCATTATTTGCTTGAAAACACAAAGTGAAGACCCAACCCCGCAATCTTTCATCTCGATTAAATAATTTCCAAGGATCCCAGCACTACCTACGCATTATCAAGCGACGCTCAATGGTAGAACCTATCGGCATAGCATCTGGCCTGGTGGCTTTAGCTACGTTTGCATTTCAATCCAGCACTGCCCTCTTCGATGAAGTTCAAAGCTACCAATCTCATCCAAAACGCGTACGCGACCTGACGGAGGAACTCGAGACTCTGAATGGAGCCCTCGGCGCTCTAATTGAGATCTTGAATGCAAACACCGATATAAACCTCGCTAGCCTCGAATATCCGCTCCTTCGCTGTGGAAATTCTTGTAGAGATTTTGAAGAGGAGCTTAAGAAACGCTCGACGCGATCTCTTGCCGGTAAAACGAGCTTTCCAGACTGGGCTGAATTAAATTACATGGGCGAAGATATTGATGGTTTCAGACGAAGGTTAGCTGGCTATAAGTCAACTATCATCATTGCCCTCGCCAATGTAAATGGAGGCGAGTATGGAACTGTTCTCCAGGCTGCCGCGGTGAAAGGGCATCGAGAGATTGTTCAATTACTTCTTGACCAAGGCGCGGACGTCAACACTCAGGGAGGCGAGTATGGAACTGCTCTCCAGGCCGCTGTAGTAAAAGGCCATCGGGATATCGTTCAATTGCTTCTCGACAAAGGCGCGGACGTCAACACTCAAGGAGGCGAGTATGGAACTGCTCTCCAGGCTGCCGTGGTGAAAGGGCATCGAGAGATCGTTCAATTGCTTCTCGACCAAGGCGCGGATGTCAATACTCCAGAAGACGAGTATGGAACTGCTCTCCAGGCCGCTGCAGTAAAAGGGCATCGGGATATCGTTCAATTACTTCTCGACCAAGGCGCGGATGTCAATACTCCAGGAGACGAGTATGGAACTGCTCTCCAGGCCGCTGCAGTAAAAGGGCATCGGGATATCGTTCAATTGCTTCTCGACCAAGGCGCGGATGTCAATACTCCAGGAGACGAGTATGGAACTGCTCTCCAGGCCGCTGCAGTAAAAGGGCATCGGGATATCGTTCAATTACTTCTCAACCAAGGCGCGGATGTCAACGCTCAGGGAGGCGAGTATGGAACTGCTCTCCAGGCCGCTGCAGTAAAAGGGCATCAAGAGATCGTTCAATTGCTTCTCGACCAAGGCGCGGACGTCAACGTTCAAGGAGGCAAGTATGGAACTACTCTCCTAGCTGCCGTGGTGAAAGGGCATCGAGAGATCGTTCGATTACTTCTTAAGAAAGGCGCCGACGCTAACACCCAAGGAGGTAAGTATAGAACTACTCTCCAGGCTGCTATAATCGAAGGACACAAAGAGATCGTTCAACTTCTTCTCAACCACGGCGCGAACGTTAACACCCAAGGAGGCAGGTTCGGAACTGCTCTCCAGGCCGCTGCCTCTTGGAACAATAGAGCGATTGTTCAATTACTTCTTGATCAAGGCGCGGATGTCAACACTCAGGGAGGCGAGTATAGAACTGCTCTCCAGGCCGCTGCAGTAAAAGGGCATCGGGATATCGTTCAATTACTTCTCGACAAAGGCGCGGACGTCAACACTCAAGGAGGCGAGTATGGAACTGCTCTCCAGGCTACCGTGGTGAAAGGGCATCGAGAGATCGTTCAATTACTTCTCGACCAAGGCGCGGACGTCAACACTCAGGGAGGCGAGTATGGAACTGCTCTCCAGGCCGCTGTATTCATATGCAGAGGAAACATGTCGATCGTACAAATGATTCTTAACCAAGGCGCGAACGTCAACGCCCAAGGAGGCAAGTATGGGACTGCTCTCCAGGCTGCCGTGGTGAAAGGGCATCGGGATATCGTTCAATTACTTCTCAACAAAGGCGCGGACGTCAACACTCAAGGAGGCGAGTATGGAACTGCTCTCCAGGCCGCTATAGTCGGGGGATATAAAGAGGTCGTTCAATTTCTTCTTCAAAACGGAGCGGACGTCAACACCCAAGGAGGCAGGTTCGGAACTGCTCTCCAGGCCGCTGCAGTAAAGGGGCATCGGGATATCGTTCAATTACTTCTCGACAAAGGCGCGGACGTCAACACTCAAGGAGGCGAGCATGGAACCACTCTTCAGGCCGCCGTCTTTAAAGGAAATATAGCGATCGTGCAATTGCTTCTTAAGAAAGGCGCCGACGTTAACTCTCCAGGCGGGCATTATTGCGCTGCTCTCCAGGCCGCTGTATTAAGTGGGCCTATAGCGATAGTGCGCCTCCTCGTCGATCAAGGTGTGGACGTCAACGCCCAAGGAGGCGAGTTTGGAACTGCTCTCCAGGCCGCCGCATTTAGAACGAACAAAGAGATCATCCAAGTGCTTCTCGACCAAGGCGCGGACGTCAACACTCAGGGAGGCGAGTATGGAACTGCTCTCCAGGCCGCTGTATTCGTATGCAGAGGAAACATGTCGATCATACAAATGATTCTTAACCAAGGCGCGAACGTCAACGCCCAAGGAGGCAAGTGTGGAACTGCTCTCCAGGCTGCCGTGGTGAAAGGGCATCAAGAGATCGTTCAATTACTTCTCGACCAAGGCGCGGATGTCAATACTCCAGGAGGCGAGTATGGAACTGCTCTCCAGGCCGCTGCAGTAAAGGGGCATCAAGAGATCGTTCAATTACTTCTCGACCAAGGCGCGGATGTCAACACTCAGGGAGGCGAGTATAGAACTGCTCTCCAGGCTGCCGTGGTGAAAGGGCATCAAGAGATCGTTCAATTACTTCTCGACCAAGGCGCGGATGTCAATACTCCAGGAGGCGAGTATGGAACTGCTCTCCAGGCCGCTGCAGTAAAAGGGCATCAAGAGATCGTTCAATTACTTCTCGACAAAGGCGCGGACGTCAACGTTCAAGGAGGCAAGTATGGAACTGCTCTCCTAGCTGCCGTGGTGAAAGGGCATCAAGAGATCGTCCAAGTGCTTCTCGACCAAGGCGCGGACGTCAACACTCAGGGAGGCGAGTATGGAACTGCTCTCCAGGCCGCTGTATTCGTATGCAGAGGAAACATGTCGATCGTTCAATTGCTTCTCGACCAAGGCGCGGACGTCAACGTTCAAGGAGGCAAGTATGGAACTGCTCTCCTAGCTGCCGTGGTGAAAGGGCATCAAGAGATCGTCCAAGTGCTTCTCGACCAAGGCGCGGACGTCAACACTCAGGGAGGCGAGTATGGAACTGCCTTCCAGGCCGCCATATTGGGTGGAAGCATGACTATTGTGCCGCTTATTCTTGACAGATACGGAGACAAAATACCAATCGCCGAGGAGGTTCTCAAGAAAGTCTTCGAAACTTCAAAAAACGCAGTTCAGTTGATGAGCCTACTCCTCCAGAAACAAGAAGACAAGATTACCATCACCGAAGAAATACTGATGGCAGCTGCACGAAATGAGAGGGGACACCAGTTAGTATCTCTTTTTCTAGAGAGCAGTGTCAAGATCTCGGACGATGTCATCTGGGTACGAGAACTAGGGAAGGTGGGATATAGTACCCATGAGATTATGGAGCTTCTTCTCGAAGACAGCAATGATTCTCCTTGGATATTTTTCGAGCCAACCTATTTCCCCTGTTCTGAAATCAAGCCTGGTCGACATATTCAGGGATGTTGCCACCCTGTTTCGCCCCTGGAAGCACTGCCAACCCAGATTTTTGATCCTGTCTTCGAACGCCATCCAATTGATTTTGATCACGAAGAGATACTTATTCAGGTCCAAGAGCTCTGTGGTTTAGCAGGAATAAAGCCCACCACCCGAAGGGTAACTGATTGGGTTGGGTATATTGAGTTCAACGACAGCGACCAGGTACTTTCAGTGTCATATATGCTGCCTACTGATGAAAAGAATCCGCCCGATAACGTAATATTCTGGTCTCGCATCTCTCGAGCTCTAGACGGGCTTTATCACGCTGCTGCTTTGATGCAGGCAAACGATCTTTGCTGTGATTCATTCACAGTTCTCAAATCAAGGTTCCAAGGTCACGAACCGCCATCATCATCTCTGGTAGAAATCATTTCTGTTTCCTTTAAGTCAGTTTTGATCCTTACCGAGGAGCTGCAAAATGTCATAAACCCATCCTCTGAGTCCTCTGGCACTAGAAAGGCTTTATCTGCATCCACGGCAATCCTCGGACTCATTTGGCCAGAAATACCGGAAGTTCTAGATGACTCAAGCATCGAGTGGTCCTTTCATGTCTGTGCGCTAGCAGTCCAATTTCTCTGCCTTGGCTTTCTATCATACTGTCAAGCGCATGTCGAACCCCTTCGACCTTTTTTCTTAGATTTCTTCGCCCAGCAGGTGAGACTGATGGGTCTTCAAAGGGACGAAACCTATCCGTTTTTGGTAGCAGAACTTGTCAACCTCACTTGCTTAGGTAACATGACCCGTGGGAAAGTCTTGTTATTCCGTGCCAGCAAAGATCCACTACAGAAACAATTCTTGGAGACTCAAAGCCAACGATTAATCCAAAATTATAACGTTTTGGGGCGTACCGAAGATATACTGGATACATGGGGACCCGGAAACCTGATACTTCGAGGAGACGGAAGTCGCGCTCCTGTGGCCATACAAATTGGAGATGGTTTTATTTTTGCTCATGAAGGTGCAAATCTTCATTGGAGCCAGCAAATGCCAGATATCAAGGATTTGAGTTCGATTGATATGGAACAGTCACTTTTGGTTGGTTCTTTGGTCGCAGTAAATACTGCTTGTAAGCCCATCGAAGCTGATTCCCGTATTATATCGGCCAATCTTTTGGAAGAACTAGGAACAAGCCGCTCTTTCTGGCAAAAGTCACAACGACAATTAACCACCCAAGGGGGCCAGTATGTCGTTTGTCAAGCCACAGAAACTTGGAATAAACAAACAGGCATCCCGGTGAAAGACCGAGCGCTCGCATATCGGTCCGAAGTGCTTATTCAATACCTAGATTACTATTGGGGAGTCCAAGTGAGCTACTGCACTGGAGTAGCCAAGAGAGTCCGTTTGAGAAAGTTGGTGGCAGATTTGGTACAGCATTTCTCTGCCGGATCGGCATTTAAATTTGATACTCTCGAAGCCAAAATGAATGATGAGACGCTACGATCACAGGACCTTCAAATCTGGCTTAGCAGCCTGAGCCCAGACATACGCGCAGAAATTCTAAATATGATCTGTGAAATTTTGAATACTCTTCGACACACCGGACTAGACAGCACGGAGACATACTTCTGTGTTGCCTGGCCATTTGAGGGCAATATCACCCAGTGCTTTAAAATTCCCCTTGAGCATGATAGCTCATGGGCCAGATTTCTGGCAGATTCTCATGATTGTGCAACTTTTGCGTATATCACAATGGAATGTTTCGAGACCGCTGAATTCAGATGCAGCGAGATTCTAGAGCCCTGCCTCAAAATATGCCAACTGGAGACTGCCGTTTCTCGCAGCAGAAAGGGGAAGCATCTACCTGAATCGTTCCTACAGCATCAGGAAATTTGCTTCTTTTCCAAGCAGGATACCCTGTTCTGGGTCAAAGTACTGAAGAAGCATGCAGATCAACCAGCAAGTCTTGTTGACTTGGTGCATATTCAGTCCATACCATATAGCATCAGACAGAGATTATACTTGAGCGAGAGAAGGAAGCAGCGGAGTCGTCTGCGGGAGTGTGCTACAATGTGGACCCAAGGAGAAGCTGTTTCGGTATCCTCCATACGAAGATCGAGAAAATCACATTAAACGCTGTTGTGGGGGACATCAAGCTCTCCAAACTATCGAGACGTTGCTTTAATAGCTGTAGATTGAACAATGCCAATCGATATACTGATCTGACAGCTTTATATTGCCTATCAACGTCCATTTTATACATATGCCTCTATCCCGCTTCTCAGCTTTGGGGAAACTCCCTAAAATCTCCACACTTCTATATCATGTTGCAAAGAATTTTAGAAAGCTCCTTAGCCAATGACACTAATAGTAGAAGCAGACGAGCACCATGGTCAGTTCTGCAACCAGAATATCACGACTGTCGCGGCTTTCTTCCTAAAAAAGAAGCGCCATATGGTCGATCAGTATTATGGGCGATAGACTTCGCATAAAGAATCTTAAATGCGAGGCGGCATAATAAACCATTAATATGTATAAATAGTCAGCTGTGTCTAGCCCACTGATTGATCAAGACGAAAAGTTCAACGACTCCTTCAGTTCGACATGGGTCCAAAACCATATGCTCAAGAACATGAGCTAGCTTCCATTATCTTTCCTTACGTCTTATTCCTAATAATATATTCTGTCGGCTACGGGTCGTGCCGTACTGAACTACCCGTTTAGGCTGATCATCGTAGACCCACTTCCATATATGAACCACTAATGGCTAATCAATCAACGCCCGGACCTACCAGCTTCATCAGATCACGTGTATGATGTAATACTCTATGCGGCGATGGTCTCGGCGAAGACTGGATTGAACCTATGCTAAGAATCTTAACTCCTACGGAATTGATATTAGCGGCTTTGATGCAGTTTGACACGCGGAGCATTTATCAGGTAAACCTCTCGGTTAAGGTGATGTACTCGCTGGCCCTGTCAGTGTAGCGCGCGTGCCGCCCAGAATATCTGAGGGGCATCACAGACCTGTTATTGCCGCGCACTTCTATCGGCTTGAGCCGATGGTCCCCTTAAGAAGCCAGCGGCCCGCAAATGCGGACCGGGCTATTTAAGGGCCGAGGTCTCGTTCGTTATTGATTATTCATCTTTTAACACTGTTATTATTAAAGAGTTTGTTATCTTCTTTGCTTGACTCGAATGCTCCTGCTAGGATAACAAGAAGCGCTCTGGTGAAATGATTCCGAGGCCATTGGGGATCTAGGTGAAGACGAAGGCTGAAGTTGTTTCTAATGTTGATTGAAGCTCTCCATGATTGTAAACGGGCCCTGACTCTAGTGGAGAGACAGTAGTGGTGGGACAGGGTCGTTCAATTGAAAATCACTCCCAGGTTGCCGTGGGAAAATGAGTTCGTTTGTCGCCAAATTGTACAGCTGGTCCCAGTAAGTGGGTGACATACGGCACTAGATCTTTATATATCCTTCGTATGATGGAAGGAATTGCGAGGGGTACTGATATCTCTAGTGGATCCTTTGGGTAGAAATCTGGCTTCAGACCCTTTATTGACTCATCGGGTTTAATCGAATATTCGTTGAACTCGTTATAGAAGTTGACTTGACTACCAGCTGCCGACACCAGAAGTTAGCTTGTCCAGGAAACTTGAAATATATTTCATACTAATATAGATAATGTCTCAGCTATAACTAAGAGACCCGGTTAGTGCGCGATAAAAGATAAATGGCCCGCTTTGTCCATTTTGCACCACGAATCCGTGCTCTAAGAGACTTTGAGTCGGCGTTGAAGAGGAAAACCGACTGCATGGCTTGAAACACATTCTCTTTTGGAGTGACTTCTAAGGCGACTGCTCACAGTGAACAGAAGATAAGCTCCTAGAAGCAAGTAAACGGACGTTTTGCTGCTGATTTCGTCGAGGCGTGCTTCATTTCCGCCAGTTCCATTGGATGTGCAGTATTCTAGCAGGATGAATATAAGGGCAGGCTGCTTGGACGCGATCGGGTTTTCATCATTCGGGAAGGTTAATCCAAATACTAAGCTAAAAACGATCATCTTTCGTTAAGTTTCAGTGATGGAGGCCCGGTTTTTCTAATGAGAAGATTCAGGTAGATTACTAACTAAGGACATGAACGAGGATAAAAGATTCCGTTTCTTTTATGTAGGTTTGGTCATCGTGGAAGATGCCGCTGTCACTGATGGCTTATATCGGATGAAGGTAAATGTACTCTCCGGGGGTCTGTTATGTTAGCTTGATTGATTGTCGTGATAACCTCCAGAGGCCAGTCGGATACCATCGACAGATATTCCTTAGGAACCACCGATATCTTAGTATAGATCAAGGTTCCGGCAGACCTCGCAGGGTCTGCACTGTCCACTTATCTGCTGCTAACTTCCTGGGGACTCGGGATAACGGGACGACAGGCACTCTTAAACTCGAGAATGCGTAATTCCAAATGCTTGATATAAGCGAGATTATCGCCCTGGCATTGAACCAGGCGATTACAATCCATCGGTTAGTAGTCAGGTAAGCCCATGAAAGTGGGAGGGCTAAGTAGTAAGAGATAAAAATCCCTCTCCCTAACTGATAGCAGCATTTAACATCTGGGACAGGGAGAGGAAAGGCCAGAATAGGAAGGGTCCGTATGACGCGTCTCTGGCGCCGAGGAATGCCTGAGCTGCATATTCATCAGAGTTTGAAGCTGATCATGCATATTTCTATCGATAAGGCTCTCATTTCGATCTCCTCTCTCCCCCGCTGCGTTACCCATAAATTCCTTTTTAGCTCTCGCTTTTCTCCCACCCGTAATCATAATATCCTAACTCGCTCTGTGCAATAAAACATAGACAGGTCGTATTCATCTGGAGTTAGGAACAATAAGTGGAAGCGAACGCATCAACATGGCTACCTAGAACATAATACTGTCGCTCCGGCTTCTCGCTCTCTCCTTGACGGGACTTGCTGCTGGTTCTATTATCCCCTAACCAGATCTGGCGACCCAGAGTCTGGGTCTCCGTCAGAAGTCCCTCGATAGATGTGCTAAGTTATAAGAGAAATGGTTAAAGGCTCTCGATATAAGCCTCTATGTCGGCGATGCTTCTGCCTGCAATTAGCATGGGGTAGGGAATGTATCTATTTAGCAGACTAACTTTTATTTCTCCGTAATTCTAATATAGTCAGCATCTAGATTTCTTGCCAGGTGAGAAGGGGTACCATATCGGTCTTCCAGCCCATTAACACGGTCTTTGAGCTCACTGATTGATTCGCTTAACATCTGAACATCGCATTGCTGTGTCGGACTGGGTGATAGCTCGAGGAGTCCATCAATGGCTTCCACTTCCTCATCGGCTAGGGCGAGTGCACTATGAGGGTCTCGATACCATAATCGAGTCATTAATATAGTTAAACCATTTGGGTATACACTAACATTGTTTTTCATTTACTCAGTTAAGAGAGGGATCTTAGTCTTTAGTTCTCTCACGATATACTATCTAGTATCAGCCCTGATTGATCTAAAATAACGCGGGTATAGACCTCATTGATTATAGTCCCGGTGGGAATTCAAAGTTTCTTTTTCTCTTTATGGCAGTGGCGAATTTCCTAAAAAAGTCCCTGAATCGTCTCGACTGTAGGCCTTTCTTCTATCCGACCGTCTATTCCTCGTGTAACCCACTCGAGAAAAGCCCTGTAAGTTCTGATGTCCGGCGGAATAACGGCCTATGGATATAATTTAATAAAACTAGGGATATAGGCATAATAAAGCGATTTACTTCTCTACTCCTAGGGCTGAGACTTACTCGTCGAAAATAAGTAGCGTGTGACTGTAACCAGGTTCTGTTCGTGGTAGCATAGCCCGCTGGATTTCATTGTTACTATGTTCCCCGAAATCCATAATATTGGCCATATATTTCAATGTTGGATTATGCTTAGTACGCATTTTGCTTATGATAAAGCGAGGTTAGGTTGAAGTGACGAAGTGAGGTTAGAGAGATGAAAGTGGAGGGGAAAAGAAGGGTACTTATAGCTTTTTGGTCATGATAGGAAATGTACCTTTTACTGTACGGGCTGAATATTTGGGTGAGGAATATTCAGGTGGGTGAATATCTGCCCTGAGTGCCCTGAATAGAGCGGCGAGCCGCCCACACCCGAACCGTGAGCGCTAGGTGACTACCACATTAGGCATGCTGTTGTATGTTTTTATTTTTGGTTGTTTCTGTCTGTGTTATATTCAAAGGTGGTTCTGTTCCTATAATGTTCACAGGTACACGGGAACCTTCATATTTAATAACCTCTTCCATGCGATGCGGCATGGTCTCAGCCAGGTTGACAAAGTGACGAATTGTTAACTTCTCCCATGCTTCCTGTGCGGCATATACTAAATCTCCCCACGTATTCTCATTTTTAGGAATGTCGCGGAGCCAGGGCCATAGTTTTAATATATTGGCCTTTAATAATGCCCAGAGGCTCTCAATTAGGTTTAAATTAGGTGAATATAGAGGCCAATCTATTATAGTTAGGTTTGTCTCACGTAGAAGGCCTTGAACGATATACGCGCTATGCGTGGGCGCGTTATTGTGCTGAAAAATAGCATCATGATTCGCAAGTAAAGTAGGTGGGATTCTTTGAAATAAATAATAGATAACCTCTTTTGTGATACCTTTCCGTGTCGCGTTGGTCAGAGGACGAATGCGGCGACGAAATCATTCAACATCCATCTTATCATCCATCTCAGGGTCATGGTCGAAGATCAAGTCAGACTCCCCTAATCCTTGTTGTGTCCAGCGAGATGTGCGTTGGGAGGTGGCGGGTGACCGATATCACTTTCTTCATCAGGCAGACTAGTAGACTAAGCCCTTGTTGACCCCATTTTCAACGACACCGATGAGTTTGAATGACCGTTGGTAAACATTAGAATCAGGGTCTCTGACACAATTTAGATACACTTACCTGAGACTCATTGCCGAGCTTCATGAACGTGAAATTCATGACATCGGTGAAGATGCCTATGGCTTTCATTCAATCTCATGGAAAACTAGTATAAGCCATCTTGGTACGAGAATAACTAACGTAACCGCCACGGCGGTGGAGGGCTGGATTGGCTATGCATAACTAGTAACCGTGCAAGGCTATATCAAAGGACCATCCAATCCCAAAAAGAACGTAAGATGAGCATATCATGACAAAAAACAACAAAATGTCATACAAGTATCTATAAGGCTATACCCCCGAATTGTTGACTTTTCTAGAACTTGTCATTGTCTGCCTTCTGAAGGGCTTGAATTCGCCGAGGTTCTAATTAGGTTTTCCTCTGAAAACGTTACATTGATCGTCGGTCGCCGACCCTAATCGGAGAGATGGCCCCCATTTAAGATAACGAGGTTACTTGGCCTAGTCGATCTCAATTCTACCCCAAATTTCCCGAATTAGTTTATGGGCTTCAAGGAGTTTAGTATTGGTAGATTTGCTCCACTAACATCAGCATTTATGGGTCGAACCTCCTTGGCATTCGTCAGGGACACACGATCGATCCACATCACTCAGGCATGGGGCGGAAGTTCTTGTTCTGATTTGCTATTACTTGACCTGCGATCAACAGAGTCAATCGGCTAGGGCGTTTGTGGCTGCCATTAAGCCTGGTCAGCATCAGCGTGGCTTGTCTCAGTCATTACTACTTTAGGAATCACTTTGCGAGCTGGAGGTTTATTTAGATGAAAGCCACCGGATGGGGCGCCTATCTTTGAACATTCGCTGCACGTTCACCCTGGCCGTGGGGATGGTCCATCTAAATACGACAATGATAGGTAAAGCTATACGACATCTTCCAATCAATCCTCTCGCATATACACTAATGCAATGTAACTGGAATCGACAGTACTGGCAAGGAGCGCGTACAACACGAGAATGAACTGAAACCAGTGGGGTCTCAATTCGTCACATTATTTGGGACCTGGAATCCCAGCTTCAAAGATAAATAGCAGGCCTTCAACCCTCTGCAAAAGGCCCATTATTCGGAAACAAGTCTTCAATCCACAAGATTATTTCAAAAGCCCACAAACAACGCAAGTCACCTCCATACAATCAATATGAAGTTCTACTCTGCCGCCGTTGCCCTCTTAGCCGGTGGTGCTATTGCACTGCCCACCACCGAGGTGGAAAAGCGTGCCTCTGTCAACTCCGGTGCCCTCGACCTCATTGCAGAATTGGAGGGATTCCGCAGCAACTTCTACACCGATACTGTCGGTCACCAGGCCATCGGTAAGTTTATTTTAGCTCTATTGAATCCTTAATGCGGAGCGCTAAAAATTTACAGGTTATGGCCACGATTGCCCCGCTAACGGCGACTGCGGCAGCATCAATGCACCCATCACGCAGGCCGAAGGCAAGGAGCTACTTGCCAAGGATATTGATACATATGAGAGCTGTGTGTGCAATCTGGATAATGCCGCGGACCTCAATGCGAACCAGTATGGTGCGCTGGTTAGCTTTGCCTACAACTCGGGCTGTGGCGGCGTGAAGACTTACTGGCACACTGCGATGTCTGAGAAGAACTTCAAGGGTATCTGCGAGGCTCTTCCTAACACAAATACCCTCAACGGCATGCTGAACAACCGCCGCAAGGCGGAGGGTAACTTCTGCTCCAAGGCTACCGACAAGAAGTCCGGCTGCTAAGGGATTTAATGTTGACAGCGGGGATGCGTGAATTTGGATGTATCCCATACTCCTGACAACTCTCATGTTCGTGTCTTTCTACCGTCGTTACATACAGTTCTGGTATTTTGCAACGCCTGGACTATACAATTTACAAGTACAATCAAATTGATTCACAGAGTTCATGGAATAAGAGCGAAAGATAAGGAATCGATCTGTTATAAACATTCCTACTAAAATTTTAAGGATAATCCGGAGATATGTGGTGTAGGAAATTTAAATGTCAAGAAAATACGCCGACGCACCTGCCCAAGGCATTGGTCGAGATCTTGCACGACGTGTATGTTTTCATCATCCCCCAACAGGAACAAAAACCGCCGTGGGGGCTGACTTTTATCTCACAAATAACAAGTGGGTTCCAACGCAGCATACTAGACAATGGATTTGGGATCAAAGGCATTGGTCTTAATCAATCTCTGCAGTGTTCCTCGCCATGGCATTTATATCTACATAGTAGTATCATGGCTGAATCAGTTCATACGTAAAAGGATGTTATGCAATATCCCTAGCACCGGTAGTCCTCCAAAGCCTTGCTAGCAAAGTATTTCCAGGGGCATCTCTCATAGAATGGTAATACTGATTGGGTAGTTAAGTAACAAGATCTATTATAGCGCAATTAGTTGCAGCCAGTTTATCAGTATGAAAGGTAACAGTTATGATGCTAGGCCTTTTTGATAAGGAAGATATATATATTTGTAGTAGCCTAGAAGTCAACATTGGGAGGTTCGATTGCGAGGCCATTTTCCTGGTTTCAGATGTTGTTATTTCAGATTATCACAATGAATGGCGATATATACATAGATATAAATATGTTTTCCTTCAAAAGGCTGCCAGTTTTCTATCTAGGTAGATATGCCGGCCTCGGTGGTAGACGTGTCAACAGCCCCGGGGGTTGCGCTCCTCGTCTCATTGGGTATCAAAAGAGCAGACCAGAGCTGTGTGGTATGAACGACGAATTGTGCAATCACGCAGGAAAGAACGCATCCTGCAGTATGGCCTATTACTGTTACTGTAATGCTTACAGTGTAGGCAGTAGTACGGTTGAGTGAACGGATCGAAGGCAGTAGAACGTGGAACCCTTCTACCCTAACCGAGACCAGTTTCTTGTGCGTAACACCCCTTCCTTATAAGTGGCGAAAAGTGAAGGCCTTAGGCATCAGACGCTTGTCAGCACACTGTGTACTGTCTAATATAGGGGTCTAATTGATGGGGTTTAATTCTCTGTATTTCTGTATTGACTCTCCTGGCAATTTATATGGAGCTTTAATACATAACATAAATTACAAAACATGTAGGATTAATAAATCCTCCGGTATACCGGCGTCACTACGCCGACAGCCCTCATAACTATGGGTAGATCGTCCGGAGATTCGTCTCTGGCAAATACCGAGTCTGCATACCCGGTACAATGCACAGGTGATATGCTACGCCAAGCATACCGCCAAGCATACCAAAGGAGTTATGAATGCTCTATTGTTTTGATTAAATAATCAAGGCTCCATATAAATTGTAAGGAGTGCGTATACAGGAATACAGAGAGTTCCGTATACTCATTTCATACCATACTTTTCATACAGTCAGATTTCTGTGAGTCTCCTCTACACCTCTCCCCCTCTCCTTCTGGGCCTTTCTAGTAGTCCAAACAGGAACTTCTACAGACAACCTGGTGCAAACTTCCATCACGGGCATCGGCTCGGAGAGCGGAGCTATATGGACTGCGCTTTGGGTCGGGCACGGAGTTAGCTAAAGCCCGAAGTGAGACGGGCGAGACAGTCGTCTCACCTCCCACTTATAAAAGCAGCCACTGGCCAAAGCAAAATAGCATCTTTCATTTTATCAAGATTGACATTCAATTCAGAATTTACAATATGTCGACCGTTATTGTATTTGGGCCGACCGGCAACATCGGTTCCGTCGCAGCCCGCAGTGCCCAAGAGCATGGAGCCAAGGTTGTCCTAGCTATGCGCGATCCGAAGAAAACTATTCCAGGTCTGAGCTCGGATCAAGAGCAAGCTGGAGGTTTCAAAAGGATCCAAGCCGACCTGACAGACGCCGATTCCGTCGCTGCGGCTATCACGAAATCCGGAGCCAAGCGCGCCTTCATCTATGCCAACTTCGGCTCTCCAGACCACATGAAATCTACTCTTGAAGCTTTGAAATCCGCTGGAATTGAGTTTGTCGTGTTCCTGAGCAGCTACACCATCTCGGGCGAGGCCAAAGACGTTGACCCAAGTGACGTAATCCCTTACATCCACGCACAGGTGGAAATCAACCTTGACGAGATCTTCGGACCTGAAAACTATGTTGCCGTGCGTCCTGGTTTTTTCGCCACAAACATGCTGCATAACAAGAGTGATATTGCAGCTGGGGAGGTGAAGCTTTATACACCGAACCTCATGGTCGATTGCGTCACACCTATTGATATGGGTCGTGTCAGCGGAACTATCCTTGCCCAGGGACCGAAGAATGGACAACGAAAGGTCTACCTCTACGGTCCTCAGGTCATCTCGATGTCAGATGCCATTCACACTATTGCGAAGGTTCTGGGCAAGAATGTTAAGATTACAACTATTAACGCAGAAGAAGCTTTGGAGCAGCACCTCAGCCACGGTCTTCCTAAGCCGCTGGCGCAGTATATGATTCGCAGATTCGGAAATGATGAGGATGCGAATGTCCCGCTTGTTCATTATGGCGGGGGTGTTCAGAATGTGCAGCTTTACACTGGAGCGCCTTCTACTGGTTTTGAGGAGTGGGTGGCTGCAAACAAGGATCTATTCAGTGCGTGATGATATTGAAGTCGAGGTGCGACATCGAACTTGTGGAATTATCCTGTCTCGCGTTTTGTACTTATCACCGACCGTCAAGAGGAGGCGGAGACCGATATGTCTGGCTTTGCTTCGAGCCAAGACCCCCTAGTAATCTCAGATTGATCAATAAGTGAACCAGGAGAGACAGATTTACCGGATGATCATGTGGATTGGGAAGCCCTCTAGTGCCGAGTATAGGCTGCTAAAATGAATCGGTCTATTGTAGTGGCGTAGCGTTAGGCCCTAGAACAACGGTACATAGTTCTACTGGATTTGTTTCATTTTTATAATGGATCACACAAAGGATGTTCGCTTGGCCACCCTATATTTTCCCGATCTAAACTTTACACCGGCAGATCGACGACGGGATCTCCTCCTGCTCTTCTTAATTCCTCATTTGTCGCCAGCAAGACCACGAATACAAGTCTTCTCATTGGAGTAACACTGTATCTCGTGTTCGTCAGGAAGAGTCCCATGTAGAATTCAAGCTTTAGCAACTCGACCCGTACAATCTGATCTGTCATGTATAGAGCTATGCCAATAAGCATGATTAATAATAAACAATGCATTCTCTCCCATCTGCGCTAGTAGCCTTCTTCCATTGCGCAACGGGGTTGCAAGGTCATACGGGGAAGCGATAAGCAGGACATGTGTCTTGAGAGTGTTTTTGAGATCGCCACGATACACCTCCGAAGGAGGAGCCCAATAGGTATTATAATATCGACAAAGTAGAACTTCAAAGAAGCGGGAAGTGCCAGTTATCCAGCTCTGGGTGGGCATGGTCGCCTACAACCGATCCTACCAGTCAAGTCCTTCTGAAAAGGGCGCATCATACGGATCGGAACAGATCACGAGAAGTTCGAGTTCGCTGGAAGGCGGGACATGGGAATATGGCGGCTTCTCGGAATGTTCGCTCCACGAGAGGTCTAGGGACTTGGCTGCCAGAGTGGCATTCCATGCCTCGAGCTCATAGAGCATTTGTGCCCCGTCTGACCATTCCATCGGGATATGTATCGCCCGATAGAGAACCTTTTCTATGAGCGCTGCGTAAGTGATCAGAGAAGAACCGGCTAAATCCATGTATGTAGATTGTGGGCGAGCTTTGAGCGACTCAAGTAGTTGGGTCATACGTGCTTCCAGCTGTGCGAGAGTAACGGGGCCGTCCTGGTTGGGACTAGGATCGGCCAATGCGCACAACTTTGGACCAGCCTTGATATATTCCCCTAAAGAGCCGTCGCGCCATGCATCTGTGGCATTATCGAGAGCAGTCCAGCAGAAGCCGCCTAAGGGATAATGATCCTTGACATATTCCGTACATCCAGACGATATTTTTCCAGGGCCATGATCGGTGAGTAGAAATGGGGTTTCCTTTCTCCATCACAAAGTCCCTAGGGAAGGGGATCCCTGTCCAAGCGGGAGTGTTTGAGATTAAAACCCCTATACAATGATTTAATGTTGCAGTCAGCACGTAAGTAAAGGTGATTTCATGTGACTACCTACTCTAGAGCTGTGAGTGAACGGGCTAATATTGAGGAAGAAAAGAGGCTCTAGGGCTCTAGGGTGTAGTAAGCATTGTCAAGCGCAAACGCCATTCGACCCCATTAAGGCGAGACGGGCTATTTATGACTTTCAATCCATTCTAGAAGAACCATATCTCTAATGACCCCAACTTTATCCAAAGTATTATTTGGGGGTTCTGAAAGTCTGAGGTTACGGATGGCTTTGACGAGCAGATTGCACATACAGCGCATTGGCAATTCCTCCCAATCCTGCAAGTTTCTGAGGTATGATAGGACGAAATATACAGGGGTGTGATATTAGTCGACATGAGTCACTATTACCAGCCAGTGACTGTCGCTTATGATTGGCTAGACAAATATAGAGATGGAACGAAACAATACTTAATGTTCATCCTCGTGTCCCTTCTAAGGCACCATTTTCACTACAGAATCATGTTCGGGAGGGCCATACCATCAAAATGACAAAGGAATGGGCAGGCTATCCCTCCACTGTGGCGCCAAGCTTGCAGTTGAAAGATGACGAGAAAGAGATTCTCAAGCGCCAAATCCACACTCCGGAAGAGTCGCAGATCAGTCGCTTAGGGCTTATGTATTCATGTACAACAACCTATGAACTATTTGTCCTGGTCATCAGCTCAATTGCAGCGATAATTGGAGGGGCACTTCAACCCATATCTTTTGTGAGCTGCTCTCCATACATACCCGATCTCCCAAGCTAATTTTTATACAGCTCTTTCTAGGGGGCTTGGCCCAAGGATTCAAGGAGTTCTTCTTGGGATCATTTTCCGGCTCTCAACTCTCATCCCTGGTTGCAAAGTTCGCCCTGTATTATGTATACGTTGCTATCGGGCAGTTTGTCTCGGTATATATCTCTACAGCCGGGTTCATGATCGGAGGAGAAAATATAACCCAACGGCTCCGAGAGAAATATCTCGCCGCTATCCTACGACAAAATATAGCATTTTTCGATGTTCTAGGCGCCGGAGAAATAACAACCAGAATCACGGCCGATATGAATCTGATCCAAGATTCCTTGACGGGCAAGCTTTCTCTGACCCTGTACTCGTGTTCCAATTTCGGAACGGCTTTCATCATCAGCTTCGTCAAAAGCTGGCGCATGGCTCTCATCCTGATATCTGCAATCGTGGCAGAAACCGGATCGATGAGTATATGCTCTTCATTTATGGTCAAGTATACCCATATGTCTTTGTCGGCATATGCAGACGGATCGACAGCCGCCGAGGAGGCTATCAGTTCAATCCGACACGTTACTGCATTTGGGATCCAAGATAAGCTGGCCGATCGGTACCAGAAATTTCTTGCCAAGGCAGAGGCATATGGCCTTAAAAGTCGCATTGCGCTTGCGGCCATGATGGCTATCATGAACGGTGTCATATTCTGGACTTATGGACTGACATTTTGGCAAGGGTCTCGTTATCTTGTTGTTGGCGATGTCGAATTGGGAGCTCTGGTAACCATTCTTCTTGCTGTCCTGACTGGAGCCTTCACTTTTGGTAACATAGCACCCAATTTCCAAGCCTTTGCAACCGGTATCGCAGCAACAGGGAAGATTCTTGCAACCGTGTCTAGGAACTCACCGATAGATCCATCGTCTTCCACAGGGAGCAAGCTACAAGCTGTGTCTGGGACGATAGAACTGAAGAACATTCGCCATGTTTACCCTTCTAGACCAGATGTTCTGACTTTAGATGGGGTAAGTCTTCTATTTCCAGCTGGAAAGACGACCGCCATTGTCGGTGCTTCTGGCTGTGGAAAGAGTACATTGGCAGGTCTGATTGAAAGGTTTTACGAACCAATAAGTGGCGAAATATGTGAGTCTCCTTTCTGTGAAAAATGAACCACGCTAAGGATTGCCCAATAGTGCTCGATGGCCACGATATCACGTCTCTAAACTTGCAATGGTTACGCCAACAAATAGCAATCGTCACACAACAGCCCACACTCTTCGCCACAACAGTATTCGAAAATATTAGATTTGGTCTGATAGGCACTGAACACGAAAACTCGCCTTATATTGAGGTAGAAACCCTTATTTTTGACGCCGCAAAGAAAGCGAACTGTTTTGATTTCATTTCCGCCTTGCCGGGCGGATTCCACACCAGTGTTGGTGAGAAGGGCTCATTACTTTCGGGTGGACAAAAACAGCGAATTGCCATTGCACGGGCTATTATTAGCAATCCAAAGGTCTTGCTGCTGGATGAGGCTACCTCGGCTCTAGATGCTCAGGCCGAGCGGCTGGTACAGGCGGCGCTTGATGTTGCCGCTGAAGGCCGGACAACGATTACAATCAGTCACCGGTATGTGTCTCAATTAGTCTCAGAGACGGGACCTAATTACGATTCAGATTATCCACTATCACAGCGGCAGGAAATATTGTCGTCATGTCTCATGGACGCGTCGTTGAGCAAGGAACCCACAACGACCTACTTGAGAAACGATCGATGTATTACGAGTTAGTGGAGAAACAGCGGATGACAACGGAGAGGAGTATCATTATAAGTGAGACAAAGTCTGCTCTGGAGGCAGATGAGCTCCCTGACTTGAAAGATGATCTCGATGAGTCCAAGTACACGTACGAGATGGGGCAGCACCGAGGCTCCAAAGACAGCGAGAGATATTCCAAGGGGAAGACTGACCGCGAATATTCCTTATGGGAGTTGATCAAGTTCATCGCCAACTTCAATAAGGAAGAAACGCTTACCATGGTGTGGGGTCTATTTTTTTCAATCATCACAGGTGCTGGAAATCCTACGTAATTATTCACACAATTCCACACATGGTGCAGAATATTGGTGCTGACCATTCCCTTAGCCAGGCTGTATTCTATGGCAAGACAATCGCAGCACTGTCGTTACCACCTGATATGTATGGCAAGTTACGGCATGATGTCAACTTCTGGAGTTTGATGTATCTGATGTTGGGAGGTACTGCATTCCTAGGCTGGGGAGCATCGGGTCTCTGTTTCGCGTACTGCTCTGAGCGCCTCATTCATCGTGCCAGAGATCATTCTTTCAGAGCAATGCTCCATCAGGATATCTTCATGTTCGACAACCCTGCTTTCTCAGCCGGTTCCCTTACATCCTCGTTGTCCACGGATGCGACCAACCTTGCCGGAATGAGTGGTGTGACACTAGGCTCCATCTTCATTGTTTCAACAACTTTGGTTGCTGGCATAGCTGTATCGATTGCGATAGGCTGGAAGCTGGGACTCGTTTGTACCGCAACGATTCCAATTGTTCTTACTTGTGGTCTCGTCCGACTCAAAATTCTCGGGGATATGGCTCGACAGTCAAAGGCGGCTTATGCAGCTTCAGCTAATTATGCCTGTGAGGCAAGTTCTGCCATCAAGACGGTCGCATCGCTAAATCTCGAAAGCCATGTACAACAAGAGTATCACAGCATATTGGAAGCGCAGCGACAAAAGTCGGTCGTTTCAACGCTCAAGTCATCAACGTTCTATTCAGCCTCACAGTCAGCCAATTTTCTCTGCATTGCGCTAGCTTTCTGGTATGGCGGAAGTCTAATCATCCACGAAGGCTATTCTATGGTGCAGTTCTTCATCGCTTATGCAGCTGTTATCGTAGGCTCATTCAGTGCCGGAGCTATTTTCTCTTTCGCGCCAGATATTAGCAAATCCCGCCAGGCAGCCCAGGATATCAAAACGTTGTTGGACCGACCTGTCAACATTGATGCTCGTCAAGAATCTGGCGAGCTGTTAACGAAAATGGATGGTGGCTTGGAGATGCAAAATATTTATTTTCGATACCCTAACAGACCAGAAAGGGTGGTTATCAACAATCTGAGCTTGAGTGTTCAGCCGGGACAATATATCGGCCTTGTAGGAGCGAGTGGATGTGGCAAAAGCACGATCATTGCTTTGCTGGAGCGGTTCTTTGACCCTGAAGCGGGAAAGATATTGGTTGATGGGAAAGACATTTCGAACTTGAATGTCAAGAGCTACAGGAGTCACCTTGCTCTAGTTAGTCAAGAGCCGACACTGTACCAAGGAACAATTAGGGAGAATATCACCCTAGGTACCAACGATGAGGATGTTTCCGAGGAGAAAATCACCAAAGCATGCAAAGATGCCAATATCTACGACTTCATCCAATCTCTGCCGTGAGCCGCTTCTTCCCCCTCCACCCTACTCTAGCCTTTCCTCTCTTTATTTCTTGGTTGCATGGAAACGAATGTCTACTAATCCTCAGCTCAGTGACGGCATCTCGACAGTGATAGGGGCGAGGGGTGGTATGCTCTCTGGCGGGCAGCAACAACGAATAGCCATTGCGCGAGCGCTTCTTCGAGATCCGCGTATCCTCCTTCTAGACGAGGCAACTTCTGCGCTCGATTCGGAGTCTGAAAAGGTTGTTCAGGACGCTCTGAATGCGGCGGCTCATGGCCGGACGACAGTCGCCGTTGCACATCGGATAAGCACAGTGCAGAAGGCCGATTGCATTTATGGTAAGAAACAAATATCCCATTTAACGAAGTATAGAGACTAACTCATATAGTGTTGCATGAGGGCAAAGTTGTGGAACAGGGGACGCATCAAGAGTTGATGGAGCTGGGGGGGAGGTATTTTGAGTTGGTGAAGTTGCAGAGCTTGGAGAGGTAGGACTAGAAACTGTGATCTAATAATAGAGGGATGTAATCTTGAAAAATAAACATATGTCACAAAATAAATTAGAAATCTAGTACATGTATATTTAGATCGGTGTTCTGAAGATCTCTCCTAAACCGTTGCAGCCTCAATGGATTCTATATACATAATATCTACGGCTGAGGGAGTTCTTTTTAACTGTTTATACCTCTGAAACCACATGTTGACCCCAGGTCACCCATCTAATATGTATTCAAGTCCGCAGCTCTGGACACCTGCCTGATGACGAATGATCCTTCTGGGTCTCTTTACATAGAATACGCCATGGGTACCGATCAGCAAGTCCCGCAAATCTCACGGGCAGGGATTATCCTTGTCTCGGTGCTACTAGGTGCCGACCTATTGTGTCTTTTGGCATTGGCGCTCTACAGCGCATGGATTTCTCGATGGACCGGAACCATAGTAGTGACAGCCGTAGGCTGTTTCTCTAAGTATTCAGATAGACTTCAGAAATCATGGGTGCTACGATATCTCTTACTTGATGTATCGTCAAGCGACGACTCAGATAACCCGAGTGACTCGGAGGAAAACAAGCCAAGAATAAGCTTCCAGGAAATAATGCGTTCACATCATAAAAGGCGTTATCGACAGGTATTCGGCGAGGGTTGCTTGAATCAAGCAGTCTTGGCAGTCTTGGTGGTCTTGGCAGTCGAGCTGTCCGGTCCAGCTGCGCCTTGGCGAGGTCATATCTTGGCCTTATGGATTGCGCGAAATTCGCCAATATCCGGGGCCCCAGTGAAGCTCCCAGAAGTGGCGACATGATGTGAGGAACAAGGGTATCCGTCATGGTCGAAGCAAAGACTGAACAATAAGGGTTTTTGTCTACGGGTACTGTACACTATCCTACGCCACCATTGTCGCCGCCATTGGAGGCCCTCTGTGTGGCAATGCCATTTGGAGGAGCCCTGAAAGCTGGTGCCGATCTCACCAGAATCAAGCCTCAAATGTGTTCTCTTTTGCTATTTTGCTGAATTCCTTCTCGCCCCTGACCTCTCTAAGCCTTATGGAGGAAGCTATTGTCTTAGGTCGATAGTTCAGGTAAAGATAGATGCCAGTTGGGTGGATTTACGCAGTAGCGCCCATTCTAATGCTTACATGTTAACGAGGTATACTCTGCTCGGCTTAGCTTGCATCTTTCAATGTAGCATACTAGATTTAAACAATTTAATTTGAGTCACACAACATTCAAGGATCTTCAGATCCACCCATTCATCACTCACAACCCCCGAATGGCACCAGCAAGGTCATCCATGTTCTCCAAGAACACATCAAACTCATTTTTCACCACCTCCATATTCTCATCGATATCATCAGTCCACCGATGAATATAAACAGTCCTCAACCCACACGCCTGCGCACCCCGCAGATCATATGCATGCGCCGCAACCAGCACCACCTCCTCAGGCCGAAGTTTCACAAGCTCCAGCCCCTTCTTATAAGCCTCCGGGCGAGGCTTATAGGCACCCAGCAACTGACTAGAAAACAGCATGTTGAACTCCAATCCAGAAGATCGAGTCAAGTCCAACTGGAGCCGTGTCGTCCCGTTTGCATGGACGAAGACTTCCAACCCGAGATCTTGGCGAAGAATCTTGATTGCATCGGAAACTTCAGGCCATGCTTTCTGTGAATGCCATGCTTTGATGATTTTCTTGTTGATCTCGGCTTCAAAGTGCGGTTTGTGATCCGGTGACTGGTCGAGGAGGGCTTCCAGAGTGCGGGCAAGGGTAATATCGATGTCTTCTGGGTGGAGGTTTTCGCTGACACGTTTGCTGTTCTCTAGGAAATATCGTCTGCGCCATTCCAGTGCAAACTTTGATGCTTCATCTTTTGGTATTGCGGTGGGTAGGGCTTGCACTACGCTGCTGTGCCAGTCGAGGCATGTTCCCATGAAGTCGAAAAAGACTGCTTTGATTTTTGGTTGAGACATTGTTGTATCTGGTGCTTGGTATGATGTTAGAAGTAAGCTTTACGAAGAACGAAGGAGTTTTGAGTAAGCTGACATGTAGATCTGATCCTCTTGCAGGCAGCGGGGAAGGCTCGGATTAGAAATCCAAATGCTTCATCTCCCCAGCTCAGGTATACTACCTATTTCTCTTTTTCATTCTCTTTGCTCATAACCTACAATTCGCAGGTTCATATATCCTACTGAAAAGAAGATGCAGTAAATTTTGAGATATTGACTTCAAATATCAACCACAAATATATTAACAAGAGCAAAGTAAATGCACAATGTATCAATATTTACCAAAGACCGCATATACCGCGGTCAATACAATGAAGGCCCGAGACTTGCCAGGTCCCGGGATCTTCTACGAAGAATATATGTGCGATTAATGACAAACTCTCCAGATTTAACCTTCTCATAAAAGTAATCACACATCGCTTCAGCCACTTCATAAATTGCATCCTCGTCAGGGAGGTCCCCAGCAACCCGGACCGATAGGCAGTGTGACCACCTGTGGTGCATGGGTGACTCGTTGACTGTAACCTGTCGGTTTACAACGCGGTATATCATAAGGCGGACCAGCTCTAGATTGTTAAACTTGGCCTCATCAGGGTCAAAGTACACTGTGACCCACACAACCTGGTCACCGGATGGGCCGTCGGCAACGGGTACATCTCCGATGCGAGTTCTGAACGCGGTTCGTGTAGACATCGTGGTTTTGTTTATTGATTATGGGAATGTGTTTAGGATTGGGTGTAGTGCGAGTTCATTTGTTCTCTGTGGAACAGGGAGTGAGACAAGAAGGAGTGTGCTTTTTCTCGTACTTTTTCTCCAAGCGGCCGTCGTACGTGGGTGTAGGAGGTGATGGTGTTTAAATACTTGCCACTGAGACAGAGCTATTATACATAAGTGGGCTGCATGAGCCCTTGATAGAACAAAGGATCATTTGACAACAGCTTTATCGAGTCTTCTCATTTCGTACCAATTATAGGAATCAAGTTGACAAATTATATCTTTCTTTCTTAGGCCTCGACATCAAAGAGATAAGCTCATCAAATGGCCAAATAGTCAAGTAGCTATCGTTTTAGAAAGCTCTTTCTTGTCAGATTAGCCCTGGAATATACCAGAATAAGGAACAAAGACCCTCAATCTTTCACTTCTCAGACTCAAGGTCATATGCGTCGGTTCCATTCTTTGTCTACACCCTACCAAAGTATCAAATAACCCAATCTATCTCAATGAGATCCTCTAAAAAGCGTCCGACCTCAAATGAAAAAGCCGAAACAGTCTCTCCCGGTCAATCTCAATATTTCCCGCCGCACATTCGGCCTGATAAAAAAGCGCCAACTCCAATGCATCCCTCAGAAAAGCATCAAGATACAAATCCCTAAATCGGGCAAAAGCCCAATAATTTCCACGGGCCGGTAACGACAAAAACCCCATGACTCTATGGTGCATGGGCTCGGGGGTAACTGAGACACTGAAATGTGGTGTTTTCTTAGCAATTCTCGCGTGAATGGTCTCAGCTACTAGATCCATAAATTCTGCGTCTGTTTTATTGCGGTTTTCTGGAGTTGCGATGAATACGTTTACCCATACTATCGGTCCGCGGATGCGACATCTTTCATCGGTGTAGATGCCGTTGTGGATGAACATACCTTCTTGTGCCATATTTGATGGGCCTTTGGTCTGTCACCGGATGGATTGCGGTTTGGCGGAGGGAAAGGGTCCCTTTGCTAGAAGAGTTCCGCTTCTAACTCTTATTTTTGGATGTTCAGACGGACAAAGGCATCCTGGTAGTTGAAATTGGAATGCGTACGATATGCTCCTATTATTATAGTAGTTGGGATTTTGTCAGGGCTTTGTTACGATTGAAGGCTGATTTCTCATTGTTACAATGACTTCCATGGGTCCCTCAAGATAAAGTAGAAATGGTCTTAGTCGTGGATGGTTAAGACAAAGGGCTTTGGAGAGCTTGTTCTGATATCTAGCAAATTGAGCAATGTACGGAGTACATATGTTGGCCCTGGGTAATATAACTTCATTATAATGGTGAATTATCCGCTAATGAGAAGCAGAAGAAAGGCAAGTTCAGTCTCCTAGATAGATAGCGCATTAAGTGGATCTCTCAGTTCCGGAATAAGGCCCAGGTAGCTCGTATCGATAGATATCGTGACCATGTAAGGGTTGACAGCCACGTATGCGGGGACCCGTGAGATAAAACATGGAGGGTTGCAGAGCAGAGAAGAGACATGTCCGTATATCAACCATTTCGAATTGGCGTTTTGGGGTCCATGCAATATAAATCAGGCGGTAATGCATGAAGACCAAAATGGACACAGCTGAACTTTTAGTGCGGTATAGATGGCACGTTAGCCCGAGTTGGTAGTGATAGTCAGCTTAGAAATCTTTTTTCCCGTTCTGATTGGCTGGTGCCTGGCCCGAAGATACAGAGGAACCCCATGGACCCTCATTTAACGCCAACCCCGTTGTGGCTTTGAACTGCAGTCAGCAATCCGTTTCACTTTTTCTTGGGGGCCACAGACCCTTCCGACAAATATTCTGACAAAGGGACAGATGAGAGGAATAACTTCTACATACTGATACCTTGTTCTACATATTGACGCTAAACGGATGAAGCGTGATCCTTGGGGAAGTTGACTCCCGGCATGAGACAGTATGAACCGGCATCCTCACCGCGACCGATTCCCTGGAATAACCCTGAAATTCTCCTCGACTCTCACGTATAGAGTACTATACAACATAGTGTAACTCTGGAGTTGAGCCAAAAACATAGGTAACTTACTTGGCAAGATACACGTCTCGAGAAATCTCTCCCGTGCAGTAGTCCGGCCAACTAGTATTCGTGGAGGCTAACATCTGCCTAAGATGACGGATGCCAAATGCCATTCGTAGTGGACGACTAACCAACCTTGGAAGTTAGTCTATTATCACCTCGTAAAAGTGGATCGCGAGGTGAAAGCGCTAATGTATGTTCAGCCCTAGCCATTGCTGATAGGCCGGTCTGACGTTGTAAATACGGACATACCCGAGTATCAGAAGAGTAATAAAACGTTATTATCCTGCCTTGTCTTCGGCGTCGAGTTTGAAAAGAACTGGCCAAAAAGTCCCCCAAATCCCCGGAATCGGGCCCAACTCATACTCTGTCAACATGTCTCGATTAAGCGGTAATCACGTTGGTAACGACGCTGTTCCTATTCAAAACTCCGACTATGATACACCCAACCAAAAAGCACCCGACGCAACAACGACAACATACGCCTCTCCTTCCAGAGATGGCATTACTCCGGCCGCGTGGGGGATTGGATGGCGAGTTCCGAGTATGATGGTTGGACTTGTTTTTGCTGGTGCGATGTTTTCAATGGGTCATCACCTATACTACCAGAGCCTCGACGGGGCCCGCGTCAACTCAGTCGACCAACAAACATGGGCAATTCGAATCGGAACTGGCTTTGCTTTCTTGATCAAATCTTTCTTCGTGTCTGCTGTTGGTATCGCAGCCGTGCAAGTGATGTGGGCCACTCTCCGACGGAAGTTTGTGAATCTTCGCGGGATTGATGGCATGTTTTCCATCCTTAGCAGCCCACTGGCTTTGCTCACCCCCGACCTCTGGATGTGCGCGAAGACCCTCATCCTACTTGCAATCATGTCATGGTGCGTATAAGGTCTTTTTCTACGGAGGGGCAATTATTCACTGTTTGATCAGGCTTATCCCATTAACGGCAATTGTTACACCTGCTACTCTAACCGTCGATCTCTTGACAACGACCAATATCACCCAAGCTCGTGTTCCGACTGTGAACTTTGTTGACTCCTTCTGGAAGCCTTGGGCATTAACCGAAGGGGCAGGGTTTATTGATTCGCCCGCGCCCGGTATCAATCGCCTTTTTACAACTGTTTTCTCGTCTGCTGAAGTGCTCCCATTGTCTGCACCTTTCCCTAACTCATCCTACACCCTAGAGTTCTGGGGCCCTTCATACAAGTGCCAGAGATTCAGTGAAGTTATCGTCGAGATGCAGGGCAAGACTTTTACCGATCAGTCGGGTTACAATTATAGTTCCTTTCAGGAAGTGTGGGATTACGATACTGCCAACATGACAAGCCACTTGTTTTACACCATGTACTCAGGGGCCGTTAGTAGAGTCCTTAACAACACCATTTTCGTGTACGCCACAGGAGGAAACCCCCTATGGAACGACAACGTCACACAACCGACCGAGCTCGTCTGTCAGCTTTGGAATACATCATACGTGGTGGACCTGAATTTTGCCAACAGTGTGCAAACTCTCACACCCGTATCAACGGAGTACGTGGCTCCTGCTAATTGGAGTTCATCCGCTGGCTCGTTGACTACATTACAACCTCAAGCGCCAGGTGTCAATGGTGGTTTCTACCTGACGCACTTGCTATTCTCTGCCATCATGGAAAGTACCATAAGGATCGGCTCTGTTGGATCGGTGACCACTGTCTTAACCTCGTCGCTTTCGTCCGAACAATCTATATTCACCCAAATATCAATAATGCAAACCGGCCTTTTCTCATGTCCGGAGGTGTGGAATAGTACCTATTACATGCCGACGAGTGAGACAGTTGACCAGTCCATTTGCCGGAATAAAACACTAGCCCGGGCCATAGAAGATCTCTCGCACAACTTCACCTACAGTCTTCTTAGTCTGAACTCCGCGAACACCAGTGTGCCCGTGACAATCTCATCACCTCAGAATTTCTACGCCTACAACAGTAAGAATCTGCTGGCGGCCTACATGACTGCGCTGGGTGTCACTGTTGTATGTGTGATCGTCGGATTCTTTGCCCTGCGCGAGAATGGCGTTGCCCAGAGTATCTCATTTTCCAGCATGTTGATGACGACACGGAATCCCGAGTTGGATGGTCTATCCAAAGGACACTGTTTGGGATCTGACCAATTACCAGATGAGATTGGCGATGTCAAGTTACGATTTGGGGAGGTCGAGGGCTCGGAGCAGTACAAGCATGCGGCATTTGGAACTCAAGAGTCGGTAACTCCTCTAACTAAGGGGAAAGATTATTATTAGGCAACGGACGGCTCTCCGTCATTAATAGAACCATCATCATTGTTTCCCCAGAGGCTGGGTTGTCAAAGATGAGCGTGTTGACACTATCGACGAATCACGATGGTTGATTTGAGCATTAAGTGGTGCCCCTCTGACTAAGGGGTTCTTGTTCACCAGCTCAGCTGTGAGAAAGGGAAAGCATCACTTTTATATATATTACCTTCCAGATCAAGTGTCACTTTATTATATGTAATTATGAATCTCATCTAATACTTCTCTCGCTGCATAGGATCAAGGTCGTCTATAGAGGTGTCGGGTGACTCTTTATATATAATAGTATATTTACTTCTGGTATAATGTTATGTACTGCAAAATCTAATAGCCGCTCTTAAAACACTCTCTATGCAACTCTCCAAAATCCCACCCCCTCAAACCTTGATCCACCTCCCCATCCAAGTCTCAACAATCTCCTTGGCCTCATCAACTAACCCAAGATCAAGCAACAGCTGCGTCGTACCACGCACAGCCGAATCCAACGCGGAAAAGATCCACGCATGAGTATAACTAGTGTGCTCTCCAATAAAGATCGTCTTAAACTCCGTCTGGTAGTAAGCAGGCAAAAACAGCTCCTGCTGTCCAACAAGCGGAGTAGCCCAAGCACCCGCCTGATGATGATCAACCTCCCAGCACTGACGATCATAAACACCGGTAAACTGCTCGGCTGCAATTTCACCATGCGCCTCGACCATCGCGCGTTGAACCATTGCAACATGTTCTTCATCACTCAACGCGGCTGTTGACCGAGCCGGTGTACCCGAGATATACGATGCCAGAATCACACCTGGGCCAGTCGCGTTCATGGTGTAGGAAGGGTAGCAGACATTACCGACGCCGGGGACGTCAACTGAGCCGCATCCACCGAAGATGGGCTCTTCCATGTGCTCCCAGAAACGGGTCTTGTAGAGCAGGGAAATCTTGCACGAGGGGCTGTAGTTCATGGTTGAGATCGCCCGGCTCAGGAGAGACGAGTACCGGGGTAGGTCCCACAGTCTGACTTTGCTGAATGGTGTAGCGACGACGGCGTAATCGTATTCTTTTGTTTCAGGCACCATCTGGAACAGATCATCGCGCCATGCCACAGCAACTTTACCGGTTGTCTCGTTGTAGACCAATCCATCGATTGTGCGGTTGAGGGTTGTCTTCTTTGCGACGTGGGGGTAGAATGCGCGAGGGAGGGACTCCAGACCCTTATCGATGGTGCGCCATTTTGTAGCGGCGAAGTAAACGTCATCGTAGAGCTCGCCCCAGATGGGGGAGCTGTCTGCGCCGGCGACATAGCTGGTGATGTTGTCATTGTAACCCATTGCATATTTGAGGTATCCGGCTTCGGACCAGTGGAACATGCCGTCCTCGACGGCTTGCTTGTGGGCCTGGTACATGTTTGTTGCAAGTTTGCGGATTGTTTCCCGATCATTGAGTTTCGCGTAATTCTCAAATGCGGACTCTGCCTCTTCCACGGCTGTTTCGTTGGATGAGGGGGCCTTGTAGACTAGGGATGAGTTGGCGGCTACTTGGGAGACAGTGGGGATTCGGCCGTTGGGGAGACGGTTACCACCAGATGATGCTGGCACATTTGGGCTGTTCTGCACGAAGGGGATGAAGTTGACCTGGAGATCTGGCTTGTCGTTGTTCATCTTGTTGAGGACTTTGGCGAGTTGGAAGACCATGCGGTGATCTTGGATTTCGAGGGTCTCATTTGTATCAGCGTAGGTGATGCTGACTGGGAATCGCATTGGTCCCATCTCCTGATATTGATATTGATCAGGAGTAGTGTTATTGAGGTATTTGGTACGAATTCGACCACCGACTCGGCCGGATGATTCGTAGATGTGCCAGTCATGGATACCAACAGACTCGAGCAGCAAACTCGTCATCAAGCCGGACATTCCACCTCCCAGGATAGCAACCGAGGAGTTCTTTGCTTTGGAAACAAATGCATTGCTGTGCTTCTTTGACTTCATGTAAGCCACTCCGTCAAACCACGGTCCCATGGCATCCGCCACATCGGCGATACTCTCACGCTTCTCGACAGGTGACGAGACCATGATGGGAGCAGAGCGACCCACAAGCCTTGATCCGGAGAAAGCATGCAGACAGTTTGAATGGGGTGCGTCAGATGGTGTTGTCCAGACGAATCGCTCCGGTTGTGCTTCACGTTTCACGAACGTACTCCCGATCGAATGGTGACTCTGCGTCGGATCTTGAATCCCGCATTCACCGTAGACAATCTGCAGGTGATCTTCGAACTGATCGTCCAGGAACTCGACGTGAATGTTGTGCAGAGAGTCGGCAGTTACACTCCCGGGGCTGTGGAACCGTATCACTTCAATATTTCTCCCCGCGACCCCGGCTAGGCTGAGGCCTGATAGACCCAACCCCAAGAGGGTATGTTGTAGATAAACCTTCATGCTTGATCCGGGCTGAAGGGATATGGAAATAAAATATAAGGGCTTGGTGATGATCCATTTTTCTCCGTGGTTGCCGGACACAATTTATATGTCTTTGCATCCAGTAATTTTGGGATACTACCTGGTATCTCGAGCCATCACTATCTTTGCGGAGTGATTCACTGTAACTTCCTTATCTAGCGGTCAAATTGAAGCTGGAGAAGATAGTACCTCGTATCCGCGATATCATACACGGTTAGTATAACCTCTACAGATTGACCAGTATATCATCCATTGCTCGCGCGGCTGTTACGTAAAAGCATAGAATCTCATACAGGCATTCAATTAGTAGCTCATTCCCAGTCAACTAAAAGCTCTGGATTAGTCGAATACAGCTGTCAGTTGTTAATTTATCTTATCAAGGCGGTTTATTACGACGCTATACGTTATCTTAGACCGGGGTGTTGAGGCAAGTCCCCGGGGGCACAGTCCACGTTAACCGCGGGGAAGATGTACGGAGTTAGTCAACGGTTGAAGATATGAGTTTCATTCGGATCGACAATCTTTTTCAGGTTGTTATCTGAATTGGTAAGGATGCAGGTACGGACATCGGAAGAGCTCGGCAGGGAGTCTTGGCACGCCCTTTGAATGCCTTCTAGAAAGACCAAGGTGTATACTCCTTACTCCAGTAGGTACCACTAAGACTGGAGCTAAAACTCTTAGAAACTCTTAGATTGGGATTCTGTTGGTATGACGAGCCGCTTGTTATAATTTGTCTTTCTATCTACTTCCGAAGACACTTTGATATTTGATGCCTTTCATTTTGAACAAAATGGCAAACGGGGTTCCAATCGGTGTCCTTGTTGGACGAGGCCATGGGAATTTGACAAGTTCTCAACCAGTTGATTGTGCGAGGGCATATTATGTACATAACTTTATATCAAGTTAAAGAGAAAGCGAAGAGAGATAACACCGAGAAATTGATTAGACCTAACGAGAAAGGATAAGCGTACTCGCCAGTATTCACTTGGACGGTTTAGGAATGCGGATGCGGATTGTCGGAAGGCGCAGCCACTGCGGGGGAATATCGGAAGGACCCGTGTCACGTGGTTTGTAGATTATACTTGACACATGAAACATAATCAATACCAGGTGACTCAGACGGAAAATTGACTAGAATGGAAACCTGCCTAGGAGAGTTTCTAGCCCCATACGAGCAACCTCGGCACAGTCATCATAAACGCAGTCTGCCAAAATCCCTCGGGCATCGTCCAGGCCAGTCTGAACAGCAAGGCAATCAAACGGGAATCTATAGCCCAGAAAGTAGCATCGGGGCTTGTCGCGGAAGTAGGTCCGCTGTGGAGTCTCCAATACCATCTCCGGGCCCAGTTCCTCCATATCACCTAGTAGGGAATCGAGAAGATCGAGTTGGTCGCAGATTTCCCAACAATTCTCCATGCTGAAGCCATCCTCTTGAAGCGTGTGCATGACACTCTTCAAAGCGGCTATGAAGTCTTTGTGGGTCTTGTTGAAGCAGCGTTCAAGATTCTGGCCAGCTTCGAATGAATTCATATCTGAGTGGTGTTTCCCCCAAGTATGAGTGGCGCAGGCAATTTTGTAGCGACAAGTCAATAATATAGAGCTCGGTGGATCAGTAGGAATTTGATCTAACGACAGCTCCCAAGTGTGGGCGGAATTGAGGTTGTTTAAAACCTTCCAGCTTGAAGACTCATTGGAAAGACAGTGAAGATAAAGAAATTGATAGTAGTCAGATGCTCATTGTTAGGTTTCTTTTTTGTGATGATGTGCTTCAAACTCTGAGATCGGTCTGTAAAGGAAGAAATCCATTGTTCTTGATAGTTGCAGATGTCCGCAACAAAGGGGGAATGCCCTGGTATAGAAAGAGATGGACACAATCTCAATTTCAAGAACATGTAACTAGATTAGAAGTAAATCAAAGGATATAAAACGCCGAAAACGCAGAAAAAGCAGAAAAAGGCAATCATTAATCGCAACATATCGTTGTCTCCTCCAATTTCCGCGTGTCATCCTGCACGTCATCTATTCCCACCGTGACAACCATCCAATCACATAAGAACTTGCCAAGCCCCGCACCGATAAAGATGCAAATAATCACATAGACATTGAAGTACATGGCCAATAACATGGTGATATAAGCCCCTGCAAAGGTCACGGCATGAATCACAGACCTCGTCAACTGTTGCAACGGCGTCGCGCGAAATTTCACGGCCGTTCTGGCACCAAGTTTCTTGGCAAACGTGCCGTGCGCGGCTTGGCGCTCAAATTGGCGGGTCAGGAAGTTGTCATATTCCCGACCAATGCGCCGAAAGAATTCGACCAACACAACCAGCAAAATTGTGCCAATACAGGTTGCAGCAAACATGCCATTATTTTTGATCTGCCATCCAGTGGAGAGGAAACAGGCATCAATGGTGTGAAAATTGAACAGCATCTGGCCTTTGGTTAGCGAATCCACTTGGAGCTCCAAATGTCTTGGCACCCACCGAGATCTTACAGCTGCTCTCGCTGCTGCTGTGGTTCATGCCCTCCATCCTGACTGGTCTTCTGGGGTGCGAGGATGAGAATTTGAAGAAATGGCGCGTCCGATCTCAGCGCTCGAGGCCGATGGTCTTATAACCTGGTGGCCTCTCTCCACCTGCGCTAAGGCGAAGTGGAGACACCCAGCGATGGCGTGGGAGAAATGTGCTCAAATCGCCTCAGATGCGAAATGGCCGCATTAAACTGGCAAATTGGGACTCATATGATGGCATTACATTAAAAACCCCGTGGGCCTTCTCCCACTGGATCTTACAACCTCTTTTGCACTTCGCCATGACCAGATAACCCGACCGCGCGACAAAATTTTGTATATTATCAACTTGAGCTGCATCGTCGCTTCACGCTCATCAGAAGTGAGCTGAGGCTCATACTAGGTCTTCAATCTCAGGCCACTGCATAGCGCAATTCACGACAGAATGTCGTCCCCAAAATTGGATGTTCGCCACATCCAAGATATGAGCGCGGCGACAGCATTAGAGCCTCATTGGGGATACTACGACCGCGCTCTCCCTTGTACCAGCGATCCAGGGTCGTGCGAGTATCTCGACGTTGTATATGAATCGCATGACTTGGGAATGCTATATTCAGGCATTATGTGGTGTGTCATTGGCACAATTTTGCTCCTCTGGGTCATTTTGAACCAGTCCAATGCGCCAATGTCACCAACATTAGCAGCACCAAAACTAGCCGGGCTATACAAGGTCCGCCGCTCTGTTGCCTCATTGGCCCGGAAATATTTGCTACCCGATGCAGCTCAACTGATCTTCGGCCGCACAACACGCCTCCAAGTGCTCACCCTCGCTCTGTTGGCCGGCTACCTCCTCATCTTCAGCTTTGTTGGCATTCTCTACAACACATGGGTCACGCCTGTCTCAAAAATGCCCGGCGTATACAATACCCGTAACAGCATCGGCCCATGGTCAGACCGTATCGGCACCCTGGCCTACGCGCTCACTCCACTATCCGTGCTGCTGAGCAGTCGAGAATCCTTCCTCTCCCTCATCACCGGCCTGCCATACCAGAGCTTCAACTTTCTCCATCGCTGGCTGGGTTACATCATATTCGTGCAAAGTTCCCTGCACACAATTAGCTGGTGCGTCGTCGAGCTACGAATGTACCAGCCACAACCCACCGTCGGAATCGAGTGGGTCACTCAGACATACATCGTCTGGGGCATCGTCGCCATGATCCTCCTGCTGCTCCTCGTCGTGCTGAGCACACCGTGGGGAATCAGACTCACCGGCTACGAAACCTTCCGCAAACTCCACTACATCCTCGCGATGGTCTACATCGGCGCCTGCTGGGCCCACTGGAAGCAACTCAAGTGCTTCATGTGGCCCTCGTTGATCTTCTGGTTCCTCGATCGCGGAGCTCGTCTCGTTCGCACAGCCCTGCTGCACTACCACCCCGACTACTCCGGTACTCTCGGTCTCGGCTTCAAGCCCGCCGATGCAACCATCACCCGCTTCCCGGACACCGAACACGGAGATGTCATTCGTCTCGACCTACACAACAACCAGGACCCCTGGTCCGTCGGCCAACACTACTACCTCTCCTTCACGAAATGCAGCATCTGGCAATCCCACCCCTTCACACCACTCAACCTCCCCACCGTATCAAAAGGGAGAGTCCAACATTCCTACATCCTCCGCGCGAAGAGCGGCGAAACAAAAAAGGTCGCCGACCTCGCTGCCACAGGCACACCCACAACACCCGTCATCTTGACAGGCGCATATGGCGATTCAATAACTAGCCACTTGACACCAAACACCAATATAATCTGCATCGCCGGCGGGACTGGCATCACATACGTCCTTCCCGTCCTCCTACAACTTGCCCGTGACCAACCTTCACCAGACCGCAAAGTCGAGCTCATCTGGGCAGTCCGCCACACGGCGAATACAGAGTGGATCGCAGCCGAGCTGGATCTCCTACAGAAAGCGCGGAATACATTGAACCTCGAAATCCGCATCTTCGCCACCCGAGACGCGGGGAGCAAAACGCCCTCGATTGAGAACTCTGATGAGGAAAATTGCAATCTGGAGGTCCCAAAGAATGAGGAGAAGGTCGTGCAGGTCTCGCCTTCCAAGTCTGTTTCTGCGTGCTGTGGATGTGAGAAGCCTGCTGCTGTTGAGCGGCTTGGGGGTGCTACGGATGATATCAATAGACATCCTGATCTGCCGCGGTTGGTTAATGATTTCTTGGATGATACCGTACGTGGACCGACGAGTGTCTTTGCTAGCGGGCCTGGTGGGATGATTAGTGACCTCCGGGCTATTGTTGCTTCTTGTAATTCTGGTGGGAAGGTTTGGAAGGGACAGGAGAGGTTTGATGTCAGTCTTATTTGTGATGATCGGTTGGAGTGGTGAATGGAGGATTTGGATATATTGTGCAGCTGGCTGCATTTGCGAGTATATAAGCGTCATGGATTCAATGTACATATTTAGCTTGACGAATTCTATGGATATCTATCACCAGAGGAAATATGGAAGTGTGGAGCAATATAGCACATGGGCCATAGGTTCTGTTGGTATCCCTTCAGGTCTGTCCGAGTCTATCAGAGACATTATGGCTCGGCATTGTACGTGTATTTAGCTGCCCGGGCTGTTGGCATATACATGTCGTAAGACCTGGGACCATCGAATGAGTAAGAATCGAACATCTAGTTTTATCGGCTCGCGATAGAATCGTCTCAACATAATGTTGTGGTTAAAGACAACAAGCAATAAAAGAGACCTATCGGAAGGAACCAAAAAAGGATGAGAAAAAAGAAAAGGGGTGTATCTCCCATGCCCAGTACCTATGCCTAGGCCACGCCCAACCCGAAGGTTGGAATCGCATAAGTGGAATATTCAAGATCTTGGGCTGAGCAGACCAACTAGTAGGGGGCGGAGGAGGAGTTTCGAGGAACTGGTGTTTGTCTCAGATTTATAGGAACCTAGGGAAACATGTACTTCCGAAAATGGAAGGTGGGTTCAAATGACATCACATGTCGGTGCCTGAATATCAATTCCTGCCTGCAGATTCTAACACACTAAAGAAACACTTCTACTTTGCCTGACCGTTGATATTATCATCCAGCCCAAGTCCACCGCCAGGCAAAATCATCCCAGTCCGATCAATGAAGGACCGCGCTCGGATATAAGGGTCCAATTTCCAGTAGTTCACGCGGAACTCATCAATAACAGCATTTCGTCGCGACTTGATCTCCTCCACTTTCGACACCTCTTCCTTCCCATCAGACTGCGAACTGGCAGAGATCCACGCTGCTGTGGCAGTGATTATCCGGATGCCAATCATCATGCGGTCGTACATGAGCGACTCACGCGTAGCGGTGTCTTTCATAACCGCATTTTCATCTTTCGCGGGCTCGTCATATTTATAGCTCCAGTTTCCGTCGCCGGAGAACTCTTTGGGGATCTTGTTGCGTGGAATAAACTTATCTAGGTCGGCGACTGACCGTGTGAAATGCACTTTTGATGCGACGACGGGGTCCATCCAGCCGTGGATGAGTCTCCAGATACCTGGTGAAAGGTGACGCTGTGAGTATGCTCTGCAATCAAAAGAGGAGATTCCCTGTTGGAAGGACTTACCAGAGAAAACCCAGGGTGCGTTATGGATGAGCAGTTGTCCCAGAGACTCGGGGTAGTTTGCCTCGAAGCATTTGAGGATGAACTTGACTGGAGGGTAGTCCTGTTGCAAAGGTCAGTCCATAGTCAATCGCCTCGATCTAGCCATACTATGGTGTCTTACCATATTAGACAACCCGAACCCTGTCATATCGAAGACAATTGTCTGTGAATATGTCAGCGTATGTCAATATCTCAGCATTCAGGTCGGACATACGCCCGTTTCAACCGGAGGAGCCACGATAAGTCTGGCTGATTCAATCATATGGATAATATACCGCTCGAGGGTTTCCTCACTCTGAGCACTTGGCTTGTGAATCTTCACTCTAATATAGATAACAGGTCGACCCTCCCTGTCAAAGCCATGAATGAAGCTTTTGCCCGTCTTGAGCTGGTTCATAAAGTCGGTACCTTCCTTCTTCTCCTTTGAGGTAGTGCTGGGGCTACGGGATTGTTCCAGGGCATATTCCTCTCCCCGCGGCAGGATCTCTTCATCAACCTCCGCTTCCTTTCTCCACAGAAAATTCGACGCCATCATCGAGAATGCCTTTCCAACATCCCATTTCCTGGCGCGCAAGAACCGAAGCAACAAGCTATCCGGATGTTCCTGCTTTATCATCTTCAAGATCGCAAAGCACATTTCCTGAGGCGTCAGCCTAGAGAGAATCTGCTCCATGGACTTGATTTCTTCCTCATGCACGCCTAGCTCTCGGAGTCGCGAGAAAAGGGAAGCAAAGTGCGCCGGGGTGACCTTTCGATTGGCCATTTCCGAAATGATAGTGTCTTTGGCATGTTCATTCATGAGTGAGTCCACCTTGTCGAGTGATTTCTGCTCTTTATTGTCGGAATTGCTCTCTGTGATGGTTTTCCCGTTGGTCTCGCTACCTGATTCCGCCGGCACAGTCCCATTTGAGGTCTCTCCATTGACGGCGTCGCCCTTGAATGCGCTAATAATAGCCTCCACCGTCGGCTCATTGACCTTGTCCAGAGCAGCAAAAAGCTTGCTGGGGGGTCCCTCTGGAATGGGGACATCATACACAGCCGACAATACAGTCGCAACAGAGGTTAAAATGATGATCCAAAATTCGATCACCTTTCCTTCTTGGTCAGGAGTTAGGTTGCCGAGGTGCCCGGGCGCTGGGCCAGCAGTAGGAGACATGACTTTAAGCGTGGATACAATACAATGTAGAGTCGACTCGAGGAAATCAATTCACATTTTAGCCTCGAACCTGCCAGTGCTGTAGTCTTGTTTAATCCATTAAATGCTTACAGGACCACATGAACAGAATTCCAGCCTCGGTCAGCCCCGGATTCACGGGCGAATCAAGATCAATACCTCGGTGTCGAGACCGGTCAATCATTTATTGCCATATGGGTGTTGGGACCTCTAATTTCTAGGATCTTGAAACAGGCCGAACAAATATGAACGGACCTTGGAGGAGGGGGGGGATGACGATCCCCCGCATTGCAGAGAAGATCGTCACTCCGGTTCGTTCGATTTCTCAATTTTGAGCTTCGAATGCGCAGAGGCGTGAGATCTTAGCGCATGATGGCCATACTCCGCATCTTTAGCGCATCTGCACATGACGCTATCCAAACTAGGTATGCAGTTTGTCAAAGGTGTGGACACTGCTTAATCCTACCTATTCTTGCCAAAGGTACCCATTGTCTGACTATCCTCGGTTATTCCTAGTCAACTTTCGTCGAGAATATTCATATGCATGCTAGACTGTGTACTCCGAGTATTTATTTCAAGAGATAACTTGTAATTTGGCTGAAGGCTACGGAGACTAGCGTAGGGATTTCCCCTGGTCCCTCCCTCTCCTTGACACCAACCCTACTCCCTTCAACCAGAAATAAAGTTGAGGTAAATCTATCGCATACCCTTATTCTGAACATATGTTACCAGTATCATAGATAGTCCTCATTGACTCCATTAAGGTACAATATTTCTTCCAGCTTTGCCAAGAAAAAGACGTCCAGCGTAACGTGACCTATCCCGTCTCGTGACCTCTCCGTTTGCTCATGGAGTAGATATCGTAGTGCATGTAGATATTTTCTTTCATTTCCACACATCTACAGGTTCTTCCAAGTAGCCAATGTCTATGATATCAAAACGCCCACAAGCGCTCCCGAAAGAACAATTGGCACCAGAAAGGAGTAGCAGAGGCCAAAAAAGGATTTCTCGGACCGAAGTTCCCCTTCAACCTTCCCTCGTGGGTACAATATTCCCTTCTCTGTGATGAGCAACCTAGACTCTCTGGAGTGATAGGTTGGAGGATTGAAAAGATGAGCAATGGGTACCCAATTGTTGACGATCGCCAAAAATAACAAGTGCAATAATGGCGGCCAAGCAATTGTAGTGAGCAGTTTGAGAATAGTCGATCTATCTCGGGTGATAGCCGCCCAGACGGCAAAGAGGATAGCTCCGAGAGTGGCAATAAAAAGACAAACGTTCAGCCAAGCACCACTTTGAAGAATATCTCTGTATGCCTTTCGGAACGACGAAATGGACGTAGTGTTCTCGCTCGAATTTGCGGTGCTTCCGGTAACGAAGGATCCCTTGGGCTTACTTCCAAGTAAATGGAATCGTGCAATGGCGTACAAATGGGCTATTAACACATGTTAGGATCAACCTTCCATCAAACATGAAATTTCCAAATCAAACTCACCAGCAGCAAGCCAACTGTTTTCCGCGTGGGCAAAAGGCTCAAATAAAACACCCGCATGTGCACTCCGAGCCCAATCATATGCCCACGTCGATGCAACATGCGCGATGGCCAGAACAAGTTGAATCTTGACCTCCAACTCCGATCCAGCAAGAATAAACCCACCATCAGAGATGAGAAGGAAAGGTAGAGCAACAAAGCCGATCGAATAGCTCACAAGCCCTACCATAATAGACAGCCCTCCAAGAGCAATATCCCAACGGAGATGCTCTGGAATCGCCTCATTAGCAGAAGAGAACAACACAGATATCTGCTGAGAGTGTCCAATGTGCCACCGATTCCTCTGTTTGAGATGACCAGCAAGAGAAGTAGGAACAAGACCAAATTGTAAAACCTCTTGTATCTGCATCGTGCGCTTCCCCATCCCTCGTAAAATCAGCGACAGCTGCCAATCCTCCGAGAAGGAATAGGTTGGATATCCACCCGCTTCGAGAATCGCATCGCGACGGAAGACTGCACCGGATCCCGCGTCGAGTGCATGACCGAGAAGATCGAGTTCGGTATTCTCACATGTGTAGAAGTATGTCCGCGACTGAGAGAGAGGATCGCCGCGGGGTAGGTTGTAGAAATACTGTCGTGTGGTCAACAGTGCGGCCTCCGGGTCTGCAAGTAGATGAGGCAGCGTTGCGCGTAGAAAGTCTGGCATGAGGATAGAGTCTGCGTCAACGACTGTACAGAATTCTGGCGGGTCTTCGGTTTGCAGGGAGAACAGGGCATAATTGAGATTGCCTGCTTTGGCGAAAGATTGCCCTGATTGCTTGCCGCGAGTGTGGTAGGATAGGTGAGTCCATTTCGTGGCGAGTTTTGCAATTTCGTCACGTAGGTCTCGTGACGCTCCGTCATCCAGAAGTCGCACTCGAAACCGGGAAGCCGGGTAGTCCATCGCACATGCTGCTCGGACTGTGTCTAGGATGATTTCGACTGGCTCTCCGCAGCATGTTACTAGCACATCAACTCTGGGCAGGTTTCTGTTGCTGCGCAGTCTCTTGCACAGTGTCTGGTGTGATGGATTTGTTGTTGCGGCAAACGACAAGCGTTGATGGTTCAACGATATGTCTAGCAGGATCAGCAGTTGTTCAATGTTCTTTATTGGAAGATAACGTACGAGCAAATAGACCCTCAACACCAAGCATCGCCCACATCTTCCATGTTCGCTCCACGGTCATCAAGGCGAAGAACAGCCGGGCTGCAAAGTAGATGTACGTGGTCCATATTGCTGCTTGTGCTACATGGTGGAGACATTTCCGGTACTTCTGCGCAAACAGGGTACGATCATCAGGGGAAAGCTCCTCAATGTCATGAACATGGTCAGGAAACATTGAAACGAACTTGATGCCTTTGGGTTGTGTGGTTGTGATCCTGTTGCATACTATATAGATGGTTTTTTTTTTTTTGCGCGCTTCGACTGAGAATATTGCGAATAGCACAAAACCAGGTGTCTTCGATTCTACACAAATTTTTCCTAGGCTTTTCGAACAGAAATTTTGCCTCACAAAATTAAGGGGCATAGATGTATTCAACGCTATCTACAAGACTTATTTGCTTCTAGAACCCACTGTGTCTATTTATACTATCCGCACGAGGACTATTACTGCCGAGGACCAATTAGTGCGCGCCATGGTATGGATTTTGATAGCGCTAGCCCTAATTGGTCCTGAAGTGACAGTGGATTCTTTTCCTCGGTATCCGATTGGATCCCTGTTTGCTTAAATCCGAGATAGCTGGCATCGAGAACTTTGTCAGTGGCACTGGTGATTCAAGTGACAGGTGCCGTGTTTGCTAAACATAAACAGAATCCAATGCTAAATCAAAGCTGCTACGAGTGATATATAGATACCCAACTGATCACTATCTATAAGGGTTCGATACAAGCAAAACTATTCACACCAAGCACTGCGGGGCAGTGTGAATCAGCATCCGTCATTTTGATATTCCAATTTCACTTGACTCAGAGGACGAGAGCATCCTTCTGGCATATGCCTCTGTGACCATGAACAAATGTAAACCTTCTCCGCGTAATACCTCAGAGATCTAGCTTTCATGTGGACTTTCGAGTGACTATGGTTCCTTGTCAATGTGAAAAGCACCCTGGACAAAGACACAGCATTTAGAGCCATTGCGTTGGCTTGTTAGAGCTTTGAGCGATGATCGATTTTGCCTGTTCATATATATATTCTAGGTCAACGCATTGGCCTCATCTTTTGCAGCGGAAAGCTCTCAGATTTGTGAACTTTGATGACTATCATGCATCACAAGAAGAAGAGTCGAGTGTGCGCCAATTCAGTAATGATAGTTCAAGAGCTATGATAGTGTTCTTGCCAATTCCATGTCAACAATACACCAGTAAAGCGGCAAATCTACACTATAAGCAAATAACCATGGATGAGTTCGTCAATTCCACCGAGATTGATGTCGAGGTTGTCGTGCTTTTCAAATAGCAGTGTCCGTAATTGTTGCATCCCACATGGTAGCCAAGGCATCCACGAACTGCAGAAAGAGCGAATACCTACCTAGATGCTCCACTGCCAGAGATATTGCGCAACCTATACAGCTCATATGCCCCACAGCTGAGATGATCATTGATACCCCCGCATATCTTCACTGCCAGATATGTGGTACAACTCGTACATTTGCATTTTAGATGCACCTTAATGCCCATATAGGCACATAGCTAACCTTGGAAATACCTCTATCGCGAGGTATTGTAAATTGACCTTACCTTTCTGGCGCCGTAATATGTCAGGGTGACAACCATAATTTAGCTACGTTCCAATAGGGCGAAAACTGTGGAAAAGGTGTGTGTCGATCAAGTTCAGCAAAGCCACCCACCCGATCCGCCGCAGCCACACGATCCACCCGTGGCTAGCTGATCTCTACCTATGGTCTTTTCTATTATGAGTCTACAACGGTTCGAATCTCAAATGGCACTGCTATCGATACGTGCGGGATTTTGTACAGGAGCTACCAGGCTGTATACAACAATGGCGTCAGATCAAGAAATCATTCTTCGGGACTGTCGATAACGGCCCATGCCAGGAGATCATTTTCCAACGCCCATGGGAGAACAAAGTCTACAGATACGGGCCATTCGCTTCCCGCGAAGACTTTGATAAGGGGATAGTGGAGACTATGAAAAAGTTTCGGCCCAATCTCAAGCTCGAGACAGAGACGGATATTCTCTTTTGTAGAAAAACTTCTTATATTTGGAACCGATCAAAAAGAAGTCAAAATACTTACTCATGGCGACCTAGATCAGTCTAATATCATGGCGAATCACGGAGATCATCGACTGGGGCGCTGCGGGTTATAGTGGGCCGGAGACGAAGTACTACGCCTTGCGATGGCCAATATAGACTCATAGTTGTGCGAACTCTCTACGTCAATTCTACCACCAGATGGATACGAATATTGACGTAAGGTCAACCGTCATATGATGCTATACACATGTATATAATGGATTCATCCTGATCTATAGCATCCTTAACAGGCACTTGAGTAAAAATAAGCTTAAACATCAGAGTTTGAGCCAGAGTTCCATTGGGCCCCTGTCGGAGACATTATGTAATCATTTTTGGGCCGAGGATCCCGAATCGAGAGATCGGAACCGAGTTCAACCGGGTGGAGATCCCTCGGCGACTTTTGATATTTTTTTCTTCAGGGCCCTTTTCGCTTTCCGCTGATAAATAGACCCATGTGTCAAAAGTGGGATCGTTCCGGGATGGAATGTTGAATTCCATGGATATCTCGTGATTGATTCGCCTCCCGAATCATTTGGTAATGAATATCAAAACTTTCCGATGATAAATCAATCATCAACTTCCCCACAGTAGATCAATACATAAATCAAGGCAGTCCCCCTCCCGGGCAAGATGGAATTATTCACACATATAATAAAAGTCATACCTAATTACGATCAAAATGACCTGGCCTGACGTCTCCGCTAAGCCCGCCGAGGGCATCTCATACTTCACCCCTGCCCAAACCCCCCCGGCAGGCACAGCTCGCAATCCTCAAACGAGCGGAAAGCCCATTCCCAAGCTCTTCAAGCCTCTCACCGTCAGAGGAGTGACTTTCCAAAACCGTCTGGGTGTATGTGCAATCCCGTCCCAATATCTTGCATAATCACACAGCTAACCATACTCCAGCTTGCACCCATGTGCCAATATAGTGCCGAAGATGGCCACATGACCCCCTGGCACATGGCGCACTACGGTGCCATCGCCCAGCGCGGACCGGGAAACATGATTATCGAAGCAACTGGCGTTGTCCCCGAAGGTCGCATCACTCCCGGCTGCGTCGGTCTCTGGAAAGACTCCCAGATCGCGCCTCTCAAGCAAGTCGTCGAGTTTGCGCACAGCCAAGGCCAGAAAATCGGTATCCAGCTCGCACACGCCGGCCGCAAGGCGTCGACTGTGGCGCCTTGGCTTGGCGGCGTTGTCGCCAACAACTCTGTCGGCGGTTGGACTGATAACGTCAAGGCTCCTAGTGCCATTCCCTTCGCTGAGGGCGATCCTATCCCCATCGCCATGACCCAGGATGATATCGCCGAGGTCAAAACTGCTTGGGTTGCTGCTGTCAAGCGTGCTATTGCTGCTGGATGTGATTTCATCGAGATCCACAACGCTCATGGATACCTCCTCTCATCATTCCTGAGTCCCTCTGCTAACCAGCGTACCGATAACTACGGTGGCAGCTTTGAGAACCGGATTCGTCTGCCCTTGGAGATCGCTCAGTTGACCCGTGACGCGGTCGGTGACGATGTGCCCGTTTTCCTGCGTGTCTCGGCTACTGATTGGCTTGATGAGAGCGTCCCAGCTGAGCAGCGCTGGAAGCTTGAGGATACGGTTGAGTTTGCTCGTGCGCTTGCTGCGCAGGGCTGTGTCGATTTGATCGATATCAGTACTGGTGGTGTGCACTCTGCTCAGAAGATTACCTCTGGTCCTGCTTTCCAGGTTCCTCACGCCGCGGCTGTTAAGAAGGCTGTCGGGGATAAGATGCTTGTTGCTGCTGTTGGTATGATCAACAACGGAAACTTGGGAGAGAAGATCCTGAATGAGGATAATCTTGATGTCATTCTTGTTGGTCGTGCCTTCCAGCGTGATACCGGTCTTGCTTGGAAGTTTGCTCAGGACTTGGATGTTGAGATTGCCATGGCTGGACAGATTCGTTGGGGTTTCACCAGCTTCCGCAATGCGTCCGAGTATATTCAGCCCAACTCTATGAAGGCTTGCATTTTTGATTAGATTTAGATTTTAGATACACCAGGTGTTTGGCTTCCATTGCATTATATAGACTGTCTTTTTTAGAATGAAAATAGACATACCGTTTCTGCTTGAGACCTGTGATGACTACAAGTATGAAAATGATCACGAATGTGATGGGTTTGGGCTTCGCGCCCCTTGGGATTTTGGGATCTCCCATATCATATTTTTTTCGTTGCAATTTGTTCCTTGTTCCCATGCCTTCCTCGACTACAAGGAACATAGGTAATCCAACAGATCCTGCGCGGGTTCCCAAATTCAGAGGCCACTTCTGGGTGGCCGAGGCATCTAAAAAAAAAGGTGGGGAGTCACTTGTTCTTCACGAAACATGGGAGCTCAAGATGGGGCTGATGATTTTTAGTGATTTTTAGGGAACGCTATGGAATTCAGGGATCAATTATTCAAACAAATTTTTGCGTAAACTTTTGAATGTTGATTTACTGTGTCAAGTCGAACTTACCATAGAAGGCTACGTTGAATAGAGTCATTGAAATGGAGACGATCTTGATTGAATTGTAAGTAATCTAACGAGAGCTGCGGTTAGGGTTCTTTTTTCAAATTGTGAACATGGTAGCAGTGTTCTGTCTGAGACCTGATGAAATTCGGAACTCCAGCTCTATGACCCCTTCAGCGTACATCGAAAACCAGTTATATGGTTCTCAACGGACGCTGAAGAGGCCATAAAAGTGCAGATCCTAACAATCGCCAGGTTCATCATGCGAGGTGAGGTGAACACGATTCACCGTCCAGAGAGCAGCCATGGCCTCAACAAAAGAATTCCCCTGGAATGACCAGGGGATATTATAAACCCCGGAACATCACTACCTCACTCAACACCCGCCGAGAGTTGCGACCCCTCAAAGGGATGTCCAGTTCAGCAGATCAGCCACATACCCGCCCGGCTTTCAGAAACGGTTGCGACCCGTGATGCATCGGCCTCGGGCTAGAAGGATTTCAAATGCGAGGGTTACCCGGCGCGCATCTCTGATGAGACCTTTCGACAATCGTTGAAATTAATCATTTCCAATAGAGACACAGACAGGACGAGCCCACCTTGCTTTGCTGGTCATTCATAATGATGACAATTCTTTACCCTCATCACAGAGACAGGGCTTTGCAGCCGCCATCCCAGTGAAGCACATTTATGCCGCTGATAACAAAACTAGCGACATCACAAAACGACATCCATCTTCAGATACTCCGCGACAATCGGTCGGAGGGCAGGACAACCGAGAGGTCAAGTACCTTTGAATGAGCATTCCCTGCGCAGGTCCAAAGAGCCGAAGGGGAACCCCAGGGACCCGCTGCCTGGTGGATGAGGCCAGGCAGATACAGCTGAGAGAACTCTGGAGGAAAGAAAGAGGGTGAAGGGGATTGGGAGGGGATTTAGATTCGCTAACGTTATTACTGGACGTGTTAGTGGATTATCTAATCGCCCCACTCCGGGCCAGCCCCTGAACGCGTCCTCAACTTTAGGGCTTTTGTCACTATCTTTGGCGAGGAAAGACTAGATCCAATGAGGCGCCTAAACTACATCTTCATATGATGTACAGAATAAGGTGAGATAGGCTACCCGGTTCCGGGGGTGAAGGGTTGTGAACGAAGTACTAGATGTAAGGGTGGAGCTTGACGTAACTTTCCGTTCGACATATAAGGCCTTCTACCTCTCACACTTAATGATAGTCGACGAGACAAGCGATAAATAGCAGACTTATGTCAGACAAGCGCAACTCAAGTGACCGCTGGTGCCAGGATTATCCTCCCCATCTTACTCGATAATATCTCTTCCTGCCCTAAAGCAGTGAGCACATTCTCCCTTTCTAGTAGAAGATCCATGAGAAGTGCATCGGCAGCTTGATCCCAGTCTAGCTCATGCTTGGGTCGCCTGCCACTCTCTTTCGCTGTTTATAATGAAACCGAAAGAGATAATCAGCTTATTATTCCATTGCAAGTTCGCACAGAAAGGGAGCAGGCCGAAATTTGTACACTAGACTTGTTACATTCTCGATATAGACATAATATTGGCGTGGATACAAAGATACCGCCCCATAAAAAGAATCTGGTGAGCGAACTTGGATATAAGCCCTTCCATGCAATTACTCAGTCTAACAAGCTCCAAAATCCTTCCACGGTCGTTAAATCACAGTAGTATATCAACGGGTAGTCATCAACACTTTACGCCTTACCATCGTAGTAGAGCATGCGCGCTCATCCCCGTATTTCTCATTATTCCTACCACCGTTGTAAGGCCTGTTCTTAACGAGCGGGTTCTTCTTTCGCTTTTCGTCGTGCTCCAGGCAGTGAGCAAGTGCAGTTGCACATCCTTGCTGCTATCGTTGTCAAACGGGTGCAGGTAACTATTTGTGCCTCGCATCTCAGGTGGGCTCAGCAGGCTCAAGTTCACGGCCTGCTGCGTCGCAAGGAAAACATCGTGGCCGTCATAAGTTTTCTTACCGTACTTGATGGATGCAGAGGCGTTGGGTCCATCCCACTACAAGAGGTATCAGTCGGCATGGGAAGGTTTCAAGGTAACTTAGGGATAACGTACATCAATAGGTGCGTTGGAGGGCTCCGCGAAGTCTCTTGCCTGGGATGGGCACGATTTTAGCTCGTGTCTTTTCGGCCAAAACAGAGTTGTACGGCTCATCAAATATCAATGCAATCGAGAAAAGACGATAGTAAGTGCGGTTTCCGGGAATAAATAACGACTGAACAAGTTGTTGTAGTGTCAGGGCATTGCACTCTTTCCGATGAGGCTTACTGACTTGTCCGCGTTCCTGGGGAGAATGGGGAGTGAAGGTTGGGGCCGGGCCGATGTCGGTTGCCTACATATTTAGAAACAGCCGCTTGCCTGGCCAAAAGTGAAATATCTGCCCCAAATAGGATGATCGACAAATCAGTCATCATTGGCTGCCTAATGATGTCACTCAATGCACTTATTGTCGCAACTGGAGAAATATATTCTCGATCGTGGAGTAGTTGTGTCTAGGAGTTCTGCTAGTTGTCACTCTTCGATGCTTCCGATATTGCATCCATTCCTTTCTTTCCTCGAACATAACCATCACATCACCCCAGCAGGGCAGCATAGTTACTTTCATCTCCTAAACACTCAAAGACCCAAATATCATTCAAGAGCCCTCACGCTCCACCATCATAAACACCAGCATTCAAGAAATGACATGCAAATCGGTCGATCTCGACGGCTTCGGCTCCGCCGCCGATGACGCGTGGGTTGACCAACACACTGCACCCATGGACGGCGAAGAAGAGACTGGGGTGCATCCCTATCAAGCTGCGGCTCTCAAAGCGTACCTAAAAGGCGACTCCAATCCACCCCATACAGCTGCAGTCATGACCAAACCTTATGACTCCGAGAAGAAGACCGACCTACGAGACCGCGTATTTGGCATAATTGAAGACGCGTTTTTTGAGCTGCCCAAAATCCACACGCCCGCCCTCGTCGGCCTGCTAAAGGAACTTAACCAGCTACCAGATGAAGAGAACGGCGAGCCAGTCTGGAAAGGTCTCATGAGCTTCGGCCACTCATGGTCAGATGGATGGAAGCAGGTCCACTGGCGCAAAGTGTTGGCGATGCAGGATCCAGCCACGAGAGCGGAGAGGCGCGCGACCCACGTACACCAGGCTTTTGTGGAGGCTTCTTGTGCAATGGCTGCTCCGGGACCTAATGCTGAAGATGGCCTCTTGCCACTGAGCTGGGGCTATGAGTGCATCTCCGAGGCGCTCGAATGTCAGGATGCAGTGTGGGACTTTGAGGTACCTGCTGCGGCGGTTTGGATAAAGGTAGCCGGGGAAAGGCTCAGAGAGGGCGCGAAGAAAGGTGAAAAGTGCTGGGCGTTGAAGAGGGAGGGGAGGCTTTGGCCGGCGGGACCGATGAGCATGGACCGGTGGAATTTCTGGTTGAAAAGGCTCGAGGCGATTGAGGAGATTGGCAAGGTCATCTCGACAACGACGAGTGAAGGCGCGCGAGATGCTCGAGCCCAAGGTAAGGAGTAGCTGGTGATGAAGTTGGATTACAGCTAACAAGCTAAAAAATACAATGCGAGGTTTCTCATTGCCATGCCTCCCGAGTAGCGCTGTAGAACGTACCTTCACTGGCCGTTATATGCGACCCTACAATCTCAGCCACGAATAAAACGATAGCTGGCTTCAAATTCATGAAGTTCATAATTGATAGGCCATGATAGGGGCCACCAATGGCAAATGTAGGAGCCCCTTTCTGTCCTGTCTGGCAGCCTAGAAGGGGCATGCGCAATTGACCTTCTTATGTCCCCAAGCCCACCGTGACATCAAGTGTCAAATATCAGATATTGCGCCTCTAGGCCCCTTACAAGAATCTTGGTTTTTGCTATGATCTAGGGGTAAAACACAGTGTGTTTATTCCCACATGAAGACTTGGTGCGCATAGGCTATTTTTTGGGGGTTGCCGGGGGGTCGCGGGTTGCGGCGCAGTCGGCACGGAGCTTTGCCGGAAAGGACATGATAAAGACTTATACCGCGGTCTTATCAAGATACAAAAGTCGTAGACTAACAGAAAATAGACGGGCCAACGGCCCGTGCATGGAATCAGCCTCCTTTCCCTCTCGGCTTAATTCGCGACCTTCAAGGCAACATGGTGCAAATCCGTGGCTGACCTCGACGAAATCGTTGAACTCTCCATGCTCGCCTTTGATCCCAGCACCGACGCCATCACCCGCAACCTCTTCCCGCCCCATCTCCAAATACCCGAGCGATCTGGCAGCGAGGCAATCCGACAATGGAGCATTGCGCGGAAATCGGCCAGATTGCACGCGAAGGGTTTCGTGATGATGGTCGCCGTTGGCAACGTCCTAGACGGTAAGGCCGTGGGTTATTCGATGTGGTTCGCCCCCGTTGAAGGGGACGAGGAAGAGTTACCGCGACCCAAAAGGACTTTTGCGGGCATGGACCAGGCTGCATTTGCCGAACTGCGTGAGATTATAATGGAGGACGAGCAGAGAATATTTGGTGAGAAGGGGGCTGCTGATGGATGGAGTGAGTTTATGCTTTGTCAAAGAAATGGGGTGTAAACGAGCAGGTATTCTGACAATAGCGCCAGATCTCGACCCTCTCGGTGTTCATCCGCAGTATCAGAAAAGAGGGATTGGCAGAATGCTTCTAGATTGGGGCGTACAACAGGCAGTATCACAAGAAAGAGATTGCTACTTAATTACAACACCAGCCGGAGTTGCACTCTATCGAGCGGCTGGGTTCGATGCTATGAAGACGGTGGAGATCTTCGGCGCTCCGCATGTGTCAATGAGGAAGCGGGCATTCGGAAGTAGACTACCACCACAGTGAGAGTTGGGGGTGTTCATTCTGGAGAGACCTCGAGTAAAAGATGGAGAGTGTATATAAACTCGGAAAATCGGAACCACCATACAATATTCGTAACAGCCCTTCTTTATACAAAGTATTTTACCAACGTACCATACTACATATGTAGTGCCTACTGGTAGTAGGTAGCGTGAGAAATTCTTAACCTGTACTTATTGTGAGAGTGGAGTGAGAATCACCTTTTGAGTCTCCGAAGTCCTTTGAATTCGAAACAAATATTTATTTCATTCCAGGCAAACCCCAAAATCCTGAGGGGAATATTCTTATAAGTTACGTCTCCAGCTGTTCAAGAGCTTCTTTCATACCAACATAAGGCTTTACCGACAGAATGGCATCACCTGCACTCTTTGTCGCAATCTTAGCCTGGGAAGCCCGCGAGCCCATCTGAACCTCCGATGCCCGTGGCCGCCGGATGCTATCCCAGATTTGCAAGATGCCGGGAACGCTGTTACGGTCGGAGGTGTTTTCAAATAGAACGTTGAGGCCCTCCGCGTCCTCGAAAGCCTGATTGACACCTTGGGCTTGGTAAGGCACCATGGCATGAGCCGCATCACCGATCAAAACGGTTCGGCCCTTAACATACGTGGGCAGAGGCTCCTGGTCCCGGACTTGGAATAGCGCAACTTGCGGGGTGCGACTAGTTGGCTTTTCATCAGCAAATCCTAGCCCGATGAAGTATGCTCACCACTCACCTGAAGAGTCGTTTCAACCACTCGGGGAAGCCATGGATCTCCTCCAATAGCTCTGGCACACTCCCCTTGGCGTTCCAGGAGTATTGAAGCTTATCTGGGCTTTTGAGACTCGAGTCCGGGACCGCGCAGACGCAGTTCATGAGCTTATGTCCCTGGCAGGGATACATAATTACATTGCGGTTACCTTTATCTCCGGCAGCTATAAGTGCTATGAAGGTTCCGTCGTCGTAGTTGTACATCGCTGGAATGGTTCCGTGCGTCGCGACGGTGTCCATGACGATATCCATTGGAATGACAAATCGATACATTGAAAGACCGCATGGGGTAGGCTCTGGATGCGAAGCCGGGATGACGGCTCCGCGGACCTTGGAACGAATTCCATCCGCACCTGGAAAGATGTCAGTTCGACTAAACCACCTTTGAGTTTCAGCTTCCTTGCTTACCAATGATAAGATCAACTTCAACGGAGGTTCCATCTTCAAACTCAACAACACCAGCCTCCGGATCAACGTTCACAATATGACAGCCGTATAATACTTTGATAGCCTCCCCATCCCCATCTCCGGTGACTCTCCGCAGCAATGCGTCCCTGAGATCCTGTCGATATACAAGCCACATACCAGCATCTTCATCCTGCCCATCACCAATTCGAGACTTGCTTATCTCCTTCTCGTGGATATTGTAAGTCCGGTACCCGGCGCCCACCACCCCGCGGATCTCCTTCCGGTCAATTCCAAGCTGCTTGGCAATGGAGATGCCGTTAGCTCCAAGGCCGAGTCCCGCCGAAGTCTCCTGGAAGCCTGCATCACGACGCTCATAGACGACGATATTGCAATGGCCGTTTTTCCGGAGGAACGCAGCAGCAGCGAGGCCGGCGATTCCGCCACCTATGATGGCGACCCGAAGCTTGTCTAACGAGGCGCTGTTGGTCATATTGGCGGAGGTCAGGATTGCTTTGTCTTATAGAAATCAGCGAATCTTCAGGCACTTCTCTGTTTTTGCTTTTTTGTACCCCGCACCTTTGTCCATTGACATTGTGGGGCTTCCCCTTCCGGCCTGTATAATAAGGAAGCTTGGAATGAAAAAAAAGATCTTTTTGAAACGGGATTCTAGCAAGACTGGGCTGCGGGAATAGTAAGGAGAGACAAAAGGAAACTGGCAGGAAAGAGGAAAAGATGGTGTGATCAGAGCACTTTCCAACAACTCGGTACATTTCACTCTCGGAAAAAGCTGTACGGTACCCACTAAAGCGATCTTGTCCTTCTCAAACAAACAGTTATATACAAAGCCTTCTAATTCTACACCTCAGGAAGCAGGTTATGCAAGATCATGGACAGAAGAAAGTATAACAGTAGTGTAGAATTCCCTCTAAGGACGTAGATGAAGTGAGCGCGCCAAAGGGCATAGGTCAATATGTAGAATTGCGCCAATGTTACCCAGCAGGTCTAGAACGGTGAGAGATGTGCCCTCAAGTTACAAGTGACTATACAAGCCCAGAAGAGGCGTTGTAGGTATCCTCACTTGTCCTCTTTCGGAATCACAGGGAAAACAGCGAACACAATACTTATCGGGGATTTACGACTATCCCGAGTTTCACAGAACGTCCGCCGTTACCGGTAGAGGTCAATTCTGAACCATATTGGCATTATTCAACCACCGAAAACGAAAGGAACATCTGCTCTAATAAGAAATCATCTTGCTCACAGAAATCACACCTGAGGATTTGAGCACCTCAGGGCAAAATTTCCTTTCCCTTCCAATCCCAGCACCTCCCTCTCCCTCCTTCGACGTCAGATGGCAACCCCAGAAGGACCTCTAATAGCTTCTCAGCCGCCTGGGCCGGCTCCAGCATTTCCCTACTTCCCCAATAGTCCTTAGTAAAATCCGTGTGCACAGTCCCAGGGTGCAACGCCACAGCGATTGCCCTCTGCGCGCTCTTCGCGCGCAAATGCAAATCAAAAGTCTTGGCCAATTGGAAGACAGCTGCCTTGCTTGCACGGTAGGAATACCATCCGCCCGAGGCATTGTCGGATATTGAGCCGACTCGAGCGGCCATCATTGCATAGATGGCATGCGAGGGCAAAAACAGTGGTCCTGGGGAGTTGATTGCAGAGCTGGCCTCTATTGTCGGAAATTCTGGTGACATTTTCAATGGGACGAAGGGGGAGAGGTGCTTCATGAGTAGCAAGGGGCCGAGAGAGTTGACTTTGAAGCTATCCAGCGCATTGGCAGAGTCGATTCTACTAGGTGATTTTTCTGCATGCAAAATGCCGGGGATTGTAAGCCCCAGCCTGAGTGGTGTGTTTGGATATTCCTGGCGGATTGTGTCTGCCATTGCTGATATTGTAGACTCATCTAGATCGCTAGTTAGCCTTGTAGTACCAAGAACAATATATCTCCGGGCTTGTGGTTGCTTTGTTACCTGTTACATCGACTTGGAGAACTCGAAGTCTCTCTGTTGCGTCCTTAGGCATGCCCTTACTTGACAGCAATCGTTCTCGGACTTCGTCGCAGTTCTTACGTCCTGTTGCGATTACAGGGAGCTCGGTCCGTGTCAGGAGCTGTTGTGCGAAGGCGAGCCCCAACCCTCGTGAGGCAGGGGTCACTAAGGCAAATCCATGAGCTGCTGGTAACATGACGCGTTTGATGAGCCAGTGTATGTTGTTATTTCAAGATGCCGGAAGTGATTACAATATTGACGTTCTACCTGCATATGACATCACAATCCATCGATTTAAGTTTCGATCTGACCTCATAAGCTACTACATTGGGAGCTTGGTTAAATGCAGTTTAGGACAACAGCACAGCCTGTCTGCCTTCGTTGGGTATGATTTTATTTTTTTGGAAATAACTGCGTATCTCCTAATGTCCCCAAACACGACCAGTATACCTCAGGTCTTTCCCTCCAGATCATTGAAGAAGACCCTGCCAAACTCGTCACTGCTGTCATTGAAACGAAGCTTCTTGTTGAGTTTCTCAATATTCTTCATGTCCTCCGGGCTCAGCTTGAAGTCTCCTTGCAAGTTGGCCCTAATCCTCATGGGTGTTTTGGACTTAGGCAGCACTGAGTGGCCCTGCGAGACTCCCCAAGCTGTGAAAGCACACTGCGGTCAGCATCATACAAACTATTCAGGTAAATCACACTTACCAAGAGCAACCTGAGCACCGGATTTGTTGTATTTCTTGCCTATTTCGGCCAACACGGGCTCTTCGATCAGCTTCGCGGGCCCGTCCTTCCCTTTCTCGCCATAGAGATTGTTCTGGTTCCCAAACGGCGAGTAGTGCGTGACATGGATACTATTCTCTCGATGCCATGCTGTGAAATCATGCTGCTGTAGCCATGGATGACATTCCATCTGGTGCACAGCGGGGACGATGGAACTGTTCTTGATCAGGCGCTCCATCTCAGACTTGTCGCAGTTTGAGACGCCGATCGCCCTCGTCTTGCCGGTTTTCAGAAGCAGCTCCATTGCTGCGTATGTCTGCTTTGCTGTCAACGCTCTTGAACTCATGGATCAAGAGATGAGAGTGCAACATACGTCGACGATGTCGATATTCTCCATAGCTGGCTTTCCATCCTTCTTCGGAAAGAGATCCTCGCCTCTCTTCCAAGCCACGGGCCAGTGCATCAAATACAAATCAACGTAGTCCATTCCCAAATCGTCCAGGGATTGCTGCAAAGCCGGTGCCACATCGTCTGGGTGGTGCTTGTTGTTCCATAGCTTGGTTGTGATGAAGATATCTTCGCGCGGGACGCCGCTTTTCTTGACACCTTTGCCGACAGCTTTCTCGGTTCCGTAACTATTTAACAGTCAGTATTATAAATTTAATTTGTCGGCTGTCTCGGTCAGGAAACAAGGCTTCTTACACACGCGCGGTGTCGATGTGACGGTATCCAGCCTTGAGTGCCTCCACTACCGCATCTTCTTGCTCACCCTCATCCTGCCAGGTGCCGAATCCAATGGCTGGGATCTCTGCTCCCGTGTTCAACTTCCATTTTGTAGTCATCTTGTATTGATTGATGTCAACAATTGTTCAACAGTTCATGTGCTGCTAAAGTCTCCAGCTGAAATTCAGAGCAAATCGAAAGATTGATATTATCCATATTATCTAAGACACGTCAAGATGACGAATTCGGATTTATGGTTCGGGTTGATGACATGGGCAATGACGTCTCCCGTATCTCATAGTATGGCCGAGTGCAGAACATGAAACCCAGGAGTATGAAACTCATTCAATCGACGAGCTTGAGGTTTTCACCGCAGCTAACTTTTCTCCGTGTAGAATACCAATGAGCCGCCTGGGACTTGGATGTACTAACATTATGCCGGCAATGGGCGGTCGGTTTTCATGTGGTGTTCGCCTTTTACCAGCTTTTAGGACGAACACACCTCACTAAACACAAACAGGCTTCACCTTGCTAGATCAGAAATCATGTGCTGACAATTATCTCGTGTTCGTAATAACGCTGCTGGCTCTGACCGTCGAACTTGTTTTTGATACATTCCCACCAGAAACACCTCACTACGCTATGCTAGCAATCATGTTAGGATACCGCTCGCTGAGAAGCCTTTTTCGAGCGCCTACTACTGGCATGCTGAGCGTTTCTACCTGCAATCGGCCCTGTCCTTCTATGTTGACGTTAAGTTGGGCAAAGAGTATCTCGATACCTTACTCATAAACAAGAAAGAACCTTTAGGGTTGCTCAGCACTCAAGGCCCATGCTCTTCGGCATCCTGCCAGCAGTCGTGATACCAGTCTATCGATGCGAAAGGCCTAGCACACATTGTACTTGCATGATCAAATATGGAAGGCACTATGTGGGAGCATTACAAGCAACCCAAGTGATCTCTATCATTGCAGAGTATCTATTGCTACATGGGTCTCCAACCATACCTTCTTTGACTGGCCATCCCACACGCACATATGATTTCCTTCACGATACCCACTTCACCTCTCGGCCCAGCTATTTCGCCGATGTTTGATGCCAAGACAAACAACACCAAAGGTCGTACACGTCTACCGTAGTTTACCGCTTTAGTTTATATAGCGAGCTCCACCCGCAGATTTTTTTCTTTCCTTCTGCATCGCTCGGTATTCTCCAGCTCTCACTTTTTCTTTTGTTCTATTCTCAGCTTGGACTGTGTCTAATGATGGCACACACTCCAGCTGTGCTCAAAGCCTGAGGTTAATCCCAGCGCTGCGAATGCTCGGTTTCAATTTTTCAAAAGGTAAGGAAAATCTTTTTTTTTCTCCGTCAATCCCAACCCCCGGGGATGATTATATTATAGACATGCAAAGGCATTCCTCAATCAGAAGATCCATGTTGAATCTGTCATACTTTTAAGTTTCAGCCTTGTCTGACCCATCACAACAACATCATTACTTTTTAAGCCATTCATTGAGTGATCCTTGACTAACAATCTCTCGCTCAGGTACATTACACTTGCATTCAATTCCATCCCTCCATTGCGGCTGTTGCCTTGCATGAAGAAATTTGAACGAACGGGCGGACATAACGTACCCATCTCCCGCATCCAATAAAACCAGAGCGTACAAACTCTGTGGGTGTATGGAGGTGGATTACTTGTTGAGAATTCGTCACCTGACCCATTGCCCTGGACACAATTATTTCATGTCGCATCGACAAGTTGAGACCAGTATTTCTAACAGAAATTTTAGGTAATTCCATCACTCATCTCTCTTGCCCTTCCTCGACATGGTCATACTTTGCATGATGAATGTGTTATTCACACTGTTGGACTTGGACTTCGGTCCGGGAATGAACATTTATACAAAAATCTGATTTAATGAGGTATGTGGCTCCTATGGATCGGATAAATCGTATTTCTTGCTGACTGACCTGAAGCCTGACTTAGATGCCATGTCTTCATTTCGCTTTTAACTCTTGCTTTTTTGCTTGAATACCATTGCTGACTTGACATAAGTGAACAAATAGGAATACCCCCAGGTAGACCATTTGGCTCGTTGACCGTGAGTTTACTCTGCTCCCATACCCTTTCCTATTGCATGATGAATACCAATATACTGTTCTATCTCTGAACTATCATGTCGATAAAATATCTTCACCTTGGAGAACTGATCTTTTCCTTGACCACCATTATTTTACTCATTTCACGGTGTGATCAATTGCTAATATGCATTACAGGAGCCACTTGGCATTTATATTAGCTTAATACTAAACAATATTTTTTTCTTGACCACTTGCACATTCGTATCTTCGGGCTTGTCCCTTACTTTCGTACCCATTCAGTAGATCATTTTCTTGGCCACACCCTTCCCCCATGCTCCATGGTATTTCCCTACTCGACAAACAAACCATGCTTCTTATGCCATTCTTCGAGGCTATCTCTACCATAGACCTCGTGCACACTCTTCTTTCCCTCCGGCCACCGGGCCCAAGCCGGCTTCGATCCATTCATGATGCATACCATCTCGTCGGGCACCGGCAACTCCGTATCGATTGCAGAGGCAAATGGATGAATCAGTTCAGGCCAGTGGTGATCCCAAACCCACAACATAGTACTGCAGTTCGAGCAGAAGTTCCGCTCGGAGGAGCATAGCTGTTCATCCGGTGTGCCGCGGTCTTTGATGGCAGTGTATTTCCTAGTCATGACGTTAGTATATGTGGGTGCAATATTATTATTTGCATGTTCTATAAAATGAAATGACAGTTTCTCCGCGGATGTTGTGCTCGAAAGTGCCAGTGAATGGGTATGGATGGGTCATACTTGATCAGATCTTTGCCTTTGATGATATTCAGGCTATCGGCCATACCGCCTAGGTTCACAGCACCGAGGTGTCCGCCTACTTTGCGGCAGATGCTGCAGGCGCATAGCTGGTAGGGAACTGGTGTTTGGGACTGGAGAGTAAATTCGACACCGCCGCATTGGCAGCTTCCTTCGAGGTTCCTATAGACCCGATTAATATACCTGTGTCGGGGATGCAAGGTGATGCTGATGAGTATCCACATACATAGGCATGATTTAATGTGTTTGTTTGTTAAGCCGGTTGTCGATACGAGTACAATCAAAAAGTGATATAGCTGGGTTCGTTCGAAAAGATTGAGTTTATCCAGGGTTAAGAGGTGATACTCGATATATATACTCCCACACTGAGGGGGCGAATTCAACAACAAAACCAACAAAATGAGCAAACCGCACTGGCCTCGTATGATGGACACCCCACATAACCAGTTTCCTATCAATAAAGCCATATCCGAGCGCCCGAGTCTTATTCCCCAGACGCCAAAGTGACCTCATGCATCATCGACCGTATCCCACAGCTGTGATTGGCTGAATTAGTGTTTGTCTAGTTTGCCCTGTTTGTTTCTCGGAGGTTTGGGTTCGCTTTCGCCGACTGATACTCACCTCACTGAGCTAGTTTCTCGTCTGTACAAATCCAGAATTCTGTTGTGTTGATATTCAGAGCGGATATACGCTCATTTTTGTTGAAAATGAGTTTCGGAGCCCCCGGCGGTGGATCGGTGAACTACAAGCCATCCCCGTAAGTTGCATGATTTTGAGGGTGCATATTTGCGCCAGCGACGTGTTGTCTCGTGAAAGAACGATATTGGATCTCTTGCTCTACATAATTGCTAATCCAATGAATCTGTCTGCAGACCCGAGCGCGGTAGCTTTCCTCTTGATCACGAAGGTACGCCCGCCACACCCCATACCCCGAAAGGAACTCGGCAAGACTAGCAAATACAATGGAGCTAATCACCACCTGGGACGCCATAGGAGAATGCAAGCACATCATTTCGGGATATCTAAAGTGTATCAAGATGAACAGAGGCACCAACGATGAGGCGTGTCGCAAACTGGCCAAGGAATACCTTTCCTGCCGAATGGACAAGTACGTCAGCCCAGTACACGGACGCACCTGATATTACAATTCGATGAGGAATTGTGCTCGTGACGAATGTCAGAGCAAATTGCTGATCCAGAAAACCTGTGTGACTAGGAACCTTATGGCGCCGGATAACTTCGAGAACCTCGGGTTGATCTTTAAAGATGGGAAAGAACAGACCCCAGCCACCCCAGCTGCAGGCGCAACAAATCCAGAACAGAAGAGCTGATTGGGACTGCGAGATGTTGCATGATATTGTATGATATGGAAGAGTGGTGCTATTCCGTGATATTCGGATAGTGCTGGCATTATTCAAGGCGTTGCACATAAGAAAATGTATTTGGTACCTATTCAACACACGAATAAGTAAATATAACCTGTGTAAATGAGTTAGCATCGAAATTCCCAAAATCATGCCAATCTGAATTGTAGCGACATGTTGGTCCTCGCCCTATGTGGTTCCCCGCATGGGAAACCGTTCCCGCCCAGCCACACTCTTTCAATCTCCAACTCCTCCACGGAGCCCGAGCCACCAAATGTCATCGATCGCCCGGCCACCAGACCCGTGCCTCGTGGCAATCATTCTTATCGTACGCTCTCGTACCGGCCCCCGCCTCGTCTTCCACTACCCCCCGAACCCCCTCAGCGAGAACCGCATCAAAACCACCACCAAGGGCGGCCGGCGCGTCTCGCGTACGCGCACACGCTCTAAAAATACTGACTCGAGCTCGAGCTCCGAGAGCGGCCTAAGCTCCGACGAAGACGAGGATGAACGGGAAACCCAGAGCCATGTTGGTGGGAGTTCCGTGCTAGCGGGTCGCCGCGCTAGCAATTTCGGCCTCGATGATCATCTCCCCGCTATGGCATCGTCTGCTGCCGGTGAATCCCAGCGCCCTGGGTCACTAGGCTCTGGGCGTGGCTCGTCGGTTCGGAAACGGGCTGCAGTCTCCGACCCGGATCCTGACGACGATGCGGGGACGGCGTCTGATCGACCTGATGATGGTCCTGGGAGCTCTAGACCGCCTTGGGAGTCGCTTTTGGGTGTTCCTGGGAGTGTGTGGGAGAAACTGCTTAGTCCGTCTCGGTCATGGCATAAGCGACGTTTTGAGGTTGGGATCAATGATTTGGCGCTTATTGGTTGGCCGGTCTTTGTGCGTGAGGATGGCTCGTGGCGCAAACAACGACGCAAGAAGCAGAAGAAGCCTCGTCCTGAATGGGACGGTGGGGAGTTGGGTCACAATGAGAGTGCCGAGGAAGGCAAGAAGGATGAGCAATTCGTTACTTCACCTGATTTGGGTGCTAGTGTCGCTTCCATTGCGGAGTCTTTGACATCGCCGACAGACAGCAAGCGTGGGTCGACTAGCGGACGACCTGGGAAATCAGATGAGCCGCTTGATCCAGAGGACAAAGACCATATGACAATGTTCAATGTGGTGTTTGTTGTGGATCCTCCTTTGCTGGAGTACTCCATGCGTGTGAAGGAAATCTACGAGAATATCATCAAGAAATTCGCCAAGGCTCTTAAATGGGAACAGGCTCGCACTGACTATGTGTGGAAGGAATCTCAACATATTCTACAAGTGAGGAGAAGAGCACGAGAGACAAGTATGTTTCCTGCTAATGACCATCCTGCTGGAGCTGACAATGATACTCGACAGAAACATCAACACATAATCTTTACTCGGAATTGATATCTCAGTCTTCTCTAGCTCGAGCCATCTACACAGTCTATAGTAGCATATCGGCATCCAAAATCGCATCCGTATCGCTCAGCCCGGATGTTTCCATCTCGCTCCAGATTCCACCTTTGACCTCTACACCATACCTTACTGGTCCTATGGATAAAGCATACCCAGGTTTGTGGCTCACGACAGCAGACAGTGCAACTCCTGTCGACGATCCAGGTGCAGATGAAAGTAATACGCCACACCAGGTCCTGGCAAAGCACTTTGCTCTACTTCTGTTAGACAGCGAAGCCGCCATTGTCAAGGATGTCGAGGCGTCTGGGGGAGCGCTTGCCCCCGCACTTGCGCATTATATCCGATGCTCCAAGCCAACCAAGTCATTTGCACAGATATCAGTATCATCCGGGATCCCACTATCCCATATTCAGATGCTATCAAGTCATCTTGTGTACTGGCGCCGTGCTCGCGCCATCCCTCCCATCCACCAACGAGACACATACATCGTCTCTCCAAACTGTGACCTGAGCAAGCTTGAAATAGCTACGATCGCTTATCAGACAGCATTCCCAACATACCCTAGTTTGCCGAAAATGCTTTCCACTCTCAGTGGTACACCTCGCCCTTATAGCAACTTCATCCCCAGCAAAGACCACAAGGAGATTTACTTTACTATTCTGGCCTGGTTACTGCGCGGTGGTTGGGTTACCCAGCTCCGCACTTTTGCGCACATCAAGGTCTCGCCCGAGATCAAAATGGCCGTGGAGATGGCGATGCGCAAGGAGGAAGTCGAGCGATACCTGGCCAAGGGCAACTCAAACTCGATCTCGGTCGACGAGAACAGCAACTTCGACGATGAAAATGATGACGCGAATTCTTCCTCGTCCTCTTCCCTCGATAGTCACGGCAGCGGAGATGAAACACCCACGCCCAATCGACTCGACCCACACGCCCAACTGCGCTCGTCTCACAAACTCCTCGATCAATCAACAGCTCTCCGGCTGTCCTCTTTCATCCTTTCCCCGCACCGCGCGTCCCCACTCGAGTCCCGCTGGCTTGACGAAATTTTCTCTCGATTCTCCGACAACCCGATCATCCAGGGAGACGAAAATGCCAGCCCGTATATCACGCCCAACGATAACCAGGCCCTGCACAAGAAGTACTGGCCTATCTTCATCAAGTACTTCAATGGCCACGATGCCCTGGAAAAGATCTGTGTGCGCGAGAATCTCAAACGCAAACTCGTCTGGCAGGTCCTCATGCGGCTGGGCTTAGGGACGGGGCCACTGGGCGCGATGGATTTGGATCCGCATGAACAGGTGTTGGTCAGTGTTCGACATTGGTAGATGATGCTTTTCTGGTTGGTATGGATATGGAATATGGAGTTTTAGGACAATGATATCCCTCTTTTACATCGACGTCTCCATATTAGGTAAATCCTATAGATCACCGACACCTTAGGCAGGTTTCAGGAATAATACAGCCCGCCCGACCCCGGGCGTATTCTGATTACATACCCACTCTCCCATTCCGATGGTTTCCGCGTGCCCTCAGCCCTAATCGCTGCCGAAAACACCACTTTTGATTTATTAGGTAAAAGGGAATCAAGATGGTTTATATTTGGGGTTGTTTGGTGTAATTGAGTTTGTTGGTATACATTTTATGATATAAAAAAAAGAGTGATAGTGTTGGTATGGACTAGGCCTGGAGCAGTTGGGTAGGGATATTCACGTGTTGGAAGTATACAAATCACATTCTTTTCGCACAATGATCCAGCATCGTAATTTATTTTTATCTTCAAACATTGAAGATTTGAACGTATTAGTTTGTATTACACTTACCCAGATAATTTCAATCGGCCCGTATATCCGAACAATCAAACGGCCTCCAACGGGTCGATGACATGGAACAATTGAATTGGGCAGTTGAGCATGTGTAGTATGTACTAAAGTTAATAGTAATAATAGCACCTATATAATATTGCCACGATATCCTATTTAAGAAGATACCAAAAGAAAAATTCCCACGTCAGATATTTCTATTGTGCGCCAATGGCCGCGGGCTCCGGTGGACCCCGCGATGTTCAGATGCAGTGTATTTTTTACTTCGAAGTTGATGAGCCGAAATCAGTATTATAGGTATTGCATTGTATTCTCTATGATCTCTATTGTTAGTACTTGAATAGAAGCTCGATTTACAAAGCAAAAGGTCTTTGATAGAAGGTTTAGAACAAGAAACGCCATAACGTTATCCAATTGGCTGGACATTGGTTGCTTGAGACTTCACCCTGAATATCGCCACTTAGACAGCTATTTTAATCATGGGTCGCCTAAGCTGTGATTATTATTGGGCCAATACTCTTGAAGAAGTATGCGGCTCAATTATGTATGGCTTTGAACTGGTTCTTTGTTGGTTTTCATAGAACATATGCTATGTATAAAAAAGGGTACAAGAAGTACATTGAGTACCGAAATTGATGACCTCGGCAATGAAAATACAGAGGTGGACATGCATCTAGTGTGTATAAGATAGTGTACACTACACCAGGGACTCATAATGTGTTTATTCTGGAATGCATAGTATAGGTACGGAGTACTATACTACTCCATATATATGGGAATATGCCTTGGTACCCCGAGATACCTATACATAAGGGAACCTAGGCATTCCTAAGGTAGAACACATAAAAGAATTAGATAATAAAGAAATAGACCAAAGGTGTTAAAAAAATCTTTATGCGAAATTCCACAATAAAGTACAAAAACAAAATGTGCCTTTAATTACGTGTAAAGAAAAAACCCCGCTACCAGTTCTGCCCTGAACCAAATAATTTTGTGTCTCTCTCTCTTCTCTCTCCTACATTTCTCCGGGCTGTTTTTCTCCCTTCCTTTGACTTCCTTTTCGGTACCTCTCCGTCTCAGAGAGAACCGATACTTCCCGTTTTCTCAATCGCGGTTTTTTCCAAGGGACACCCCAAATTCACCTTCGCCTCAAGAATCGAGCCTGGAATTACACAACGTTCCCGTGCATCCGACTTGCACTCAGTCAGCCCTTTCAACCCCTTCTAGCCTGACGACGTCGACAAGGCAGTGCCTCCGTAGCGTCTTCGGTGGGATTTTTTTTCTCCCTTACACTTCAACATTCTATTCTTTGACAACCTGTGTGCTCACAAGCAACGGGTGTTGAGATCACTTCGTACCGAGAAATCGACGGCCCATTTATCAATGCGATTTGTGGTCTAGACGATCCTCCTAGCAGATAAAACTCCTTCGATTGCCCTTGCGACCCGATACCCCCCGTGGTCCTTCGTCTCGCTACGCACACGAAATCGTCCTTTCGACACACAATTGAGAGCCTCTCTGGAAAGACAGGAAGCTGAAGATTAGTGGGGTTACAAAAAGCTGGAATTTTCCCTTTCTTGATTTCCACTTGCGCAGGTGCCATCTCGCCTTAGGCGCAGACTGATATCCAGAGCCCTCCAAGGTCGTCCGGGTAAAATATCCCGCACCTCAAATTTTTTTTCACCCACACTCGATCAGAGCTACAGTAAGCTCTCAATTCGACATGTCTACGTTTTCGTACGCACAAGCCGCCAAGGGCGTCTCCGGCACACCGACCCCGTCCAAGACCCCCTCAGAATCCGAGAAGATCGACTCCAAACCGGAGGAGCAGACCGCCGTTGAGACTACAACGGATGATGCACCAGCCCCCACCGAGTCTGAGCCCGTCCAAAAACCAGAGGTAGCAGCAGAGGAGAGCAAGGATGATGATGATTTCACCACTGTCACCAACAAGCATGCCGCCAAGACAAAGGCTATTCACTCTCGAACATCAAGCCCGAGCGTTCGCACAGGCTCAAAGTCGCGCAAGTCAAAGGATGACGACTCAAATACCTCCAACGGCAACGCAGAGGGTACCGCTGAGAAGCAGGCTCCCAGTGAGGGAACCGAGAAGGCCGAAGGTGCCGCAGAGAAGTCTACTGAAAAGTCCGAGGATTCCGAGAAAACCGTATCACCACCCAAGGAGCTGAAGGCTGCTCCTCTGCCCTCGGTCAACATCTGGCAACAGAGACGAGAGGCCCAGGACGCCAAGGTCAAGGCTGCCCCCAAGTCCGCTTCCACTAGCAAGGCCGCCTCCAAGGCCGCCTCGACTGTTGATGAGACCCAGCAAGACTCCAAGGCTGGCTCCAAGAAGAAGGGTGCCGATGGCGCACAGGAAGGTGCCAAGGACCGCAAGAAGACCGAGGGTGGAAAGGGACGCGATGCCGGATCGGTTCCCCCAGTAGAAGACGCTACTGCTTGGCCTACTCCCCAAGTTGCGATTGGCGAAGAGAAGAAGAAGGTTCAGGAGAAGACTGATAAGAGCCCCGTCATCAGACCCCATGGAAAGGAAAAGTGGACTCCCGTTCCTTACGTCCCCACTGCTGTTTTCAACACCCCGCTCCCATCTGCCGGTGGTCGTGGAGGTAGACGCGCCACTCGTGGTGGCCGAGACAGTGGCCGTGGAGCTCACGGCAATGGTGCCTCTACCACTGACAAGGCTGCCTCTGGACAGGCCGCCCAAGGCGCAAAGCCTGCCTCTGGAGATCGCGGACGCCACGAGTCTGGCACTGGACGTGCCGCCTCTCTCCCCGCACAGTCGAGACGGTCCCCCAGCGCCGATGCCAGTGCTGCAGCCGATGCACGCAAGGCTTCCCAGGCACCCGAGCGTGGCCGTGGAGCCCGCAACGGAGAGGAGAATAAGCAGGTGAATGGCGGAGAGAACGTCCCCCGCTCTCAGCGTGAGGGTAAGGCCTTTGGAAGAAACCAGGATGCCCGCGCAGGTGACCGCAACCAGAAGGGTGGGAACTTGGCTGTTGATTCGCAGGCTGCTGCCCGCGGCAGTCGCTTCGAGGCTGGATCGAAGTCTGCCGACCCTGCCGGTCTCACCGAGTTCAACCGCGAACGCGGAGAGTTCCGATCTGAGCGTGGAGGTCGTGGATCTAACCGCGGCCGTGGTGGTGTTTACAACAACTACGGTGGTCAGAACGCCCAGTTCAATGCGTCCATGTCCAACAACTCATTCGGTGCGCCCAAGTTTGGCTTCAACGATCGTCAGCGCTCGCAGCAGCATGGTCTTCCCAATGGATCTCAACAAGGAAACCGTATGCCCCTCCGATCGCCCTCTTTGCCCACTCCCGCAAATATGTACGGTGTTGTTTATCCTTTCCCAGGTGATATCAACGCGATGTATGGCTACCCAGCTGCCCCGATGAGCGCCGTTCCTTACCAGCAACAATACGTCGAGCCTTTCTCGCTCATGAACATGCTCTCCATGCAATTGGAGTACTACTTCTCCGTCGACAACATGTGCAAGGACATGTTCCTTCGTAAGCAGATGGATTCTCAAGGATTCGTGCCTCTGAACGTCCTTGCCAGCTTCAAGCGTGTCAAGTCTCTCACTGAGGACTTTGAGCTCCTTCGTCACGTGTCCCGTCAGCTCCGCAACGTTGAGTGCCAAACTGGTGAGGATGGCGTTGACCGCCTGCGCCCCAGAGACAAGTGGCAGCAATGGGTCCTCCCCGTGGACCAGCGCGAACCTACCGCCCAGCATGATGGTGCCGCCCCTGCTAGCAAGACTGATGAGAACACCCTGGTTCACAGCAACGAGACCGTTATTAACGGATCCGCTCCTCAGTTCGTCCCCAACGGTGTCGCCCATGATGCCAAGATTTCACTTTCATCTACCGCCCCGGAATTCATGCCCTCATTGCCACCCACCGCAGTGAACGAGATTGCCAATGTAGGAAACCCCTGGAATTCATCTGCCTCCCCCGATGCTTTTTCGACAAGATCATTTTTTTCGTCGTCTTCGTCTTTTCCCCTGGACCATTCATTTGTTGACACTTCTTCCTCAGCGTGTGGATTAGATTCGCAGTCCGAACCTCCTTTCCCCTCTGATTTGGAACCGGCGGTGGCCCTAGTGAGGTATGCTAAACTATTTGCCCTAAGATCTACTCTACGTGAGGCACTGACTGACTGTATGAACAGCTTCGATGCAGATTACTCTCAACACCAAATCGGCGGTGCTGATTGGTGGATCAACAGGTCTTTTGCCGAAGCGCATCAACCGGCGCCCAAGTCAAATGAGAAAAGCCGTTCTTCCACAGAAACGCCAAATTATATCCCAAAAACTTTCAATATGTCTCACCAAGAAACTTTCGATGGCCAAGACCGACCGGTGGCAAGAAGGTATAGCTTGGAAATGGCCCAGCCTTACCAATCCTGGTCGTCCAGCTTGACAAAACATTTCAACTCGCATCTGTATAATGAATTTAGGCGTTCTGCCCTTGATGACCTTTTGACTCGACACATTGACAACGGTTTCATTGAGCTCATGGAATATTATCGGAAATGCCTGCTTCACCGTCGCCCCATTCCTGACCTCGTGATGTACGACTTGGTTCATCTCTCATACGATCAAACATCGCACTATCACACCCTCGTCTCCAGCACGATCCATGAAACCATTGCCAGTGGAAAGATGAAATTACACAACCGGGGAAAGATCAGCAAATATTTCAATACCCAGCACGGCAAGAAGGCCAGAGAAAAGTTATCATGAGCCCTTTTTTGAATTTCCTTTCTGAACTTTGCTTATTTGCGACACGTCTTATTTCCTGCTGCTTGTTCATCTTCTCGTGACCAACATTATCCTTTTTTTGTTCAAAATGGTCTTTTTTTTGCATGCATATTCGCCAACTTTTCTTCTAGAGTTCCAAGTGACCCCTTCATTTCAATAACGCGGTCTGGCTTCTCGGTCAACTCGAAGCTTCGGAGTTCTCTCTTATCTCCTTTTTTTTCTGTTTAATTTTCATTGCTTTTCAGTCATGGGAGGTACTCGAAACGTTCTGGCGTCCGGGCATGATTTTATTGGCAGTCTTCTCTCTTTGCCTGCCACTACGGTGTGCCGGGCCCCCAAAATTCGTTTTTCCAACCTTGACATAGATATTTCCACTACTTTTCTTGTTTCCTTCCTGAGGTTGTGGCTTTCCTTTATCCAGTCAATTTCCGATCCAGGCCTTCCATCGGCCCTGGGTCTTAATAAGTATCAGCATGGCAATAACCCAGAAAAAAAAAAACACATGTCTTAAAAAGGCCTGTCTGAGGTTATCTGTGTGTTTCTCGAGTTTCGTTCATGGTGCCAATCGGAGAAAATGAATCCAGCATATCTACATTGCCGATCTGTCCATTCGGTCTACCTAGTCCTTCTTTGGACGACTCTTCTGAAGTGGATTGATCCATTCGGTGCTTTTCTTCTTCTTGCTGGGGTCCCTGCGAGGATGATTTTGTTTTCTGTTCTTTGTTATTAGCATAAACCGGGCTATTCGGGTCTTTGTGGAGTAATATGATTGATATGATTGATATGCATACTCTGTACTCCATGATATTGAACATGCTCTGTAAGACATCTGGAGAATATTAATTGTAAAATGTGTGTAAAACTGCATAATTGAGTCATCTATATAAACCTTCCAAGGTTGGAAGTAAAAGTAAGTCGCATCCGATGGAACGAGGTCGATCATTCATGCCTCAGGCAACAAGATCTTGAACCCAAACGGAGATAATTCAATCCCGATCCGGCTCTAATAGCTCCCTTTCCCCTCTCTAGCTCTGTTCTACGCGTCCAATCCATTGTTCTTCTTTTCATTCAAACCTCTTTGCATCTAAACTCACCTCTTCATCAACATGGAGGGCGCATCCCGGCAAACGTCACGGCTACTCCGGCCTCGTGGCCAGAAACTCCTTCCCCAACGTCTCACACGAACCTCCACAGTCAGCGCCACACCCTTCACCCAGACTCAACGACGGACGCTGTCAAATTCTCCTCAGTCTCTCGCCCCAGAGTCTCTTTTCAACAGCTTCAAAAATGGCGGCTCATACAACGAGGGACCCACTAGCTATTTCTCCAACCGACAGACCCTCCCCGCGAACACCGTTGTGCGGTTCGTCCCACAACAGACAGCATGGATCGTCGAACGCATGGGAAAGTTTGACCGAATCCTAGAACCTGGTCTTGCGATCCTTGTGCCGTTCTTGGACCGAATTGCCTACGTGAAGAGCTTGAAGGAGGCGGCCATTGAGATCCCCAGCCAGAACGCCATTACGGCGGATAATGTCACCCTGGAGCTGGATGGTGTGCTATATACGCGTGTTTTCGATGCGTACAAGGCAAGGTAAGTGATTTTATGGCGCGTTCTTGGTTGTTGCGTGGAATTGGATTAGTCGGAACAAAGAAATCGCTAACACATCAGTCAATTGTAGCTACGGAGTCGAGGATGCAGAATACGCTATTTCACAACTCGCGCAGACGACTATGCGTTCCGAAATCGGTCAGTTGACCCTCGATCACGTTCTTAAGGAACGCGCCAATCTCAATACAAACATCACCAAGGCTATCAACGAGGCCGCCCAGGAATGGGGTGTCGTCTGTCTCCGATATGAAATTAGGGATATCCACGCACCGGAAGCCGTCGTTGCTGCCATGCACCGCCAGGTTACTGCTGAGCGCTCCAAGCGAGCTGAGATCCTGGAGTCTGAAGGTCAACGCCAGAGTGCGATCAACATTGCCGAGGGTCGCAAGCAGTCTGTTATTTTGGCTTCTGAGGCTCTGCGCTCTGAGAAGATCAACCACGCTTCCGGTGAAGCCGAGGCTATCAAGCTTAAGGCCGAGGCTACCGCGCTTGGCATTGACGCCGTTGCCCGGGCCATCGAGGAGGGTGGCGATAATGCTCAGAATGCTATTACTCTTAGCGTTGCCGAGAAGTATGTTTCGGCTTGGTCGAACTTGGCACGCGAGGGCACAGCTGTTGTTGTTCCCGGAAATGTTGGAGATATGGGTGGCATGATCGCCAATGCCATGGCTGTTTATGGAAAAGTCAGCGAGACACAGGCTCGGGGTTTGGCAAAGAAGTCTCTTGGGGTTGAAGACAACTCTCGGTCATCGGAGACATCGCAAAGCAACCAGGCGCCGACGTTCTTTGAGGAACAGGTTGAGCAGAACATTGCCACGAAGACTGCGCAGGAGGGATTTGATGTGGCCGCCAACGAACACAAGAAATAGGCGTTTGTACTTCACCCGGCCGACACGAGAACGACGACTCCTCTCCTGATGTGACTTTTATTCCCTCTACCCTTTCTCCTTTTTGTTCTGGCATGTCACTTTGCCCTTCCACATTCTTCTTGAATCGGGCCCCTTTTATGTATCCACCACTTCCCCTCTCCATTTTCTTACTTTTCCCACTCTTACTGCCTGTTCTTTTCCCATTGTTTCCCGGCATTTGTTTAGGAGTCTTCTAAAACGCACGAGGTTTGCTGTGCATGCGGCATTGAATTCGCCATATTGGTTCCTGTATGTGTACATAAAGGAATTGTTGTTGATCAGAGAGCATAAGAGGAAGGAGAATATCTCAATGTACAAGTATCAGTATCTTATATTGCTTTAAAGGAGCTGTAAGTCTGCTGTGAGACATCGAATATAAATTGTATCAGATTAGCTCTTTGATTTCATCACGGGTATAATACTCGGATCTAGTTGGGTTTCAACATTGAACTATGCTACATTCGCTCCGTCTCTTCAAGAGGCTATCTACTAAATTCACTATCGACCATTACAATGGAGATGGAGGTCACTAAAACAAGTGTATTGTCAACGGCTATCAGAATCAACCAGCACAACCCGATACAGGAATAGGTTCAATATCAAACCTGATCTCAAGCGAGCAACTCTGATCCCACCTCACAATCCTAGCAATATAGTACGTACCTCTAGGAAATATCTCCAGAACCAAATGAACCGCACACTTCCCAATGCGCGTACCCAGAAGACCCTGGTACTCAAGGGTTTTATACTCCCAGATCCGCGGATCTTGACAGACCGGAGGCCAAGTGAGACCATTGCGTGGAGAATACAGAACATTCTGCACAAACTTCCTAGTATCCGTATTGACGATATCACAAACGTAGAAGCGTCGTAGACTTTGGGGATCAGTAATCTCTTGCATACGAGCTCGGGCAATCTGTGAAAACTGAGGCCCGTCAATTCTGAATATCCCCTCGGCGATGACCAGTCCCTTTTCAGCTAGGATGTCGTATATGTTCTCGCAGCCAGCGAACCCGAGATTCCCCTTAGCAAAAGTTTGTGTCGTTGTCTCGTTGTAGATTGTCTCGTTGGCATATCCTAGCGCGAAGGTGTTGCTTTAAAGGCGCCATACTGACGGGTATCTTGCATGTTAATGGTTAAAATTAGCATGGGAATATTTATAGTACTTGTCAGTATACTTATGATCAGGTAGAGCTGGTATAGATGTTCGATGTAAAGAAGAAAGATAAGACCATTGAACAAAGACTACAATGAGAGAGTTTTGATAAAGAATGAACCCTGTTTCAAGAGCTTTGTGCTTCTTTGTCAAATACCTGTTTGTCTAAACAACACAGTCCTAACCCTGAAGACAATAAAAGCCTGGGGGTTTCTACCTGATCATTCTTTCTTCTCATCTCTCACCCACTCTCCAAAAGTCCTGGATCAGAGTGTTCACACATCTCCAGACCATCCAAACCCCCTGTTTTACTCCCACCATGCCAATGTCTTTTGCCAAACCCAGCCACCTGACCTATGAACGGCATTTCGAGCGTGAATGCACGCTCTTCCAGCAAGCTCTAGAAAGGGAGGCTTACTCACTCCATAATGTGGAAGATCGCCGCGCAGGTACCATTCAAGTGATTTGTGATCTGATCGTTCAGCTGGAGATCCTCGGACATGTCGCAGAGACCATGACTAGGAAGTCCCCCATGTGTCCCACTGTTCTGATTAGCCCGCCTGGGTATTTCGTTGGTGAATTCCAACGGTTTTGTCGCGCGAAGATTCTGCCAGCTTTGGTTAGGTCACTGACTTGCCTTAGAGAGTCGACCACTATCTATCGTGATATAAACTACACAGTTGCTGGTCAGTTGGAGGCGATTCATGATGATTTGGCTTTTATCTTGGATTGTCGCGAGTAGTCATATTGTGATTGGATCTTTGCTTTCTTTGATTAAACTGCTGAATTAGGTCAGGATGTTAGACATGAGCTATCTTGAGGTTAGATATACAGACTCTGCTTAATAGGATGGTCTCGAAGAACATGGTCTTTATTTTGATATTTGCGAATAGTCTATTGCATTGGTGAGACGAATAAGATGGTTCATGCCAGTTCCCATATAAAGTTAATATCCGTAGCTTCGGAATATGTGTAGTATAAAACATGACCTGTTAGTCTGGTCTGCATATCTCTTGTAGACTTGAAACTACTCCGTATACCTATTCTCTCCGTCTTTAGTTAAATATCTTGTTTGTTAGATTAAGTGGCGGTCGATACATCACATACTCATTTTCGAGGTGGCCCGAAGAGCTGCATCTGCACTCTCTATCACACTCCAATGCACCGGCAGTTGACTGTCACACTTTATTTGTATATACAGGTTAAAGGAAGACATTGTAAATCATTGGATAAAGTCGTAAATGCTGGAAGTAGCGCCGCCAACGATGACTTCACTGCTGATCTTGTTGTATTCGTGCCGCTTTCCCCCACCCTGACCAATTACTGGTATATTAACCCTCCTCTCCTTCTTTTTCTCTTATTCTTCTTGTATTATCCGCATCTAATCTCCAAAGCAATAACAGAGCCTACAAATCACCCATAAAAACCACTTACCATGTCTAGCTCCGGACAGGGATACACTACCAAGAGCTCCGGCACCAACAGCCAGGTATGCTCCCCCCCAATTTCCTCCATGCCACCAAGAACATCATATATGCATCTGTTCTCGATGAATGCCAGGCCATCATCAATATGACACTGACAAAAATCAAATTAGGGCAACCACTATTGCTCTCACGACTACGGCAACAGCGCGTCTAACTCGAACAGCTACCACTACTCCAACACGTATGTATTCGGCTCGAACGAAGCTGTCATGCATATGCAGTGACTGGAAACAGTATATTCTGACCGTTTGCCCTAGCAATGGCTCTTACTACTACTCCAACCCCAATGGAAGCTCCTACTACAACAGCGGGTCGGGAAGCTCGACCTACACTCCCCCCTCTGGAGGATCCGGCAAGAAATAAATTTTCATGTCATAATGTCGGCAAGTAATTGATGTATCATGAAGGTTTTAGTTATATGAACAACCGATGGATCTTTACTGTTTCATTTGTAAATATGTGTGTTGATGTAGTCGTATTAAGCATAGCTAGCAGAGAATGTTCGATCACTCAATGCTCGTATAGATGAAGTAGCCAAAAGAAAAATCATTACCTATTTTTCCAGAGGGTCTTTTCCAGAAGCATTAGTCTGTATTGTTTGACTTCGTTAGCATAGAGATATCTAACTAGATGTTTCACCCCTCCTTCGCCAAGATATGAAGTTCAACGGCACCAAGACCCTAATATGGAACTCTGTAATTGAATCGAAAAGTAAGATATAATGGTACCCAAGGAGCACCTGATCTTTACGTTTCCTTACTTTAATCGTTCATTAAAGACGTTGTCCATGTGTACACTAACTAGGCCATACTCTTCTCGTATAAAACCACGTTTGCCCTGTAGTACTTTGTTTGGTGAAACCAGTAAGCAGAAAAAGATATTACAAAAGTAAACATATAAAATGATAGTAATCCCCCTAAAGGAAGCAAGTGCGAGCTAGTTGCTAGCCCTTGCAGTGTAGTTCAAAAGACTATCAACGCGGGAGCTCGGACCAGGCAAATCTGGAGATCGCGACTTTTGGATTCGCGCCCTTTTAATCTCCGGTCTCATCCCTCATCTGTGCCTGAGCTTTATATCCTTTTTTTTTCTTTGAATCTTGTCGAGGAACCCGTTTGTTTTGGCTCTTGCCATGTCCCTCGTCAAACTAATATACTCCAAAAACCAGCTATCCGACACGCCGCGCTCCCCTCCTTGCCCACGCTTCGCGCACATTCGTGTTGATACGTGTTGCACGACCTAATCTCGAGACAAGACCGCTCACCCCTTTGAGGAATAAGCGAATAACCGTGACTTTGCTCCGGGACTGGCGCGATGCATATTATCAAGCCGGTTTGGCTCACCCATGGAGGTACGGAGCTTGATCGCCCTGGTTTTCTTTGCTCGACGCCGTTGGGACGGAGACACAGTGCTCCACGAGAATAGGACCAAATCATCCCATGAAAGAGCCAAATTTTGCTAATAGAATTGCTCTGATACAGGTGAACGCAAGGATTTCGAGGTTTACAGCTGCGATGTCTCGCCAGATGGGAAGCGACTAGTCACAGCTGCTGGAGGTGAGCTCGACCCTTTTTTTGCTTTGAGGTGAAGGTCACGAAGATCATGCGCCGCCGAGGGAATTCTCACTGACATCATGGCTCTTGATTTGCTTTAGATGGATATGTGCGAATCTGGTCAACAGATGCTATTTACGGCACCGGAACTCCCGAACTCGAGGGCAAGCCAAAACAATTAGCGTCCATGAGTAACCACTCGGGCACAATCCATACCGTCCGCTTTTCACCCAACGGGAAATACCTTGCGTCAGGCGCGGATGACAAGATTGTCTGCGTGTATACCCTAGACGCTAACCCTCCTACACACTCGTCAACATTTGGTACGCTTTGGACACACTGGATATGGAGAAATGGAGGCAGACACTGACGGCTGTGGGAAAATTCTAGGCACCGACGAAGCACCCCCTGTTGAAAACTGGCGTACAATTAGGCGATTGATCGGCCACGATAATGATGTCCAAGATCTCGGATGGTCCTTCGATTCATCGATACTGGTATCCGTTGGGCTTGATTCAAAGGTCGTGGTGTGGTCAGGTCACTCATTTGAGAAGCTGAAGACGATAGCGATCCACCAGAGTCACGTTAAAGGCATCACTTTCGATCCGGCAAACAAATATTTCGCAACTGCGAGCGATGACCGGACCGTTCGCATCTTCCGATTCACATCTCCTGCCCCAAATTCTTCAGCTCATGACCATATGAACAATTTTGTCCTTGAGCAAACAATCACAGCCCCATTCGCCAATTCTCCTTTAACCGCCTATTTCCGTCGTTGTTCTTGGTCACCTGATGGGATGCACATCGCAGCTGCAAACGCTGTGAACGGTCCTGTGAGCTCTGTGGCCATCATTAACCGCGGATCATGGGATGGTGACATCAATCTGATTGGACATGAGGCACCTGTTGAGGTCTGCTCGTTCTCTCCGCGACTTTACGCAACAGAGCCGCCCAATAAGAAGCAAGCAGATGGGCAGCCTGTACCCCAGCACCACATTACCGTCATCGCTTGTGCTGGTGGAGACAAATCTCTTAGTATCTGGATTACGAGCAATGCACGGCCGATTGTGGTTGCGCAGGAAATGGCCGCGAAAGCTATTTCAGACCTGGCATGGACTCCTGATGGAAAGTGTCTCTTTGCTACTGCTCTAGATGGCACAATTGTGGCAGTCAGATTTGAAGATGGCGAGCTGGGCTGGGCTACGGAAATGGAAGAGAATGAGAAATCACTCACTAAGTTCGGAACTAATCGAAAGGGTGCTGGTATCACAGAAACTACAGACAGCTTGTTGCTGGAGGAAAAGAGCAAGGCTGGCGAGATCAAGCACGTTGAAGGCAGAATGGGTGCACTGATGGGCGATGGCGCTGAAGCTACTGCTGAGCCTACTACAAATGGAGACAAAACCGCACAGCCATCGAACGGAACTACGCCTGCTCGGGCCTCTTCGCCAGCCCCCGAGGCTACAAAGACCCAGACGAATGTAACTCCTTCGACACCTGCCACCACAGAATCAGAGAAGCCCGACCCATACAAAGCTAAGCTGGAAAGACTGAAGCAGCGTCCAACATACACTAAAGAGGGCAAGAAGCGTATCGCACCATTACTAGTATCCGGAGCTGGGGCCGGCGAGTCATCTCTCCCGCAGGCCCGTTTGATGGCATCTGTCAGCAATCAGGTCAAGGCTGACGCCCCGACTACCATTGTTGACCTGTCAAAACCCTTCGATGGTCTACCCAAGGGTGGCCTGGCTGCTCTTCTTCTTGGAAACAAGCGCAAGCTGGCTCAAATAGAAGGCGACGAAGATGGGAGCGTAGAAAAGCGTGTGGCATTTGCCAGCCAAAATGGAGCAACTCCCATAATGGCCAATACCCCCGACGGCCTTCTACCAGCTCAGGTTCAATCTGCCGCGACCGGCCAACAGCCAACTCCTGAATTCATTCGCCCCGCAGTCACAAATCCTTGCATGTCGGTCAGCCAACTTCGTCTGGCAGTCCCCAAAATTCGCAGCCAGATTCTCCGTGCGCTAGATTCGAGCGGGAAACCGACGGAACCACCTGGTCCTAGTACAGGCACAGACTCGAGCTCTACCAAGAGTCGGGCGGATGTGGTTTTCGAAGCTCGGAACCCATCACCCGCAAGTCTGACCGGTCGTGCTGTGGATCGCGAGCCAGTTCGCCTGACACTGTTCCGTGGAGATCAGCCATTATGGCAAGATTTCTTACCACGGACTGTCCTGCTTGTGACTGGTAATCAGAGTATGTGGGCAGCTGGCTGTGAAGATGGATCAATCTACCTTTGGACGCCGGCAGGTCGTCGTCTGGTAAGCGCTCTTGTTCTCGAGGCACAGCCTGTCATTTTGGAGTGCAATGGACCATGGATCCTGTGCATATCCTCTGTGGGCATGTGCTATGTCTGGAATGTGAAGCACATGTCTTCTCCTCACCCCCCAGTTTCCCTCCAGCCAGTCTTGGATGCTGCAATTCACACTCTAGGCGCGAACCCCACCGCCGCTCCCGCAGTAACAGATGCACGCATCAACTCGGAGGGCCGAGTCGTTGTTTCTTTGTCCAACGGCGAAGGATACTCCTATTCCCCATCCATGTTCACATGGCAGCGCCTCTCGGAAACTTGGTGGGCCGTCGGCAGCCAGTACTGGAACACCACAGACGCACCAGTGAGCAACTTGCAGGCCAAGGACGCGCAGCAAGATACCAAGGATGCCAAGGCAGCTGTCGCAGCCGGCATCATTCCTTGGTTGGAGCGCAACACCACCAATGAGACCCTCCTTCGCGGAAGGGCGTACTTCCTCCAGCGTCTCATCAAGGTTTTATTGTCACGTGAAGGGTACGAGACTTTCGAGTCCAGTGTATCCATCGCTCATCTTGAAAATCGTCTCGCTGCGGCTCTGTCCCTAGGTGCCAAGGAAGAGTTCCGATTGTACCTATCCATGTATGCCAAGCGCATCGGTGCCGAGGGTTTAAAACTGAAGGTCGAGGAGCTCCTGAAGGGTCTTATTGGCGGTCTTTTTGAGGATGAAGACGATGCCAGCGAGGGAGTCTTGAAATTGCAGGCCAATGAGCGCGAAGGCCGTAACTGGCGCGAAGGGTCTGATGATCTGTGTGGCTGGCCACGGGAAACATTGTTGAAGGAGGTGATTCTAGCACTTGGTATGTTCTACCCTTCTTTTCTTCTTTTAACGCTTCAATCACTAACGAATGTTCATCTAGGTAAACACCGTGACCTTCAACGTGTGACAGTACCTTATGCCAAGCTACTGGATATGGTCGACAATACATCAGAGCATGGCGATGCAATGGATCTTTAATGATGTTTTCTTGCTATCTATACCTTTTTCTTCTCCTGGTTTTGCTGGCGTTCAATAAGTTCGGGCTGGGTCACCCAAAAGGGTTTGCATTATTTATCTCCGCTGAGGCGGGATTGGAGATTATATATCTCTCATTTGGTGTATTTGTATCATAGGTTCTCTTTTGGCTTCTTATTTAAAGTCAACCTATTCCCATTTCCCATCTATTTCTTGTATCAACTGCCTGTAGACCCTAACCCTACAGTATTACGTACGTCACACACTTTCAGGGACAGTGACGTCGTCAGGGCTTGACTTTCACGTGGGCGGTGTATAGCTCTGCAGGCAGAAAATTTGATATCTGGCGCGAACAACATCAACTTCACTTTTTGGATAGCAAAAAACACGCATTCATTTACTCTCTTTTTATTCATTCACCTTGTCCGCAATTGCTGTGGGCAACCGCCATCACGTCGTCCACATCTTCTATCTTCTTCCTTCGTATCGTCGATCGATCCGCAGCTGGTCCTGCATTTGGCGCGCTCCATTCTTGTTCCCGCTTCCGCCTTTCAACTTCCCCCCACCTTCCATCTCTCTTCTGTCGCTTCTACTCAAGCAAGAAGAAAAAATCCAATAAAATGCCTCCCAAGAAGCAGCAAGTTCAGGAAAAGATTCTCTTGGGTCGTCCAGGAAACAACTTGAAGAGTGGTATCGTATGTGAGCTAGGCCCCCACCCTTTTTTTTCCCTTTCCTTTTTTTCCACACAGCACAGTCCACTTTTAAATTCCGAAAAACTATTTAAACCCCCTTGCCCCCTTTCCTCTCAATCTTTTTTTCTTCTTCCCTTCTCAACCATGATTGACTAACATTATGGCTTCAGGTTGGTCTTGCCAATGTCGGCAAGTCGACACTCTTCCAGTCCATCACCAAGTCCTCCCTCGGTAACCCGGCCAATTTCCCCTATGCCACCATTGACCCCGAGGAGGCCCGTGTCATCGTTCCCGATGAGCGGTTCGACTGGCTCTGCGAGCACTACAAGCCCAAGTCGCAGGTTCCTGCCAACTTGACCGTGTATGATATTGCCGGTCTCACCCGCGGTGCCTCGACTGGAGCCGGTCTGGGTAACTCTTTCCTGTCGCACATCCGCGCTGTCGATGCCATCTTCCAGGTGGTTCGCTGCTTCGATGATGCCGAGATTATCCACGTTGAGGGTGACGTCGATCCTTGCCGTGATCTGACCATCATCAACGAGGAGCTCCGCATCAAGGATATCGAGTTTGTTGAGAAGGCTCTTGATCTTCTTAGCAAGCAGACTCGCCGTGGAGGCCAGTCTCTGGAAATGAAGAAGCTCAAGGAAGAAGAGGCTACTACTGCCAAGATTCTTCAGTTCCTTAAGGATGGCAATGACATCCGCAAGGGTGAATGGAACCCCAAAGAGGTATGTTGAAAATTTTTCTCTTTCCCCGAACGCAACTCGCCCTTGTATCTCTCCCCCCCACTCCTTACCTGATGAATAAGAGCACTGCTCGAAATTTAACCCAGCTCGTTGAGTGCCCTCATTAAAAGGATACTCACAATCCGAGGGCACCTTGAGAATAAAAGTTATATGCTGAAATTTTGGAGTCCACTTTTACATGATCACAATCACTCAAACTCTTTGAGAATCTCATGCTAACCAAATTGGTTATAGGTCGAAGTTATCAACCCTCTGTTCCTGCTCACTGCTAAGCCCGTTGTGTACCTTGTCAACCTGAGCGAGAGAGATTACATCCGCCAGAAGAACAAGTATCTCCCCAAGGTCTTCGAGTGGATCAAGACCAACTCTCCCGGTGACCCAATCCTTCCAGTTTCGGCTCAGTTCGAGGAGCGTCTGACCCTCATGCACGATGATGCGGCCGCTGAGGCTGAGTGCAAGACTCTTGGCACCAAGTCCGGTCTCCCCAAGATCATCACTACCATGCGTCAGTCCATGAACTTGGGCAGCTTCTTCACCACTGGTGAGGATGAGGTTCGCCAATGGACCATCCGTAAGGGTATCAAGGCTCCCGCTGCCGCTGGTGTCATTCACACCGACTTCGAGAAGACCTTCATTCAGGCTATCGTATACAACTACGCTGCTCTCCGTGAGTACGGTGATGAGAATGCCATCAAGGCTGCTGGTAAGATTATGACTAAGGGCAAGGATTACGTCGTCGAGGACGGCGATATCCTGCTCATCAAGGCCGGTGCTGCTAAGCACTAGGTGCACATGGACAATAGTTCTTTTAAATGATACACCAATAAGTCTTGTGAATATTCTTTTTCCAACTGTAGATTTCTTTCGATCTGTAAACCAATTTGACTTGATGCAAATTCTCATTGCTAGCTCCTTTATATTCGCTAGGTTAAGTTTTGATTTGTTGCAGGATATGCCCAACTTCACTTCTGCGGATGGTTACGTTGCCTTGATATCTTGAGGCCAATTTGCAACAGCTCTTATTCATTGAGTAAGACCATCAATTTCATTCTGTCTGGGCTGTTCAGTATCAAGTAGAAAAAAAAGTAAAGCGACCTACTAGTCACGTGACCACGTCCCCCGCGCATCCCACTTGCGTATCAAGAGCTTGATTCTCATATTCTCACACCCTCAACCAGCATCATGTTTAAGAAAGAGTGAGTCAAACCATTCAATCAGTCCACAGCAGTCCAACAGCTGGTCCAGTCGCTTGATCCGAGCCTCCTGCCTGCCAAATGGGACCACACATCTTCCTCCATTTTGAGGCACCGCAAAGACAGGAGGAGCTGTCAAAGACTCCAGATGAAGACATACACAGCTCCTACGAGATAGCTCTTGCTACAGAAATTTATCAATGACACCAACTAATATCCCTACTCCATCTAGTATCCCCCCAAGCAACCGGTCTAAGGTGAAGTCCTCAGTGCAGCGCGCCCTGCGCCAAAAACTGCTGGAGACATACCCAGGCTTCGAGCCCTTCATTGAAGATGTCATGCCCAAGAAGGCCTCATTGGAAGCCGTGAAGCTGTACAGTTCCCCCATTTTTCACCTTCCGATTCCACCAACGTCATTTCCAACTTCCAACCTGAGTCTGCTATGCATCTCCTTCCTTCGACCCGACAGCTAATGAAAACCACCCCAGACCCGACCGCGTGACCCTCTACACAATAGACTCAACCCCCCTCTTCTTCCAACCCATCGACGGACCCCCAGTTCCCCACCTCCGCCTCATCCACGCCTACCCCTCCGCAGTCCCGACAATCCAGATCGACCGCGGCGCCATCCGCTTCGTGCTCTCCGGCGCAACGCTCATGGCTCCCGGTCTCACCTCCCCCGGAGGCCGTCTACCTGATGCCGAGCATGCGCTTGAGGCCGGGCAGATTGTTGGCGTTAAGGCTGAGGGCAAGGAGGAGATTTGTATGATTGGTATGCTGAAGGTTGGCACTGAGGAGATTAAGAGTAAAGGGAAAGGAGTTGTCATTGATGAAGGCCATTATGTTGGTGATGGGCTTTGGAGAATGAATTTGGATTAGGATGGTTTTGAGAAAGCAAGGGATTCATTGGGCTGGGGTTGCGGGTCTTTTGTGATGTTTTGGCTTGGAACTATACCTCTCTGCACGTATGGTGATGATTACATGTATGTGTTGGATGATTTGAAATGAAAAATATCCCTCCTCTGGACGAGGATCAAAATTGGCTCAATGGGTATTGATTGAATGTAGATGGCTTTTTTTATTCATTCTAATGCTGTAAAAGTGGATTTCGATGTAATGTTTTGCATTTTTATATGGTGTCCAGAAGCAGAAGTACATGACGCCATGCCATGACCTACCGGATTGCTCGGAGGTTCTGAACTCCAAATACCCATTTCCTCCTTTTTATCAATGTTTCCTTTGATTCAGTCAAAACATATACGATGGCTTCCAACGATCGAAAATACCGGTTGTCGTATGAGGCAGTGAGTCAATACCAGTGAGCTTGAACGCACGGAATAATAACCATCTCCAGCCCAATCGGAGTATGCCGCAGGAGTGGCAGCCGTCGGGATGCCATGATAAATCTTTTGGTAGCTATCACATCGTGAGATCGGAGTACAATGCTCAGGTGAGAGTCCTTGGACAATGACCTCTTATAGATCATGAGTCTGACCTTATTATTCTAGGAGGATTGGTACTGCAAGCATAGGTATTACGGTTATCCGGGTGCTGAATCGTATCATTGCGTCAATTTGTTAGTTTTTACCTTGCTCCCTATGAGAAGTACCCTGTTTCTAATATTTGGCCAGGACTGGCTGGTATTACTCATTGAACCCAGATGGTAGTGAAGAGAAGCTTCATATGAAACAGAAGAGAGCCGCGTACCACCCACCTAACAGCTTGGTTTGGGAGGATTGGTCAGATATTGTTGCTTGGGACAAATTGCCAGCGATACCTGATCGTTGCCTTGAAAAGATTAGCCGTCCTGCTCCTTGGTTTTGGGCGGAATTTGAACGAAGAGAGCAACAGCGAGGTATGGCTTGGTCCCTCCTAGTACGTGGCATTGTTGACACCAGGAAGTCGCTGTTGAACACACCCAGCGAAAATACATAGGTGAGATCGAATCACTGACAACATGACTCATGGCTAACATTGGGCAGAATGCTGTGAAAACGACGTCTTTCATCAGGGAGACAATGATCCACACTGGAACCAGCATAGTGAGTGGGATATGCCGATTGTCAACGAGGATGTGATGTTCAGATCTGCGAGCGAGACGTCGGTGAAATCGGAGGGTGACACACCTGGTGGTTCCTCCACAGACCAGACGTCCCAGGAAGAGCTACCCAAGACCAAAGTGCCCACAAAGAAGAGAAATTCGACTGCGGCAGAGTGTACCAGCGTTAAGTCGAAGCCCCGTCATAGGAGGACCGAAAGCTCAGAGAAAGAGCCCGAAGAGCCCAAAAACCAGAAGAGACAGAAGAAGGCCGAAATCAACCAGGCTGGGGAGCAGGGGAGTCCTCGATTGAACAAGATGAAAGGCGAAAAACGAAAGTTTGAGGAGCAGGAATCTCAGGAGGGCTCCGAAGGAACGAAGCTTGGAAACAAGAAGCATAAGAACGAGAGGATACTCGAGGCGAAGCGTAAGGAAACAGGCCGGGGAAACTCTGCGGACCTGCCAAATCGGAAACGGAAGGTTAACGATGAAGACGGAGTGGTCACAACTCCAATCACGGTCAAAAAGAAGAGACGCCACAGTATTCAGGAAAGCGCTGTGGCCATAGAGGTCGGAATATGCTAGGACAAAGAATATAATCTATTTATACAGTCTAGCTAGGGAAACTGGTCCCTCGATCTAATAATGAGTCTTCAATGCCCGTGCGGTTTAATAAAGATGTGAATTATATTCTTCAAAGATTGCTTGAGGCCGCAGACCACCCAGGAATGTACTTTCGAAGCAGATCCAGTGTCGGCATCCACGCAAGCAACTCCGGGCTATCACGAAGAGCCTGGAGAGTGTTGTTAATCTCAAACCGAGGCGCATTCTCTTGAACACCCCAACGGGTATGGGTACCCCATATCTCCTCCTGGAATAGCGGAAGAAAGGGATGCAGTGGGTTCGTCGCATCGTTAACAAACAGTTCCAGCCAGCGGGAAAATGAGATGCCTTGCAGCTGGCAAGAGCACTGCCTACTGGTCAGGTCAAAGGCTTCCTGAAGATCTATGGGCTCCGGCTGTATCAAATTATAAGCATGGCCCACGTTCTCTTCGAAGCCAGCGATCCGTAGCATCGCATCTACCACGAAATCCACTGGGGCAAACGCTTTGCGTTGCCCCGGTACGATGGGATAATGGCCTAGCTGAAGACAGGATGACATGAGACAACCGACGAAGTCACTCGGGTTCCCTCTTCCCGTTTGACTATGGCCTAGAACATACCCGAGCCGGATAATGATCGCTGGCGAACCATTGCGAATGGCATTCCAGACCACATTTTCCGCCACGAATTGGCTTTGGGAATATCCTGTGTCATACTGTAGAGCCACGATGTGGCCTAGTGGCCCCTCATCCTCTGGGACGGTCTTGGTTCCTTGGACAAATCCCGTCGGGCCATACGCGGCAATACTCGAGGAGTAGATCAGTCGTTTTGGCCGGGAGCGATTGGCAAATCGTAATAGCTCTAATGTTCCCAGGACATTGGCTGCTCGATGACGGGAATATGGCTGGACGTAACTGACTAGTGCCCCCAAATGAAAGACTACACTCGCCCAGCTTGCGTAGTGATCGTACTGTTCTTGCGGAAGGCCGACGAGCGGGAGTGACAGATCACCGGTGATCGAAATGATTTTGCTCTCCTGGGAACCTCGCAATTTGTACTTCTCTAATGCTTTTTTGATGCGCAGGTCGGCGGCAGATGCATCCTGGGCACGAACAAGACATGCGACTTGGGTGACCTGCGGCATAGACAGCAGTGACGCGAGAAGAAAGGCGCCAACAAATCCAGTGGCTCCGGTGAGGAGCACTCGGCCTTCTGAAGCGTCAAGCCAGTCGACGGCCAGGTCGGAATTGACCTGTAGGTCCTGACCCAGCAAAGAATCCCGAGCCAGGACGCTTTGCTCCTCCACTGCGTCTGGCAAAGCTGTTCCATTCTTTAGCTTTTGCACTAGCTGGGTGAGTTGACCTAGTGTGGAATTCTCGTACAGAGCTGCGGACCGCAGCTCAATTCCCAACAAAACTCGAATTTGGCCGATCAGATATGCGACTTGCAGTGAGGTTCCACCCAGATGGAAGAAGTCATCGGAGGAATTCAGACAGTTTGACGGAAACCGCAGTATTTCGAGCCAGAGCTGCTCCAAACAAGTTTCCACGGAACAAGCGTTGCCGTTCGAGTGCACTTGACTCTGACGCGCGACCCTCATCTTCTCCATATACAGCTGCTCAAGCTTCCTTCGATCGCACTTCCCTGTACTTCCCAATGGAAGCTCTGCGATAAATTCAACGCGAGGCGCCAAAAGATGAGGAGCACGGTCGATGAATGCTTGTGCTACGGTTTCCCGGTCGATATGAATGCACTCCGGTACAACATAGGCAACCAGTATTGGCCCTGTGATGGCATTATCGGACCCGATCTTGACAACAGCTGCTGCGGACGCAAGATTAGTGCTCAAGATGATATTCTCGAGACCCTCTAGCTCGATGCGGTGGCCCCAGATCTTGACTTGTCTGTCCCGGCGGCCGACAAAATGGTATAACCCAGACTCATCCATGCGCACGATATCACCTGTTCTGTAGGCATGGCAAGGGAATCCCATCGCGAGTCCTTTCAATTGAAGATGTGGGGGCCTTATAAACGACTTAGTGTTGGCCAGAGGATTCCTACAATATCCTGCGCTAACTGCTGCACCGGCTACCACCAGTTCCCCTTCGCTGCCCTTTGGAAGTGGAATGAGATTTTCGTCGACAATGGAAACTTGGCAATTTTCAACTAGCCTTCCGAGTGGAATTTGACCACTGTGAATATCCGCTGCGGTGATGTCGTACGCGATGAGAAACACGGTGCATTCTGTCGGCCCGTAGAGGTGGACTACTCGATCTGGGGGGCCGTTGTCAAATATCTTCCGGATCACCGACACGTTGACCGGTTCGCCGCCAGTCGCCAGGGTGTGGATGGTGGAAAATGCTCCCGGGCAAGTGTGGACAATTGTGCTTAGCAACGCGGTCGTAACAAAAACAACATCGATTCGGTCCTCCCGGAGACTCCGTGATAATAGGATGGGGTCGATGACTGTCTCATGTGGATAGATCACTAAAGTCCCACCTCTCAACAAGCACACCCATATTTCGAACAGAGTTACGTCAAAGACAGTATTGCTGATGTGAGCAAGGCGTTGGCCATCTTGAAATGGTGCTATTGAGCTGAATGCTAAGTTGACGAGTCCGCCGGCTAGAATCTGAACGGCTTTGGGATCCCCTGTTGTACCTGAGGTGTGGAGGATATGTGAACAGCTTGATGGTCCATTGGAGGAGACCTCAAACTCATCGTCGCATATCTCAGGGTGCAGTGTATGGTCCACAAGGATATTGTCGATCTCTAGAGATTGATTCCAACTCTCGTCATCTACCAGAGCCAGCTTCACATCCAGGTTTTGGAGAAGCTTCCGGAGAAACACGCCCGGTTGTTTTGTGTCCAAGGGGACACAGGTTCCACCGGCATAGGCAATGGCAATTTGTGCCAAAATATGGTTGACTCCTCGGGGTATGGCAATCGCGATTGGAGTTTCTGGTTCCGGTGCTTCCAGTCGGATAAGTTGTGCGAGCTGGAGAGCTTTGAAATGCAATTCCTGATACGACACAGCATGCTTGCCAGATTCTATGGCTGTTACTGGGCCAAGGAGCTGAGCCTTCGCCTTGAAAAGCGGAGCAAGCCCAACGTGCCTCACTAGGCTTGCATCGAGTTTCCTCACATAGGAGAGAGAAGGCAACATTATGAAACCAGGCCAGAGAGTCTGGAACGCGGGTCAAGGGAAGCAGCCTCCGAGGCTATATAGTGAAGCAATGAAGCAATGCGTCGTAATCCAATAACCAGTGAGTTTTGTTTTCTATCTAATTCGCCCTAATTCGCAGTTAGAGTTACTTGATAGATTGCCCGGGGTTGTATTAATCTAGCGGTGCATTGTAATACGTTTCACGTCGACGTTATTTAGTCACACTGTGATCTACCTCGGTGGAGACATGTGGGAATCTCTTGTTGCTCGAATGACGATGCTGCATAGTTGCCACTATCATGTGCAGGTCAACGTAATTGTTTTTCTTTTCCTTTTTCTTTTCCTTTTTCAGTTGAGGGTAGTGCAACGAACTTCACGTCGAGTTTTGGACATATATAGTCATATTCAAAGGATTTAGCGTTGTGACCAATATAACATACAGTGTACTTTGTCAAGACAGCCCGAGATTGAACTCCCTTAGATGTATGCCCTAATGCAACTCTATCTCACTGGTGGCAGACGGTAGGGCTTGCGCAGGGGACTTGTATAGCAACCAAAAAGAGTGTGAAACCTGGTGTATATTATCGATGATGCGAGACACAAGTAAATCAGATCATGGCGGCCAGAGACCGGTATTTTGTAGTGGCCCGGGTAGCGCTCATTGATTGGACTGCTGGCACCGTTTCTTTCAGTTCCATCTAAAACCCGACGTTATACCGCAGTGCTCGGCTCTCTGCTCAACGACAACCAACCTGGTTAAGCAGGAAAGATCAAACGCACGAGATCAGCCAACACAGCATGCCTGATAAGGTTTAGATGTATAGATGTCTTTATGCACAAGCTATGCATGGTAATATCTCCAATAGTTTGGCGGGCCTCTGTGATAATGAAACCCTACAATAAACATTTTGAACAAAATTACGCCATTGAGGTATATTCCTGTACAAGGAACATTTGGGCTAGTGGAGAGAGGATATGCTACCCTGCATGACCTTGGCTTATCCAAATCCCAAAATTCGAAGCAACCCCAAGCTTGAAGTTTATAAAAGGGATCTGTCTTGCAGGGGAATTGAACATTTTCTGAACCTTCACAAGTGTGTTAGGTATTCTTGGACTGTTGAATTATCCCATATCTATCTAGGTACTTGACTAAGCTCAAAAATGGACGAGTGTCAGATCAATTTGCTCCAATACCTGCGCTCAAAGACCCAGGTCGATGTTGATAGCTTTGATGTTGATGGTATGCAACTATGCTCGAATCTATCCTTCTTTTTGTTCGGTGCCATACGTTAATACCTCGATTCCCACCAGTATCGACGGAAGTTCCAGGATGTGTCGATGCAACATCCAATCAAGTACGTTTATTACGTTTCTGAAAATGGCGACAGAGAGATCGACTGATTGGGATTATTTCTCATAGGCAGAGATCTACTGGGAGATGGTCAAGCCGCGGCACGATGGTCTGGTGAAAGAAGTCCTTGCTTTCAGTACCAAAATGAAGTCTGGATTTCCAACTCCGAGGTTGGAGGAGCTGGCATTTGAAGTCATGGTAAGCCCAAGACTCTTAGTGGCTGCCGTATACTGTTACGTTGATTGGTCTGACTTTCAAGTCACACAGGCAATTCGATTGGCCTTTCTTATTATCCCAAACATCACTGGCTCTGTGCATGTTATGGCAAATCCGTGCTACTCGTACGACAAGGAGAAGATTATCGAGACTGGAATACGTACGTTACCTCTCAATGAAATAATTTAGCACTACTAAAGTTCAAATAGGATTACACAAAGTCTGTAACCTCCTAGATCCGACTTTCGACACTAATCGGTTGGTCATGAAGGTGGCCGCCACATGGGAAGGTCTGCAGGCATGTAGAGAATTGAAAGATTGCGGGATAAAGACTCTAGCAACCGCAGTGTTTACAATGGAACAGGCCGTCTTGGCCGGTGAGGCCGGTTGTGTTTCCATCTCACCTTTTGTTCACGAGCTCAAAGTGTTTTTCGATGAGAAGTAAGTCGGGTCTCTGCCAGTATCTAGTCCCAACCGTCTTTTTCTCACCAGTGATAGATACTCGGACAAAAGTCCTCTTCTTAGTCTGTGCGTCCAGGCACAGCAGTTCTACAAGAAGCGGTCCATGAATACAAAAGTCAAGGCATGCGCCACAATATCGCTTGACGAGCTCCTACAGTTGGCTGGTGTGGACGCGTTGACTATAATGACTGGTGACCTACAGAACCTTCAAAAGGGCACTGGCTGTAAACGTTTGACTGAGATTCAATCTCTATTTGATGATGATCACATCACTGACAGTAGCAACTATCACTCATATCTGGATGATGAAAGCACCTATCGTCTTGAATATTCTCGAAGTGGCCAAGGTGCGGGCCAGTACAAATTGATGCAGGTTTGTTTCTCTGTTCAAGCCAGAAGCTCCCCGTTCTAATAAATTTAACACTAGGTTCTAGGAATCTTTTCAGACTTCCAGTTGAAGGGAGAGGATTTTATGAAAATGCACCAGCAACATCTGAGTTAGTTTACGAGGATTTCTCAGTCGATAGTGACAGATGACAGAACTCAGACAGGGGATTTCTATAAAGCAAACAGAAAGCGCAAGGTGGAAGATCTCTGATATTGGGTCTATGGAATGAGAGAGAATTTTGTAGGACAGGAATGACGAGGGACGATTCGAGATCATGGCGGATATCACCAGTATTCTATAGTGGCTAGCAGAGCGTTAATTGATTGGGTTGGTTGCACTGTCTCTTCTCCATCTAAAATCCGGCGTTATACTGCAGTTCTCAGATACCTGCTTCTCAACTTTACACTTTGAATACTTCTGAGATCTGGTATACGGGGCCAAGTCTGAATGTAGGACCTGGACTTCAGTGTTTTAGATACTTTCTCATTGTTAGAATCTATGAAGTAGATGAGATCATGAAAGCACAATATGTGTATTGTGGAAAGTGTTAAACTATTGATCAGGGAGGAATTACAGAGGAGAGACTATCGGAGTCTACTCCATAGGAGAGAGAGAACATGTGACTACTGAGAGATATCAACACTCATCAACCAGATCCAGGCGCAGGAGAGTATTTACAATATTCCCCGAGGTCTATATATTTGGTTTATATATTTGGTCTATTTACCCCCTCTAATCTCAATCTTAGGGCTTTAAAGGAGTCTTTTCCCCTTTTGTCCTTTGCCCAAATTTCGCTGACTGACCCCCTAAAGATGCCGAAAATGACGTTACAATCATTGCCAACGAACATCAGAGGTCACAAGTAGATTCAGGTTCCCTCGCCTGCATCTGGCACTGTTACCCTAGATGGTTGGAGCCCGACCGGTATGACATAGGGCTCATATTCAGTTCTGTTTGGAATGCGGCTACTTACTGTCTTTTCAAGGTGATCCACAGAAAACAATCCAGATAATTCGCACAGCCATTCAAGCCGGATGTTATCATCTTGACTGTGCATGGGAATATGATGTATGCTATCAACCCGAGTTTCTGGTATCCCTAATCTAATGAGTGTTACCTCCATAGGTAGATGTCGAGGTTGGCGAGGCGATTCGCCAGTCCGGCGTCCCACGCAAAGAAATATTTGTCACCCATAAATTGTGGGTCAACTTTGGCGCTCCTCAAAATGTGGAGGTTGCGTTGGATCTCGCTCTCCAGCGAATAGGGATCGATTATGTCGATCTATTCCTGTTCCACTATCCTGTCGCAGTTAAGCCGGCCGGGGATCTCTGCGAGGCGTGGATATCTGAAGATACGACTATGGCGGAACAGGGCTGTGTAGCCGATGATAAAGGCAACTTTATTCCAGACCTGGAACATTGTCCAGCAGCAGTCGCTGCGCTGAATGTAGACGAAGGCAGTTTCATTCCGACATGGAATGCGATGAAAGACTTGGTTCGCTATGGGAAGGCTCGAGCGGTTGGAGTTTCGAACTTTGACGTTGAACATGTGCAAGAGATCCTCGATGCACAGAGTGACTCTGATGATGAAGTTCCGCTTTCATGCAACCAGGTCGAGTGCCACCCCTGGTTTCCCAATCTGCGACTGGTTGAGTTCTTACTGGAGCACGACATTCTGGTCATGGCGTACAGTCCATTTGGGTCTGTCAAATACGAGTATGGAGTCTTCCCGCCTGAGCCGTTCACGCCTTATGGAACGACTCTGTTGAAAGATGAAACAGTCCGACGGATTGCGGCCAAGAATGGCTTGAGTGCCAGTCAAGTGTTGCTTAGTTGGGCAGCTCAACGATCTACACTGCTGGTATCTAGAAGCCGCTCCCTGCAGCATCAGCAGGAGAACCTTCTATCGAAGGAGTTGCCACAGGAGGATATGCAAACCCTGGCAACTTTGGAATTGGACGGTACAACCGGGAAGTCTACGGCGACGATCTACTTCCCTGGAATCAAGGTATACAACTCGTAGATGTTGTTTCTGGGATTTGGTAACAATTGGCTCAAAACACTGGCTCGTTTTTGCAATTTGTCTGTCTTATTTTCCAAATGACGGACTTTTGCCATTTCTGCACAAGATGTATTCTCGTAGCTGCATATCTAGCTACATGATGAGGTGATATCTGTAAATTTCATCAATAACCAAGTAGTGGCGTACAGTTCATATGGCTGAGTTCATGATGTAGCAGTACATCAAGTCGATATTCGACAATGTAGGACACATGTGGTCAATATGCAACTCTACATGCAGGAAAGACGCAGCCATATCGCACGCTCAATGGATTACGTGGCTGTACACATTGGGGAAATTGCCTCTCTTGTGTAATTCAAAAATAATAACTTTTATTTGTCTAATTCCTTGCTGCAATGTTACCACTCAGGTCAATGTTGTGTAAATTGACTTTCAATTTTTTGACTATGATTTGAACCATCAGCTGATGGATACTATCCTAGAACTACTATTGAGTAATGAGTACAGGAGGATAATCTTGGGACTGTCGAGAATCTATCTACTACTGTATATTGATAGAGTCAGTCCTCCCAGTTTCCATGAAAATTGAAACAATTCTTTTCGATCTTTATATCCTTACCACAATTTCACCTCAAACATTGTTTGATTAACATTACTCCCAAATATGGGTGCCCCCGCGACAGAAGTAACCATCGTTCCCCTGGCGAAGGGTGCGGATCCACGCGTTGAGGATAGCGAGGCAGCAATAACCCTCGACAGGTCAATCCAGGACACAATTGTGCAGCCTGGGTACCGGCGCATGGTATGGGGTTTGGACAAAGAAGACCCTACTGTGATTGTTATGATTGCTGGTGAGTCCTTTTTCGAGTATCAGATGAAATCACAAGATAACATCAAGTTCGCATGTAGGTGGGATGCTTGTAACTGGGCTTCCATGTATCTGGCCCTCACTACCCTGCTTCCTTTATACTTCGTAAGGGTCAAAGCACACAATAATCACTTTAGTGCCCCAGCGAGCAATAACTGCGACCATAAATCATAAGAAAAGCTGCTCTAAGAGAGAAGGTTTGGTGGGTATGTTGGATTGTGCTTGAACTTTAGAGACAATGTGAGCATAAGACCTCCATGTCAGCTTTACCAATCTCATTTCTCTGCGGAATGAGCCATATTGATAATTAGCTGCGAGCGAATTCCGGGTTCTGATTTTCCTCGCCCAAGGTAATCCTCGTCTTCATGGTACGATTTCAGCTCAAACGAAGGGAACCAGTGAGCAGATGAAAGTGCGGCGACCGAGATGATAGGAGGTTTAGGATAATGTTAAGGTACAACAACATAGTTGTGAGAGGTAGGCTGCAGCGGCGAAGGGACGACATAATATCACCCCTGGTGGCATATTGTCACGCGATACACTCAAGAACATTCAGGCTGTTTTGATCACATGATAAAATAACGTCTTATATCTTTCCACCATTCAGAGAGCGGGTTATTTTGAAATCACCGTATGAACAATATCATTACGTAGCCAGGAGTCGGGGTTTCGTGCCATTTTTCAGCTATTCATAAGGTGGGCGGTGCTAGGGGTCCCTTCGTCCTATTCATGTTAACACGAACATCTACAGGGGTGTGAAGACTCTAAATATAGGTTTCTTGCCTGGCATTAAGAGGATTAAATAATTTATAATTCACCTTTTAATCAAATACTTCATGTGTCAAGTAACACTTTACAAGAACTTATCCCATAATACATGCTTCATATAGTTTCATATTGTACGAATTCAACAGCTTATACTTCAAATATATGATTTATCAAGTAGATCACTCAATATATATATTCCCACAATGTTTATAGATAGACCCACCTGTACTAGCCTAAAAGAAGAACGATCGGAGGAATCTTCCGAATTTTCCGTGTTTTAGTGATTTCCCCTGAATAGCTTCATATTTGCTATGCCTTAAATTTGTGATATCTAGAATAACTATGGGAGTTTCCGGTTCTACGCTGTCGGGAAGACCAATCCGGATGCGGGCTCAACGTGCCGATCCCTCTGATACTCCAGTAAGTGCTCAAATAGCTCTTCTAATCATACACACACACGCTAATTATGGAAACAAAACCAGACTGCGGAGGGTCTCCTGAAGGATGATTTTGGTGAATATACAATTAGGACTGAAAAGTTCAACGACGCGGTGAGAAATGACTGTATATGTTTACTTCATTGCTCAAATCTGATGCATTCTAGAATGATTGGTATTGCAGACATCATTATGTCCGCGATGGTGGGGTTTATGGCTACCATTACGCCCATCTGTGAGTTTTGCCCTGTTGTATACTTCTAATACTTGGTGCTCAAATATCTAGGAATGGCTTGTACTACTCCAAAAACCCAGATGGAAGTTCGGAGAGCGTAAATCCCATCTTGAAGGAAGCTTCGTATACGTTACCGGGAAACAAAATCCCGATAGATTACTCAGATGAAGTCGACTGGGAGAGATTGAATGAGATACCCGACCCTTGCGTCGCAAGAGCCTCTGTAACCCACAAGCTTTTGGGAGAATTTCTGCAGAAATTAAAGAACCAAGAAGGTAGTGTTTAGTGGGACAGCAACACCTTCATACGCTCACATAGCACAGAGAAGATTGTCGCCATTGACCAGGCCAAAAAAAGAGCCACCTGGAAAAGAAGGTTGAAAGGGAAAGAAAGTCCAGACATGATCACCGAAGACGAGGCCGAAGAGACCGAGTGTGAGACCGAGGAAACCTCAGACGAAGAGGATGCAAGCCAGCAGATGCTATCTGAACAGAGAAAGAGAGAGAAAGAGAACGGAACGGAAGAAAATGAGGAGGAGAGATGTGCTAATCACATGCATGAAGACATTGAGTCAATCGACCAACCCATGGATGCAGTAGAGACCGAGGGTATATCTTCTCAAAAGCGTAAGGCCGATGAAATGGACGGCAGCGAGGAAGAGACGGCCAGGACCCCAGCCGCAAAGAAGGGGAACATGAATAAGAGACGCGAATCTACGCTTACTGAGCGGGAGAAGAAAAACGCCGCCAATAGGAGGAAGCGAGAGCGCCGCAGAAAGGCGAACCAGGCAAAACAGGGGATGGAAAAAAGGACTACATAGTCATAGCCTTGCTAGATGTGTGCTGTTACCATCTTCACTCCACGCTTGATGTATTGGCATTGCATTGTGGACGGTGCGGATTGACAATGAGGTAGCGAAGCTGTCAAGTGTTCGTTGTGTTCATGGTCTCATGGTCCTCGCAATCTCTATGTTGTAGTCTCGATGTTATGCTAGCGTGGTATGGAACCCGAGGTCTCAAATCGTCACGCAATTTATTCATGCAGAGGCGTTTCAAGATGCTGCTGTACTACAGGTCTGCGTGTGGGTTGTCACCGAAAACAGTTGCCCGAGAAGAATGTGATATATAATTGAATCTCAAATGCCCAAAACCCGTATGGTGGGTACGGGGAAGTGGAAGAAATGTGAAATAACAGCACAAAGAAGTAAAAGCAGTCGACTCTAGCAAATATTAGAGACAACAACTCCAGAACTGGGATGTAAAATAACCAAAGCAAGTAGAGATCTAGGATGATCTATGGAACATAGCAAAAAAAAAAAAAAAAAGCAAGCTCATGCATGCATCATCCGATTACATCCCTAGTTTACATCCATAGATGAAACAATGAGAGGCCGACCAACCACCTGCAAAAAAAAAAAAACGCAAAGCAAATAAATCCATCCATTCATTACCTTTCCTCCATTAATAACGCAATTGAAATTCCCAGAACTTAGAACTTAGTTCTCAACTCTCCACACCTTGAAGCCGACCTTATACCGAACCTCGGCAGATACCAAAGCTCGGCACATCAGCTAATCTTCAAGTTGTAACTTACAGGAAAGCGAGGACACCGGCCAAAAGGCCAGCAGCGGCACCGGGGGCAACAAGAGCCATAGCAGCACCCTCGGAGACGGTAGGGGAGGCAGAGGCAGAGCCGGTAGCTGTGCCGGTAGAAGTACCAGTGGCGGAGGTGGTCAGACCAGTCTTGGTGTTGGTGCCAGTAGTAGTTCCGGTAGAGGTAGTTCCGGTGGCTGTAATGACAGAAGTATTAGTGCTGTTTTTTTCCATGGGAGACACTAGTAGTAAAGGGTCCAGAGGTAAAGTTTCCGGTAGAGGGTTTGATAGTAGAAACGCCCGGGGTGCAAGTACCAGTAGTGGAAGCATCGGTCTCAGTGGTGCTGGAACCAGTAGAGGTAGAAGCAGAGGTAGAGGCAGAAGAAGAAGAAATAGTGGAAGATGTACCGGTAGTGGTAGTGGAGGCATCGTCCTCAGGCTTGGTCACATCGAACTTCTGGGACTGGGCGAGGATGCCAGTGTTCTGCTCCTCGGTAGAGAGCAAGTTGATCTGGAAACCGGAGCTGCAGTGCAGATTGAGTGTTAGTGGACCGGACGGAGGATATATAAATGCAACGCAAGGTGATCTTACCCATCGGTGACACCCTTCAGACCCTTGACGGTGTAGGAGCCCTCGGAGGTGTCGACACCGGAGGCGATCTTCTCCTTAATGTTGGGGTAAACGTTGTTGTTGATAAGGACGATGTCAACGGTGGAGGCGTCAGTGCTGCAATGGGTTAGCTTTGGCTGTGACTAGGGTACATCGTAGTCAACATACTTGACGGAAGTCCACTTCACGGCGAAAGTGTTGGAGACATCAATCTCGTCACCCTTGGCGGGTTCGGTGACATTGATAGCTAGATTAATTGTTAGAGAGACTCACGTGTCATGGGGGGGTGATTTACATACCTCCAACGGAAATGGCCAAAGGCAGGAGAGACAGAAGGATAGAGAAACGCATGTTGATTGAATTTAGCGAAAGTGGTGGATTAAAAAACGAATGTGGAAGTGTGAAATAATGAGTGCGAGAAGTTGCAAGATGGAAGTTAGAAAAATCTTCAGATTTAAGAGATCCTTGTCATTAAGTACACAGTGACCAAACAGTTTTGATATTGCACAACCTTGGATGTCCTGAACCGTTAACAATGTCTCTCCTAATACGGGAAATACCTGAAAATAGAACTGACATAGTGAACTGTACCCGGTTTTAAAGCATTCTAATAATATTTTAATGGTTTTTATATTACAAAACGTGGAAAATCAGGGTCCGCGTGAGGTTCCTTGGAGAAGAGAAGATCTTCATGGTTCACCGACGAGCTAGTCTCAGGCAATTCCACTTCTGTTTATAATATAAATTCATTGTGATCCTCATTATGTACAATAATACACTCGGAGTGCGGCGGTCTACAGATATGTACACCTACCATGGATGTTGTACGCCGATAGGGCCGATAAAGAATATGCTAAGCAGACTTGGCAAGGAGCTAGTAAACTTTAGTGTTCAGCGGAGATACGGGAAATACGAGATACGGAGAAATTAGCCTTTTTTAAAATTTATTTTCTTTTTTTTTTTTTGAAATACTGGGTGTATTTTTAATTTGCACCTGTAATCTATCTCGGTTAATGGATGCATTGGCCTGGACCCTAGTCTCAGGGATTCTCGTATATTTTTAGTCGGTAATTGGTGAGCAGAGACCATCTAATAAATCTCATAGAGAACTAAGGGGGCCACGTTTAAAAATCTAAAATCCCTGTCCAAGATATCCCAAGATATTACTAATATTCCCGTGTCTCAAAAAACGAATTGTCTGCGAGAACGTTTGTCTCAAAAGACCCACTCCACGTCAATTTCAGGCATGAGACACCTCTCAATAGAACACTCGGACTACACGCTAAATGAACCATAGGTAGGAGCACTGGATGGGAGGGAATGATTGTCTCACCGAGAATCTGCCGGCAAATTATTATCGCACTGCAGAATGGTGCCATTTTCACCCCTCTAAGGCTGAATCAGTTTATTAGTCAGATTCAAAACAGGGAATTTTTTTTCCGAGGGCGTTGTAGTTCATATCGAATACGAGATTGGAAGAAGAGACAACGCAGAGTCTCATCACAAAATATTATACATAATTTACACCAGAAAAGCAGACCCCGGAGGTATCTTCCAAGGTTGCACCCAATTCCAACAATTAGGTATTGTAGATATTCACATTACTAGGGTAGCACAAGCAAGTCAGTCACAGCCTAGAACGCAAGGATGGGGGCATACATACAAATCCCTTTTGAGACCATCCCGGTCTGCTATAGCCGAGTCAACCCACACGCTCGCACTCATCCCCTGAACACCGAATTTTCCATATCCTTTTTTGTCAATAATAACAGGTTTCATGCTGGGATGCAAGAGATCGGTCCATTGTTCAAATGCATGATGCTGACCGACAAACATGCGCTGCACCCCCGGACCGGCATTGCTGATAACACACGCAAGGCCAGAGTGACGGGCGTTACCGTAGCGGACGAATCCTGTATCGTGGTTAGATCTATCCAGGCCCCCCGTAATGGGGCTCAATATCCGGTGGGAAAGGGGCAAGCAAACCTATGCAATTTGGTTGGTTGAAATAATCTTGCTGTTCGCCGTAGGCGTAGAGTTTCCGGGCTTGTGTTAGAACGGGCAGAAGCCCGTTGCAACTAGGTACCATTGGATTTTCCACATTCGCCCGGATACCGTACAGGTCACCGTAAAATATACAAGGGTGACCGCCTTTGCGGAGGAGGACTAGGGCGTACGCTAGTAATTTGAAGGATGGTGATACCGGGGTCTAGGTGAGATTAGCCATGTTCCTTCTAAATGGGAAATATTCGACTTACCTCGAGCATTTGTCCTGGTGCCTGAGAAGAGTTAGGTAAATTATGCCAAGATCCAGTCAGTACTTACCGTATCATGGTTTGCAACAAGGGTCTGGAGAAGTCTTAGTATCACTAATTAGGCAAAAGGCATTGAGCAACTTACCACAGCATGGTCCGGCCGACACTGTACCAGTGTATCGTTGAAAATACCGCGAAGGTCTGGTGATTGTGCATGCGACAACTTGGAGAACCGCTCCAGGAGAGGCACATCATATGCAGTGAGGTTGTACTCCACATTCTCGAGGTAACCCAGAAGCGAGGGTAAATGTCCAGTCCAGTACTCTCCTATCGCAAAGAAGTCAGGGTTGGCGGTTTTGCGAACATGTTGCACAAAGGCGCGTTGGAACTCTGTAGAAAAATGCTTGGCGGCATCAAGTCGCATCCCATTAAGCTTCAGTGTATTGGTGATCCACGTTCCCCAGTGCAGAAGATCTGCGCGAACCTCTGGGTGTGCAAGGTCAAGATCGGCAAACATCAGATAATCGTAGTTTCCATTCTCCGTCGACACATCTTGTGCCCAGTCCTTGTTAGATTCGACGATCTTGTAAACTGCGTTTTGTTTGCTCTTGTCATCCCAGTCCACACCACTGAAATGTTGCCAGTTGTATTTCATTGAGCTGTACATGTCACCGCGACCGGCGAATTCAAAGCCTGTCCAGCCATTGACTTCTGTCGGCTTAGATATATCCAGGTCTCTTCCTGTTCTTTTAGTCAGTGAATGGCCGAGCATTAGGATAGAAAGATAAGGTGTCTTACGCTTAGGATCTACCTTGACAGCCTGAAAAGGCTCTGGATAATCCGCGCCAGCTTTATGATTGAGCACAGCATCCCAGATGACACCAATGCCCACGTTTTGCGCTTTGCGCATCAGGTCTTCAAGCTCTCGCTTGGTTCCCCATTTGGTGGGAACTGTACCCTTCTGATCGAACTCCCCTAGGTCATACAGGTCATAGATGTCATAGCCATTACCATTCGCATCCATTCCTTTGCATCCAGGGGGAATCCAGATCTGATCGATACCAATGGCCTTGTACTCTGGTAAGGCATTTTGCAGGCGGCGCCAATGCTGCCGGTCGGCAGGAACATGCCATTCAAAGGTTTGCAATATCAGCGAGTTATCTGGAGCAGTCCATGATGGTAGTTGTTCTAGATTTGCTGCTGCTTCTATATCATATATTCATATTAGAGGCTGCATCTGTATATATTTTGATGGGGAGAGTGACCTTCAATCTGTTTCCATTTCTGGCCTTTCTGTCGAGATCCACACCACAGGAACGGCATCGTTGGATTGTTGTACAAATGATAATTGCAACAAAAACAGAATATGGATATATCCCCTTTTCGGGTTAGAGTTTGGATGTGGGGGCGACTATTTTTATTCGGTGAACCATGGAACATTGCAAAATACTTTGGTGGGTCTCCAATGGATTTTTTAAGTGGACTATTCTACATGTAGGTAGTCGGATGTCTCAGTATTATTAGATGAAAATTTCATTTCAACCGTGGAACACTCGAACTTTTCTAGAAAGAAACTCCCGAGCTCCACAAAGGTAAATCTCATTGGTTTCCCGTAATGCATGATATGTAACAAAATTAGGACAATAAGAGAAGAAGGCTCATAATGATACAAAGGCCAAAACACCGTATCAATATGAAGGGGAAAAAAAGTCAATATCGCCAATGTAAAACAAAATGATAAAAAAAATAATTGCACATAAAAGGATATCTCCGCGAACCAAGCCGAGCCGTCAATACAGCTCACCACAATGGGGAAAAAGGTCAAAAGAAGAGGACCCGAAAGGAAAAAGAAAGTACGCAAAGAGCGAAGAAAGGGTTTTCGGGGCTTTGCTTTCAAAGAAGGGTAATGAAGATGCCAGTCGTCACCGCAAGCAGGAAGGTAGCTAGACCGGTACTCGTTAATTGGATGCCAGCCGACGTGAAACCAGAGTGAGTCTTCAACTGCTCGAGGGTGACGTTTGCGGCAGTGTGGCCACAAAGACCACTACCGTCCAAATATTCCGTGGGGAAGAAAACTCGGGGCTCTCCCTTGTCCATAGGGACGCGCAGCGTGCCTATGCTGTCGACAGTATAGTTCTTACAGGCCAAAATATCCGTCACCGGTGTACCGGCATTATAGCTGACTGTCAAGTCGATAGTGTAGGCTGTGCTGGTCGAGGATTGAGTAGACAGTACCATAACCACTTGCCGACCCTGGACACCTTTTGTGAAAGCAAGCTCACTGCCTCCCTGGAAGAGCGGGTGAGTCGCGTCCTCAAAGTAGTCTGTGCCTAACAAGGCTGCGTGGCTCCGGATGCGATTCAGCTTTGCGATCAGCTTGTAGAGCTCCGCGTCGGTGTCATATTTGGTGAGCCAGATGGCTTCTCGGTTCTTGGGCACCGAGTTTCCGGCCAGATGTTGCTCCTGGCCTTGATATATCATCGGGATTCCGTCAAACAGCATGGTAAACACCAGGACGTTTTTGGCCATCTACAAAGTATCATGATCAACAAATGCGATTAATTAAACCGAGGAGGACATACATACCGCCATGTCCTTGGAATTGCTAGCAATTCGAGCCTTGTCGTGATTTTCAGAGAAAGAGGTCATAGCATTGACATCTGGGAGCTCGATTCTCGAATCCTCCACTGCTTTCGCCAAGGCGGACGTATTGCCCTCTGTGAAAGCCGCTAGGATTTGGAAATAGATCGGATAGTTTGGCAAACTGGCGATGTAATTTTCCTGGTAGTCGGACATAATGCTGACTGCCCCTTCAAGGACTTCTCCAGTCATGAAAATGTTGTCGAGACCCTCAGCAAAGGTTTTTAGAAAGCCCGGGTTGACGTGCTTGGCGGCGTCAATGCGGAGCCCGTCAATGGAATATGTCTCGATGGCGTTTTTCGCCCATTTGATCAAGAGCTGCTGAACATCTTCGTGCTCTGTGAAAAGATCTGGTAGCGGCACGACTTCATCACCCGTGCTACACTTCTGCGCAATCTTCATGTCCGTCCAGTCTGACATGTTGCAGTACGGATGGAAATAATCAGCATTATTGAAGGGTGTAAAGGTTGAGTAGTCGATGTGTGTGGCAGGGTCGCTGCCATTCGTGATGTAGGCCATGTTGTTGATCACCGTATCCAGCATGAAGTACATGCCCCGGGAGTGGAGAGCGGCACTAAGGTCAAGCAAGTCTTGATGCGTGCCAAAATGAGAGTTGAGATTGTTGAAGTTTAAAGGCCAGTACCCGTGGTAGGCTTCGCCATACTTGACTCGGCCATGGATATTCTCCATGATGGGAGAGATCATCACTGCATCGAATCCCATCCCTTGGATGTAGTCGAGTTTGTCGATAGTTCCACGCCATGTTCCCCCGCAGTAAAGACCGGCAGTGGTGTTGCATGGGGCTGTTGTCGATCCATCTGTGCGAGCAAAACGATCTGTCATGGTCTGGTAAATTGATCTGGATTTCCAGTCGGCTGTGTTTGCGGCTGATGCCGAGGCGATGAGCCCCGTAATCAACAGGCCTACCAACGAGCGAATGGTGCAACGTGACATCATGGCAGCTCGTATTTGTGCGGGTCGATTAAAAGAGGAAAGACAGAGAGTAGGTTTCAGATAAAGAGTGACTTGAATAACTCACGCAAAGGGCAAAGATGGCCGGAAAGAGAAGTAAATGAGTGACATTTGGACTTCAGCCAGAAACAGAAAACGAGAGGAGGCAAAGGGAGCAAGAGGTTCGAGAGACAGGAAAAGGTCAAAAAACGGGGAAATTTTGCTTTCCAGGCAAGGAAGGGCCAAGTCAGGTGGCTTCCAAGGTTCGGAGATCGAAACATACAGTAGTTGGAATTATCACCCCACAATTCACTCGCTCTATTACTACCAGCATACATATTAACCGGAGAAACACTTGTTTTATTTGGAGTGTGCACCTATATCGTATGTGCTGAATTTGATTGCCTCGGAATAGCTGTATTATTTGGGCCTGATTGCCATACGACTTAGCCGGCTTACTCGCATTCGCATATATTTGCTATTCCCCAGACTTTTAGGAAGTAAGATATCATTGTGGCTTCTAAGCTTGAAGAACTATACTGGTGGCTTCATAGACTATCTCGACATCAAGCGGGGGGGGGGCTGCAGTTCCGGGATTACTTTTTGTTCCTATCGTGAGGGGAAGAGTGAGAGACCGAAAACGCATTAGTAACTATCGTTAGAACCGTGCCTGGAGGACTCATTTTAGCGTCTGCCAGGTACCAGGCACGGGTGTCCACTCTACTTTCTGGGCACGGCTATTTTGTTCGATGTTGCAGGTCACGTGGTGACACTACCCTAATTTCAGAGTCCTGCAGTGCACGGAGTACAGAAGTGACAAAGTTTGCATGGTCCAATCATCCGAGACAAGGTGGCATCCAAGCGACATCTCCACAACATGCAGCTATAGATAGTACGGAATACTCCGTACTCTGTATTACCTTACTGTACACATCCTCAATTGATACAACGCTTTGGTCTTGCGCTTGTTAGATACGAGATAGTAAGACAAAGTTCGAATTCTTTAATAGATTCCGTGAAATTGGATACCACACTATTTCCAAATTTAACTTGATTTCATTTAATCCATAGATACAGGTACTGCCTACAAGGATCGCTATATACGCCCAACGCTAAAAGGAAGACCGAACAAGGAAGGAAATGAACAGTAAGTACTCCGGGTATCTTCCGGTGTGATAGATTATGATACAGTGATTCTGGCCTGTATGAACTTTGCTGCGCCATGCTCGCTTGTTGACGGCTTCCTGGACTTCCGTATCAAGTGGCGTTGATAACAGGATCACATCACGCTAAATACTGCAGGGATGTCTGACCATGTGGAGATTAAAACAAAAATTTCTTTTCTCTCATACAAAGTATAATTCCAAGGTTTGACTTAATGAATACGGCAAAAAAAAAATAACTTATATAATATGCGAGCGGGCATGCCGGATGTCCTGGTCTAGTTGCTGACTTGATGGAAGAAGGTTGTTCGCCGAGGTATTTAAAGACTGTTCGCCACTGGCTGCCATTGGCGTGAAATTTCCAAGGAAGATTTAGACTTGTACCATTTTTGAGATCCCAGGGAATATTTCATACCAAGAAAAGAAAAATGAAAAAAGAACAAAACCATTAAAGACGCACCAAATGTAACTCGTATTTGACCTAATACCGAGTGGGCGGGTCTCACATTACCGGCCAATCGGGAAAGTCGGGCTACCAGTAACTCGGCTCCAAATCCACCCGGCCATGACCGAAAGGTATATCGGCATTGTCATAGGTTGATATTTACGGGTCTAGAAAATCATCGGTGCATCAAAGAACATTTACCTATAATAGTCGGCAGAAGTGAAAGTTATCTTTTATTCTTATTTTCAGAGAATAGACCTGTAAGACTAGCAATATCTGTAACACAACTTGTGTCCTGCCATGATAAGCAGTATCTGTGGTGGTTGTAAAGATACAGGGTCTACGGTGTAGCAAGTGGCGTGGGTCCAATCCAATAGTTTACATACATAAAACGTGCGAATCGGGTATCCCCGTTGTCAGGCTCCATATATTCTTCTAAAAGAACGGTCACAGAGGGGTTTCCTATTCCGAGAAGAATGCCGTGCATATTCTCCTATGTATTCTGGTATTGGTCGAAACGGTCACATTTGAATCCAAAAGGGAAATTCTTTTTCAATTACAATTTTTTTTTTTTAAAAAAAAGGAAAATTACCGAGGCTGAGGCGTTAGAATCTAAGATACTCCAATACTCCAATACTGGGGCTCTTAGAATTTGATATGGGGTTTGTCTCATCTGCTTATTTTTATCTTGAGCTTCAAGGCGACTAGCCTCTTAGCACTTAGCACTTGGGACTTAGCACTGTTGTTATGTGATCATTTCTTTCTCCCTTCCACATTCGATTCCTCCTTTCCATCTCTCATCCCCAGTCCTTCGTTTGCTAGTTCAGCCCGTCTCTCGTTATCTTTTTTTGGGCACACAGCCACCTTTGACGCCTTTGGGAATTTACGTGATTTTCACCAGATACCCACTTCCCACCGCTTCATGGCAATTGAGAGCTTCACATCTCCATATCTTTCATAGGGTGTCTCAGCCTTTCATGCCAGCGGGGACCTCCGCATTGCCCGAGGCGTGCAACCATCACCCAACAGCTCGCTCCGCGCAGTCACCAGCCATGAAGTGGTTACTCGCCAGCGGACTGGTCTCGCTTCTTGCGACGACTGTCACAGCTTGGCCCTACGACGAGGCTTATCTGGATTATAACCTCAATACAAACAAAACGGCCACCAACCCAGCAGATTATTCGGGAACATGGCCTGGTCATGAGGGGAAATACAACCCCTCCCCGGAAAACTGGCGCTTCCCCTTTTACTCTCTCTTCTTGGATCGCTTCGTCAACGGCGATCCTTCCAATGACAACATTAACGGAACCACCTTCGAGCATGATGTTGATCATCGCATACGCCATGGTGGCGATGTCGAGGGTCTTGTTGATACACTGGACTATCTCCAAGGAATGGGAATCAAGGTTTGTCTCATGTGTGACTTTCTAGTGGTAAGAAAGTATATGCTCACAATACCCAGGGTATTTATATTGCAGGTACCTCCTTGCTGAACCAGCCGTGGACTTCGGACGGATATGGAGTTTTGGATACAACGATTCTTGACGCACATTATGGTACCATCCAGACTTGGCGAAATGCCATCACTGAAATCCACAAGCGCGGCATGTATGTCTTGTTTGACAATACCATTGCCACGTAAGTTATCCCCGTATGCGCAGATAAGAGAGCAGATCTAACGGAATATATACAGAATGGGCGATTTGATTGGATTTGAAGGCCATCTCAACACGTCAACTCCATTCTCTGAGAAAGAATATCCAACAGTGTGGAAGAGTGAACGCCGCTACAGAGACTTCGATATTGGAGTTGGCAACTACAATCAGAGCTGTGACTACCCTCGGTTCTGGTACGAAAATGGACTACCTGTACCTCAATCGCAGCTCACGGGCTTGGTTGGATGTTTCGACAGCGATTTCGACCAGTACGGTGACATTGAGGCTTTCGGTGTGTGGCCCGATTGGAAGCGACAACTGGCCAAGTTCGCCTCCGTCCAGGATCGTCTCCGCGAATGGAACCCGAGTGTGCGCGAAAGGTTGATCCGGCACTCCTGCATGATTATTAAGTCTTTGGATATTGATGGTTTCCGTTATGATAAGGGCACCCAAGCCACTGTGGATGCCCTTGGAGATATGTCCGCTGCCTACCGGGAATGCGCGCGCGAGGTCGGGAAGGAGAACTTTTTTATCACTGGTGAAATCACGGGTGGAAATGAATTTGGTGCCATTTACCTCGGAAGGGGCAGGCAGCCCAATCAGTGGCCTGATGATTCAACCGCCACAATGAAGTTGACAAATGAGTCCTCTGCCCAGTACTTCTTGCGTGAAGCGGGACATGAAGCAATCGACAGTGCGGCCTTCCATTACACGACATATCGTGCCTTGACTCGATTCCTCGGCATGGACGGACAGCTTTCTGCTGGTTTTGATGCGCCTGATGACTGGGTTACGGGCTGGGACTATATGTTGAGATCGAATGATTTGATCAATGCTAACACCGGCAAGTTCGACCCTCGCCACATGTTTGGTGCGACGAATCAAGATGTCTTCCGTTGGCCATCGATTGCCAACGGTACCCATCGACAGTTACTTGGTTCTTTCGTGACTACGTTGCTGCTCCCCGGAATCCCACTCCTTCTTTGGGGAGAAGAGCAGAACTTCTATATCTTGGATGCCACTGCGGAGAACTACATTTATGGGCGACAGTCAATGTCGCCTGCAACCGCTTGGATGACCCATGGCTGCTTCCACTTGAAGTCATCCCAGTACTATAAGTGGCCTGTTTTGGCCGCTCAACACGGCTGCGAGGACGTGACAGTTGCTTATGACCACCGCGACCCTGCCCACCCTGTGCGAAATATCCTGAAGCAGATGTACCACTTGCGCGAACAGTACCCTGTTCTCAACGATGGCTATTCACTAGGAAGTTTGTCAAAGAGAACCGACTGGATCCTCTACCCTGGTTCCAATACCACAGAGACGGAAACCGGAATGTGGTCTGTTTACAGGGATGTGAACACCCAGGTGCAAGACTTGGGCTCTAATGCCAACAACCAACCGGTCTGGCTTGTTTACCAAAACCTCAATGACACCAGAACATACAGCTTCAACTGCAAATCCACAAATACGAACAAGACACTGGTCGCTCCATTTGCATCCGGTACCACAGTGAAGAACCTTTTCCACCCGTACGACGAGATCAAACTGGAGGATGGAGCGATTAAGCTCGGCTTCAATGGGTCGAAGGAAGTTAATGGCTGCGTGGAAAGCATGAGAATGAAGGCATATGAGTTCCGCGCGTACGTCCCTCTCGCTGCATACAAGGCACCTCGCCCCACGATCACCAAATTCACTCCGGGCCGTGCTTTGGGCGCTCATTTGAGCCATGAACCAGGCCAT